GGGAATAAGAGAACGCTATGTGTTCAGATTAGTACTTGAGAGTAGGCGTTCTAGTTTCTGAATTGAGAATATGGTTGTGAATTATTGTGGCTGTAGAATTATTTTACCTTGAGAATGGGCTGCAAAGATAGCAGCTAACAGATATCTATAGAACACTCAACAACAGCAGAGTACACATATCATAATTGAATAATCCAGTGTTATACATTGTCTTCAAATAATTCATATTATGATAGCTAGAACTTGAAACTTTGTAATATTTAAATTTATAAAAACTTTAAAATAGCAAGTTTTAATAAAATATCCTATATGAAAAGTTTTCATTTTAATTTATTAGTAGATACTACTACTGAATTATTTGTTCTACACTTGCAGGGGTGTCTAACCCATGGCCTGTGGGCTGCATGTGGCCCAGGAAGGCTATGAATATGGCCCAACACAAAGTTGTAAATTTACTTAAAACCTTTTTTTGCTCATCAGTTAGTGTTTGTGTATTTAATACGTGGCCCCAGACAACTCCTTTTCTTCCAGTGTGACCCAGAGATGCCGAAAGGTTGGACCCCCCTGTCAGTAAAATCCCAATGTGACTTATTATTATACAGTGATGATTGTGTTTTTACTTTTTGATTTGTAATGTTTTAAATGTAAACAGCAAAATGAATACTCAAAACTCATGGGCTGTAACCAGAAAGCATCTCTTCTCTTTGTGCCTCCCTGCCACCGGGGCCATCCTTCCTCAGCTCAGCCGTGAAGACAGGCTGTCTATAGCTTTTCTTCTTTAACCACTGGTTATTTAGGAATGTGTTATTTAATTTCTACATACTTGGAATGCCCAGAATTTTGTTGTAATTAATTCCTAATTTCCTTCCACTGTGGTCAAAGAATATACTTTGATTTCAGTCCTTTTAAATTCATCAAGGCCTGTTTTATGGCTAAGCATATGGTCTGTCATGGATTTCTTAATGAATTTCAAGATCATAAATAACCAGTGTATGATATTTTCTAGAACTGACCATAATTGTAATTTTAATTGTAGCTACTGTTAAAGACTAGTTGCTTAATGTGACTTTGACCTTGAAATATTTAAATACTGACAGTGTGTTTGAAACCTCATTCCAGTTTTGACTAGAATGTTCTGAATAGCTTTGGGTAATAATTTATTGTTTCTGTTAATAACATTGCTCCCTTCCTTTAGAGTAACCTTTGGTGCATAAGTTCAAATAAAATTTATAACTGAGAAGGTGATTAAGATTAGAATAAAGTGATAAGGTATTTTTCCAGAAAGTGTGCACATAAAATATTATTGTCTTAATGATTATATTGTATTTAATTGAACCCCATATTCTGCCAGTGTCTGCAGTAGTCTTTTGTTGTTAATTAGGTACCTTTGAAATCATTGCCCTTTGGGCGTCTATAGAATATCAGGAAGGTGTGACATTGTGTAAGTAGGTTATTCAGGCCTCAAAGGTCAATGCATCATAAATCAGTAAGTACATATCAAATTCCCACTTTTCTATCAATTCCTTGAAGGCAGGGATCATGTGTTTTTCATTCCTCCCATTTGTCGATCACAGATTATCTGGAACATACAAAGTTCAGTGGCATGTCTTTAAAAATTTAAAAGATGTATAAGAAAATCCCAAATTACAAACAGAGTAGTTTACAATGGTTTCACTCTTCATAACATAGTTTTCTACAGAAATATGTGTGTCTCCTTAGAAATGACTATATAAATAGAAATGATAATAAAATATAGTAATAAACAGAGGCAGAAAGTCCACTTGGGAATCTGTAAGAAAAGTTAAAAACAAGGGGACTGTCACTGGGACAGAGAGAAGGGATTCTCTGGAAACTATGCAACAGGCAAAGTCCACTAAAAATGAAGATGGCTTTGTTGTGAGCACTGAGGACAAGGGAGGGCCTAAGTAAAATAAAAGTCCCAGGTCTGGCATGAGCATCTAGGAGAGTGGCAGGGGCATTTTACAAACTAAAGAGGAATAGGGAGATCACAAGCTGAGTGCATCAATTATTCTTCAAGGTGTCAGACTGACCTTGAAATAGAAGATAATCTAGAGGGAAAAACCTCACTGTAACAGAAAACTTCTCCCATCTCCCACTACAAATAAAACTAAAGGGAGTTTCCATTTGTTTGGGACCCAGAAAATAACTTTCTCACTGTACCACAGATTTTCTAAAGATTTTTCTAGCACAAAAATAACATTTCTTCATTATATGCAATTTGTCACTAGAGGAAAAAATGTACAAAAGAAATGGAATCACCTGTAATTATATCACATACAGGAAATCACTGTGAATCAATGTTCACATTTTGGAACTTGCCCTAATAAACTTGTTTAAATACATAAATAAAAATATGCCACCATCTAGGCCATGATTGTATATTTTGCAGTTTAGTACTGCGTAAGAAGTAACCTCTCATGTCATAACAATTTCTTATGATTATCATAATAATTATATGATACTCCCATCTAAAGAATGTATCATAATTTATTTAACTTTTCATATACAGCTTTAAGTAAAAAAGGAAGAGTATTTTAGTTTATCAGTCTTAGTCTGAATTTTGGATCATTTCTGTGTTCATGCAATGGAGTGATCTTTCAATAGATGTGAATGTGTTGTGCCTCAGAGTAGTCAGTTTCTTAATAGGTATAGCATCTGTCAAGCAGGGACTTATGACTGGGAACTATACAAGATTCTGGGGATATGGCAGTAAACAGAAAAGAACATTTTCTTTTTATGAGGAGAATATTTGCTACTGGGGAGATAGCTATTTAAGAGTAAAAAAATAAATAGCAAGCAAGGGCTAAAGAAGAAATTAAAGTGTTAAATAGACATAACAGTAGAAGAGAGTGACACTTTCAGAGAGAGTGTGAAATAAAGACCCCACAAGAAGACGACCTCAAGACAAATCCCCAGCCATTGCACCATCTAGAGGAGGGCATTTCCGACAAAGGGAACAGCAAGTGCAAAGGTAAAAACACTTGGCCTAATTTGGAAAGTGAAAGGAGGCTGGTGTCCCTAGAGTGTATTTAGCCTGGGGACCATTTCCACTTCAGGATGAGATTTAGGAGTCAGATCATGCATAAAATGGTGGGCCAGGGTGAGGAGCTTATTCGTTGGACAAAGGGTAGGCAGGAATTATTTTCCAGTAGGGAGGGATAGGATCAGAACCTATGTTTTGAAAACTCTCATCCTGATTACTATGTGGAGAATTTAAAAAAAAGGTAAGAGTCCTAATGGAGAGACCAGTGTGGAGCAGCTACTGTAGTCTAAGTGTCAGCGGGTGTCTGAGGAGATTAAGAGAGGTAAACTAACTTGGTATATACTTAGGAGTATATGGAAGATATAAGCTCATGGCAGCTAACTATAAAATAGTTATAGGAAGTTGAGGAAAAGGGGGCGGGGAGGTGATTGAAGATATTTTCTAAATTGTGTGCATGAGAAAATGAGTGAATGCTGGACAACATGGTACACTTCATCAGATAGATGGGGGCAGTGGCAAAGATACATCTGTTTTAGACATATTAGGTATGAGTTGCCTATTAGACACCAAATTGAGATATCAAAGACGCAAATGGTATTGGAGATGGGAGTGGGAGATATGGAGTGGTGGGAAATATAAACTTGGGAATATCAGTAGGAATAAAGAGTCAAGGGAGAGGTTGTTACAGATAGCAAGTGGAAGCATGTTTATATACTAATGGGAATAATCTAGGAGAGAGAGAAATTGAAAGCATAGGATATAGGGAGGATTACTGAAAAACTAAAGTTCTGAGATAACTCTGGGAGACAGTATAGAACATGCCTCAGAGGTATTCCAGCTAAGGCATGTGGAAGGTGGGAAATTTATTTACCAACTCACATCACTCACTGTTTGACGGGTGATGGGGGGCATTAATTCCCCAGCATTTTCTAGTCTATTCTGGACTTGAGATAAAACAGTTCTGGTGAGCAGAGAAAGCCATCAGGCAAAGACTCCTAAAAGCTTGCAGTTAGAAGCCATCGAGTTGACATATTACAGGAATGGTGACTACCAAGGGTATATGGGGCACCAAGAGGGTCTTCTACTCTGTCCTGGTTGATGTTTTCTCCATTTCTGAGCCTTTAACATAGAAACTGAAAACAAGAACAACTCTGACTGATAATAAACAGGAATGAAGATACAAAAAGTATTTTAGCTATAGCTGTGCCTCCCATACAGAGACCTGATTTGGGAACTGCAGTTGTTAACTTCCCTTGCTTTCAGTTACCCAATCTGTAGAAGGGTGGGCAGAAAGTAAAAAAAAACAATAAATAAATAAAAAATATATGTATGCACACACACATATACATACGTATATATACATATATGTGCATGTGTATATACATATATATCTTCTTTACAATTCTTGTTTTCAATTATTTTAAGTTATCGGTAGAGGAATTCGCCATTGTCCTCCCTCATTAGATATATCAAAACATTTCAAGGGATATATATCTGCCATCTACCACTTCAACTTGTTATACCTCCTTTGAGTATCTACCCTTTACAGGTCAAGGTTCAAAGCATTTTATATATATTTAACCGCTATAGCATTGATTTGAGGGAGTTAACATGATTCTCATTATAGGTGAAGATTCTGGTTCTGAGAGGTGATATGATTTCTCTGAACTCAGATCCTTCTGAATTCCAAACACTCGTTTCTATATACTGCAGGAGAGTGAGATGGTGACAACTATCTTTGCAATGAAAGGGAATGAGGACGCTGCATCGGACTCTTCACTCAGCAAAGGCGGCGGCGGTTGATGCTAACCTGAGAGAACAGCAGGAGGCTATGGGAATCCTTTCTGCAAATTCAGCCCATCATTCCAGGTTCACTTTCCCCTTTGGTTTCATGAGCAGCATTGAAGAGAGTGCATGAGGGTTCTGCAGGGTTCCCTCTAATTTGAAATTTTTAAGTTCACACAATTCGTTATTATTAACTTCCTATTACGGTGAAGCAAGTAACTGGCGATCACAATGAAAATGGCAGCCGCGACTTCACCACGGCAACGATGACGCCAATCGTCGACAGGTTCACCAATATAATTTAGTTCCGGCCTGCCAGTTTAACGTCACTTCCGTTCCCGGCGCAGCGCACGGCATCTCTCTTTTCCTGCAGCAGCCGTGAATGGATCCCGGGAAGTGAGTGGACTCTGAGCAGAGGGAAAGTCTCGCAGAGGGAATCCGAAATAATGAGAGGCCAGGAATATGGAAAGGGGAGGCGGGAAACCCGCGGCTATTGTCGCAGTTTTGACTGAGCCTCGGTTTACGCAGCGATACAGGGAATATCTCCAGAAAGAAAAACTCTTGGATAGACAGCACCGCGTGGAAAAGATGCCGGATGGCTCTGTGGCGCTACCCGTGCTGGGAAAGACGCTCCCTGAACAGCACCTGCAGGAGCTGAGGAATCGTGTGGCTCCAGGTAGCACCTGTACGGTAACACAGCTCCTGGATCCGGTTCCTTCAAAGAAGGCCCAAAGTTGTTCACCTGCCCGAAGGCTGGGTCTTGAGGTGAGACGCTGGGTAGAGGCCCGGGGAGTGACATGGTCAGCTGAATTGGAGGCTGATTTGCCCCGGTCTTGGCAACGGCACGGTAACCTCTTGCTGCTGAGTGAAGACAGTTTCCAAGCCAAGCAGTGGGAAAATCTGGAACCAGAACTCTGGGAGATTGTTGCCTCGGCACTTGGTGTCCAGCGTTTGGCCAAACAAGGACGGATATCACCGGATGGCGCTCGAACTCCAGCAGTGACGCTGTTGCTGGGCGACGATGGCTGGGTTGAGCATGTGGATAATGGGATCCGATATAAGTTTGACATAACCCAGTGCATGTTCTCCTTCGGAAATATCACTGAGAAGCTTCGAGTGGCGTCACTGCCCTGTGCTGGACAAGTGCTGGTGGATCTCTTTGCAGGGATTGGTTATTTTACTTTGCCCTTCCTAGTTCATGCTGGTGCTGCCTTCGTCCACGCCTGTGAGTGGAACCCCCATGCTGTAGTTGCTCTGAGAAATAACCTTGAGATTAATGGAGTAGCAGATCGGTGCCAAATACACTTTGGGGATAATAGAAAATTGAAGCTCTCAAACATTGCAGATCGGGTGAACCTGGGGCTCATTCCCAGCTCTGAAGAAGGCTGGCCCATTGCCTGCCAAGTGCTACGAAAGGATGCTGGGGGCATTTTGCATATCCACCAAAATGTGGAATCTTTTCCAGGGAGGAAGCTCCAGCCTTCTGGAAGCAGTGAAATTAAGGAGGAGCATTGGCCTTGTCCTCAGCACATTATCACCAACCATTTGGAAAATGAAGCTACCAGGGATTCTAGGAGAAAAGTGCTGTCAGCAGCCATCAAGCCAGAATGGCACAGGTGGGCAGAATCTGCAGAATCTCGTATTGTCACTCTTCTTCAGCAGGTGCACGGGAAACCGTGGAAGACAAAAATCTTGCACATCCAACAAGTGAAATCCTATGCTCCCCATGTAGATCACATAGTCTTGGACCTGGAATGCCGCCCATGTCCTCTGGTTGGCTAGAAAAGGTGGATCCAGAGACATGAGGATCTATGTGTGAGTGACCCTTAATGCATCAGCTCAGGCCGGGTTCTCACCCCTCTTGTCTCTGGGTGATCTCATTTAATATTTTGTGGCCCTGAAAGTAGCCTCTAGACCAACCCAGATCACTTCATTTGTGTTCCATTGATCACACTGAGAATGAGCTACGTATCTGGGAGAAGTAGTACGGCTCACTGAAATGAGGCCTATCTATGCAATCAGTGAATTCCAAATTTTCACCTCAGTTCTGTCTGACCGTGGGTACAGGGTTTCAATATTCTTTTGGCCTTGGATTTTCTTATTCGCATATGAGGGTTGCTTTGAACTGCTTCACGTGACTTTTATTTAATAAGTAGTTGTACACAGTGCATTGGTTATTTCAGAGTGAAATGCATTGCTCTTTTCAAATCACTCTTGTTACAATATGGGAAATCAACTGTTGGGTGGCCAGGATGGAAGACCAGTGAGGAGGTTTCTCTGGTGGTCCAGGTGATGGTGGCTTGGGCTAGGGTGGTGGCAGTGATGATAGAAAATCGATGGAACTAAGCAATGGAGCCCATATCAAGGCATTAAAATGGTGCTGCTTTATTATCGCTGACAAAATATGGAGGGAAGGGGACAAAAATTACTTTAGTGTATTAACTCTATACCCCTACTTTGGCATTCATAAATGAGAGTGGAGGGGGGCATGTCTTAAATATTGGGTTTATTGTGGTAAAAAAAAAAAAGGGGGTAAAATGATTGCTTTATGTCATAGGAAAACTAGCTTTTCAGTATTAAGCTTGTGCAGTAGCTGCCAATTGCTAGTTATTTTAAAAGTTCAAATTAAAACCTCAGATTTTTAGCCATGGCTGGTGTGGCTCAGTGGGTTGGGTGCTGGCCTGCAAACCAAAGTTTCACTGGTTCGATTCCCAGTCAGGGCACATGTCTGGGTTGCAGGCCAGGTCCCCAGTAGGGGGCGCGTGAGAGGCAACCACACATGGATGTTTCCCTCCCTCCCCCTCTAAAAATAAATAAAATCTTAAAAAAAAAGACTGGCAAAGCCAAATATATTTTTAAAATAAATAAATCTTCAGATTTTTAAAGGCTTCAGGCTCTTTTCATCTGCCTTCCCTGGCCAACATCAAGACAAGATGAGGAGCTGTAAGAGAATGTGAGGTGTTCTGTAGAGTTTTTCAAGCCTCACCTTATTTTATGGCTGTCAGCCACCACCATTGTTCACCCTTAGGATGACTAATTATAAAGAATCACTACTCTGTCTTTCGGATGACTAATTGTAGAGAGTCACTCTTGTTTACCTTTGGGATAACTATTGTAAAGAATCGCTTCTCAGAGCTTTATTTTTGGTGCACTTTGAAACGATCTGGGCTTGCTTCCCTGATGAAGGAAATAAAAGTGTGTGGCTTTATCAGGATTATGATTGTACCAGGCATTTAGCTGGCTGGGGCTGGGCTGGGCTGGGCTGCCTGTTCTCCTTGCAACAGTGGCACTAAAGACATGAATGGTGCTGTTTGTGTTATTCCACAAATATTAAGTGTCTACTATATACATGAGCCACAGGAAATACACTCATTAGAAACTGTTCCTGTCTGAGGAGCTCACACCCTAGCAGCAGAAACAACACAAATACTCAAAAGAATTGGAATACAATGATATAAGTGCCATATGGGTGGTAGCATGTTGTAGGAGTGCAAAGGTGAAGAAAAGTTCTGAGAAATGAATGGTGAAGTCTTCAGAGAGGTAGTGTTTGATTTGGCTCTTAAAACCTGGGTAAAATTTAAGTAAGTGGAGTCAGGGTGAAAACATTCTAGTTGAAGAGAATAACAGGTACAGAAGTTTGAATGCTCAGAAAATGTCCGGAATGTTGCCATTAGATCAATTTGGAACAATGGAAGCAGTGAAAAATGTGTTGAAGGCAGGGTCTGTTATAAGAATTAAAAAAGAACCAGGGTCTTGTACACAGTAAGCCCCCAGAAAGTGTTAACTATCATGTGATCCCATCATGAAAGTGGCCTTTCTATGTTTGCCTTAATCATCTCCTCTGGTACATTTTGAGTTTGTTCTCACGTGTGTACCTGTGGCTTTCTTGTCTCAAAGTAAAGATGCCAAGTTGGGGGTTGAGCCAAAATGGGGAGGAAGGCAGGGGACACACAGTGAGGAAGATGAGTCAGACAGCCACATGTCCAGGGGCTGAGGAATTACCTTCCTGCCATTAGCTGTGGATAGGCAACACCTGAATGAATTCATTCACCCTGATGTATGCATCAGACCCTGAGTGTTCACTGGTGAAAGAAGACTGACATGGTTCTGAAATTTTTAGGGGCCAGTGATCTGCTTAAATGTCAAGGTACCTTATTCACAGTAAAGAAGAAATTCTTGCATCTTACTCACTCTTTATCAATATTATTCTGCTTCCAAAGAAACACACTAAGCTCTTTAGGCTTTGTGGAAATTTAGAACTTGGGAATGCTGCTCTGACTTATATACTGAATGACACAAGGCTGCCAGTTTTCAGTGGGATCCAGAGCATTAAAACTGTAGCAGGTACAGCCTGCTGTGCAATTAGTCATGTTGGATGGGCCATTCATTCCAGGAGATTCTGTGGGGCAATAGTATCTATGACAAGCAGAACAGCCATGATAATTAACAGCAAGTTCCAACAGAAGAATCACAAGGTAGTCTCTTAGGGTTCTGTAGCAAGGCATTCAAAAGTGGCTCCTGATGGCTCCTGGTGGGCCTTGGTAGGAACTAAGCATCTCAGGAGACATCAAATGACCCTGTAGCCAGATTGTCCAATTATGGGCTGGGTTTTGTCAGACCTACCATGTCAATCCATCATAAGATGGAAGTGGTACATCTGGAATTGATGACAAGCTGAGTCAGAGTAAACGAACAGGTGCACAGGCAGGTGGCGCAGACTCCCATGTCATACTTACATTCTTGCACCAATGTCCCCTCCTCAGCTCACAATTTTGGCTACTTGAGAGGCTGTTATGTCTAATTGAAGGAGGACAACAAAAGCCAGAGCTACGTTCATTGATTTGTTTTCTTGGAATAGGGGTTCAAAACAAAAATCTGCTGCTGCCCTACAGCCCTACTTAGCGGTGGTCTTAAAAAAAACACCAGTGAGGGCTATCTTTTAAGGCAGAATTTTGGGGAATATTCTGGTCATCCACTATGTGTGGAAAGAAAAGTGGCCTGAAGTAAGACTATACCTTTGTGGCATTGGCAGATAGGTTGGCTAGTTGTTCAGGAGCCTGAAATGGGAAAAATTAGGAGATCTTTCCCTGGGAACCCTAGGAAACCCTGGGAAAAAAGCAGTGGAGAAATCTGTAGGCTAGGGCATACATGTGAAGAATTTTGTATTGTGTAACGGTGCCTACCAGGGACAATCTACCATGCAAGGAGGTACTCAACAATCATGTAAACCAAAAGACTTGACTAGTTAACTTAAGCAACTATAATCATCAGCAAACCCAGTAATGTTATAATGGGCTCATGAACAAAGTAGTTGCAGAGAGGCAGGTGAGCAAGAGGACAACAGCATGGCTACCACTCACCAAGTAGCCACTCCTCAGGTTCAACATTGAACCCTTGATACACCACCATCCCTTAAGGAAACCAAGCAGATGCTTGGTAGTAAGTTGACTATATTGGACTTCTAGGCTCGAAGGACAGTGATTCACCTTTACTAGGATATTACTATCTTCAGGTATGAGCTTGCCTTTCCTATGCACAAAACGTTGGCCAGCACTACTATCCAAGGGTTTACAAGTGTTTGATCCATTAATATGTATCCTATGTAATACTGCCTTTGACCTAGGGACCTACTTTACAGCAAGGGAGGCATTTTAGTAGGCACATGGCCGTGGGATTCACTGGTCCTATCACATACTACACAGCCTAGAAAATGTTGGTCTGATGCAGTGATGGAAAAACCTTTTGAAACTAATGATAGCCCCACTAAGACACAAAATATACTCTAAATAAAAAGTGATTATGTAGTGTCATGTCCCTTTATATATAGAAAAGTCAGGTCTGTGAATGAAAGAGTAGAAGTAGAATTCTACCCTTTTATTCTACCCAAGTTAAGCTGAGTATTTGTCCCTTTGGGGGCTATTACTCTCTGCCTTCCTATCAGCACCCCCATATTCCATTTGAAGGAAACACATAGTATTTAGGCGGGGAGGGGTGGGATGGGTAATTATAAGTGCCTGTTACCTACTGCTTCTTCCTACTAAGGAAACTGCTTGTACTTGTCCTCTGGTATAGGGTAAGGTAAGATATACATGGTCCAATAAACTTAACCAATTGCATGGTCACTCTTGGAACGTGAAGTCTTGACATATAATGATAGCCCAGAATCAGTTTCTGTTGCTTGGAACAAAGGCTTGGCTGATGAAAATGTTGACAAAATTCAAACTAGTTTTTACACAACCTATTATTGAAAGGCTTTTTTACAACACCTAAAAGGCGTCTGAATCATTAAAGCCGAATGAACAGATTGTTATTTTTGACCGTGGGTAATTTATATATATGAAGTGTGTTGTGCATGCATGTGTACCCCCCCTCCCCATACTGTTCTGGATAGACTCGATGTAAATATACACCTGAGTTGTGCAACATTCAAATCAATGTAGAAACCAAACAAAGATTACATTCAGTGAGTTGTAGTTATTTCTTTGAAAGCTTATCTTTTATTTTAAAAATTCCTAACCATCTAAAAGCTACCTCACTGATATAAATTTAATTTTAAAGTAGTATTTTAAAGTACTTGTCTTAGTCTTCATTTTATGGATGGTGAGAGTGAAATGTAAAAAGTTTAAAGAGACTTGCTTGAAGTCATAGATGAGAAAGATAAGAACGTTACCACTCCTGAGAGTTCTTGGCCCAAGATGGAATTTAGTTTGAATTAGAAATCCTGACACTAATAAAATTTGTGCATCAAATTAAGATAGGAAACTGTTAAAAGATTAATAAGTATTTCCTCATGTTTAAAAGCTTTTAATATTTACTACATTTAACTTTTTAAATAAAAATTGGAGTAAAGCCCATAAACTTTTATATTCCATTTTGCATGGTCATAATATAATGGTACTTACCTCCAGTCTCCTTACCATACTTCTCTTTTAGATTAGTCCTTGTGGACCCCTTTCTCCATTATGGCCTTTCTCTTTTTGCTTTAAATTGCAATTAGGGCAGAATAACAGGTGGATTGAGTAGTTAATTTACATCTCTGAGGTTTCTACCTAAGCGTCCTTAGTCCTCTCATCTTACTAAGCTTGCTTTCCTTTGGGAATTTTGTCAAAACCGCAAGGTTATTCCCCAGATGCCCAGTTTAGGTAGATTAACCCCCAGAAGTAAATAGACCAGATTGGAAAAATTGTGATCATGTTGATGTCGCAATAAACAGGCAAGCTGCAGTAGGATTTTAGGTTAGGATACTGCCAGTGGGTTAAGATACTGCCAGTGACAATTGTAAGGAAACAGATTCAAGAGCCTGCCCCCCTCCCCCCAAAAAAAGGTAAGATTTGATTGCAGATTGGCTATGGGTGAAAAAAGGAAGGAGTCCAAGATGCCTGAAATCCTAGGCTCCAGGTAGCCTTGAGATCAAATACTGCATTTTACTCTTAAGTAGCTTTGGCCATATTGGCCACCTAACTTTTCGATCTTGATAACTTATCTAAGCCTCAGTTTCCTCCTCTCTGAACCAAATAATAATACCTATCAAGCCCTGGCCAGTATTGTTGGTTGGAATGTCTTCCCACAGAGCAAAAGCGAATCCATAAATTGCAGGTTCGATTCCTGGTCAGGGCACATACCTGGGTTGGGGTGTTTGGTCCCCAGTCTGGGCACATACAGGAGGCTACCCATCGATGGTTCTCTCTCTCTCCCCCGCTTTCTAAAATCAATAAGCATGTCTTCAGATGAGGATTAAAAAAAAACTATCAAAATAAGGCTGATAAAAAAATTTAAGTAAAATGTAAATCCCTTAGCATAGTGCCTAGTACATAATAAGCACAGATGGCAATCATTATTAGTGGGGGATAACAATACAAGGTTAAAAACATGAGACTGGAGTAAGGAGTTTGGGTGTGGGTTCAGTCATTCTACCACATCTACCAACATCCAGAGGAAGAGGTCCTGGAGTTCTGTAATCCTCCACCGTTACGGAGAGTTCTTATCTGATACAGGATAATCACCCATCTAGAGCCCTGATACAAAGTGGATTGCAGAGTACGATTTGGGTTAGGAACCCAAGTGAGCCAGGTTCTTGCTTACCATTTGATCCTCCTTATTCTGAGATGGCGAGGTCTACAGTGCAGACTCAGACCTAATGTCCATTCTTACTTGCTGGTGAAGGAAGAGGAAGACAAAGATGACCAGATTAGTGTATTAATTATATGGATAGGCAAGAAAAAGGGGCGGGCGGGGGGTGGGGAACCTTTCCTTTACCGTCCTAGGTTCTGAGGCTGAGCCCCAGGTAATTAAACTGATAAAAGAGATTATTAACAAGAGAAAAACAGTTTTACTAACTCATGAGGTGCATACACACCTGGGATAAACTCACTGATGAGTAGTATCTCAAACGGGATGGCTACAACCGGGGGTTCACATAGCATTTTAAGAAAGAGCAATACATTTATAGAAAAGTGACAAGACAAAAAGGGATTTAGGCTTCTAGAGGGTGGCAACTGTGGGAAGGTAAATAAATATATAGGGGAAACTAGTGGAAGAGGATTAGTAAGGTTAGTGGGTGATTCAAAGTAGAGGAGTCCTCTTACAGGTGAGGGAGAGGGAGATACCTTTGCAGATGCACATCTATGTCCTACTTTTTAGGCAAATGTGTTTGGGGGCGGTGGAGGCAAGAGAGCTTTTGTGTGTGTGTGTGTGTGTTGGGGGAAGGGACTTCAGCTCTTGTCTTCAGCTCAAAATAATCGTGTCAAAGTGACATACTTTGGGGTAGCATGTTCTGATCCACCTACAAAAAAACACAATAAAAGTTTGGCTTCTTAAGCCCCGGAGGAAAGAAGGGATTGCCTGGGCGTGGTTACCTCAAAGACTTGAAATCAGAGACGGAGGTGGGTTCTTACCCTCAAGTCACAGCAGCCCTTGGTATCAGTAAAATGTGGCCGATGAGTGTCCTCAGTTCTGTCCAGTTTGGGAGGAGGTGGTTAGGGTGATGGGCAAAGGGATAAGAGGTTATGTTTTTCTTGGTAGCGCCTACGATACCTCGTCCAGAGCCACAAACGGCGGCTGCTACGTCTCCTCACAGGTATCTTCCCTGGAATGTCAGGCGTCTTTCAGGCCCGGCCTCCCGGTGCGATGGGGGAGGTCTGCGGGCGGCGCCCTTTGGCTTTCCTCTGCTCAAGCATCTTTGAACTATGTTTATGGGACGGTAAATGGGCCTTAATAAAACAACAAATCGCTGCCGCCCGTGGAAGTAGGGAGTTCCTCACTGAGTCCAAGCCGCCGTAAGGGAGCTGGGCCCTCCTGAGGCTGGAAGGCGCGGCTGCTGCAGAGCGCCTGCGCCACGGGGTGGCACCCAAGTCGCGAAGCCTAGCGGAAACCATGGCAACGCTGTGAGACGTTTGCTACGCCGTACGTGATGACGACATGGGGAGCGCCCTACCTCCGATTGTGACGCGGCGACAGCGCGGTCTCCGCGATCTCGCGTGACCGCGAGCGCAGCCTCTGAGCCTTGCAACAGCAGCAACGGCCGAGCCGGCGGGCGAGGTCAAGATGGTGGCTCCACGGGCGGGGGAAACGGTGGAGGGAAGCGGAGCCAAACCTTAGTCAGCTGAAAACACCGACTCCCAGGGGCCTCCCGGAAGCCGCTGCCTCCTCAGCCGCCGCCGCCGCCGCCTGCTCCTGCTGGAGACGCGAGCGGGCGGCGGGGCGGGCCGTGAGAGAGACAGGAGAGGAGGGAGGGGCGGAGTTGCCCGCCTCAGCCCCCGCCCCTGGCCGCCGTCCCGGGCCCTGCCCCGCGCGGCCCTCCAGGGCCCGCCCAGCCCCGGTGTGGCAGCGGCTTATGGCGGCGGTGGGGCCCCCGCAGCAGCAGGTGCGGATGGCCCGTCGGCAGGTCTGGGCGGCGCTCGAAGTGGCGCTCCGCGTGCCCTGTCTCTACATCGTCGACGCCATCTTCAACTCCTACTATGATTCCAGCCAAAGCCGGTTCTGCATCGGGTTCCAGATCTTCCTCCGGCTTCTCGGTAAGGGCGAGGGGGTAGCCTGCAGCCTCGGACGGCTGTGTGGGCCGAGACGTGCCTCAGAGAGTGCTTCAGGGCAGCCGCGCGCAGGTTGTGGGTTGTGTGGGTGCGGGCGTATGTCAGTGTGTGAGAATGTGTGAGATTGTGTTTGTGTGTGTGTGTGACAGGGCGTGTGACAGTGGGGGGGGGTGTGTGAGAATGAGAGAGACTGTGAGAGAGCTGTGTGTGTGAGAGCGTGTGTGATTGCGAGAGGCTGCGCCTGAGTGTGCGCGTGCGGGAGAGCCGGGTTCGACCCCCGCAGGGGCGCCCTTGCGGGCTGCGGGAGGGAGGATGTGACACCAGCATCCGAGTTCGCCGCAGCGCCGCGCTCGCCGCGAGTCAGCCCCCCGGTCCTTTCTGCACCTGAGGGAGGGAGGGACGGACGGGAGAGCGCCTGCCTGTGGGAGCGTGCGGCTCTGCCTGCTCTTCTCTGGGGCAGCGAGTGCGGGCTTACCCGTCCCATGCGGCAGCCTTGCGGGAACAGCCACTCTTTTTGCCCCCTTCTCGCTGTGTGTGACCTTGGCCTTGTCGTGCTCTGGCCTGGGCCTCAGTTTCCTCCTTTCCAAAATGCAGAGCTCTTGTGCGTTGTCACTTATGTACCCACGGGGCCCACAAGATGGTCAAGTGTCCGCGGTAAATGACATCCAAAGAACGAGAGAGAGACAGGGTTTCTATTTCCCAGACCCCGAACCCATTACTCAAAATCTTCATAAAGAAGACGATATTTATACCAGGTCCTAAAGTTTTCCATGAATGAAGTAGAGGTATTCAAAGAAAAAACGTGGCCAGAAAGTGATGAGACTTTTCCCAGAGAGACTTCTGAAAATCAGTGTTTTTGTTGCATGTGAATATAGTGTTGAAAGCATCTTATGTTTCATTCCCCATCTTCAATCGCATCGCCGAATGAGAAACATTTATGTATAAAGTAATTTTTTAAGTGATTGAAGCTTGGCAGATTTTGCTGATGAAGTAATTGTGCTAAGGTTTTAATAGGGTAATGCTTTGAAGTGTTGCTAAAGTGATACTGAGGTCCTTACCCAAGCCTTTCTGAATTATGAGCCATCTGTTGCGTCTTCAGTCTGACAAAATCATGGTAATGTTGAGTTTTGTTCTTAGCAATAAATAGCAATATTTTACATTTGTTTGGTACTTTATTTTTTCAAAGCATTTTTACTAGTATTATCTAACCTAATAGTTAACCTTCAGAAATCCCTCAGAGGTGGGTGGTGGTATTCTCATTTTGCAAGTGAGAAAACTGAGGGTCTTAGAGGCTGTGTTTTTGCTTTTGATAGATACACAGCAAATAAGTGGTTGCCAGAGCCCAGGTTTAAAAATCTTCTGACATCAGTGGTGGTCCATTTTCCTCCTCAGTACAGCTGCAATCCAGATACAGAATGGTATAGTAATGATCACATGCTAGATCTTAAAACTAACAGATGTGTACATGCTGTTCTTTAGCACAGGGCTTATCAGTAACCCGCCAGTTGCTTAACACCAGCCATTCCTGCATACCTCTGCAAAAGATTAGTGTCCTCATCGGTGGCAAAAATGGAGCTACAGTTTTGTAATGTATACAAATATCAAACACCTGAAACTAATGTGTTGCACACCTAATATATTATGTCATAGTCAATTATACATCGATTAAAAAAGCATTAGCTAGCTTTAATATTTCATACTTAACATTTTATTCTGACAGTCATGGGTTAATGTTAAAATGAAATTAGTTAGAATGGGGCTGTTGGCTGAACAAGCCACCTGCTGCTTTTTGATTACTCAGTGGTATGACTTCGATTTGGAACCTCACTTGAAACACCCTACCTATTGTATTTTGTTGCCTTGGACAAATGTTTCCAAATAACATGTGGTTACAAAAATAAATAATGTAGATCACTCTTTATAATAATAAAAAAAGAGTAGGAGAGCTGTTGGGAGGGCATTTTATTCACGACAGAAGTCATCTGCAGTGACTGGTATGGCTCAATGGTTTGGGCATGATCCCTCAGAGTGAAGGGTCGCTGGTTCGATTCCTGGTCCGGGCACATGCCTGGGTTGCAGGCAGAGGCCCCGGTTGGCGGGTTGGCAGTTACGAGGGGTGCAGACTGATGTTTCTCTCACTCTTTCTCCCTCCCTTCCTCTCTCTCTAAAAATAAATAAATAAAATCTTTATAAAAAAAGTCACTCATGATCATAAGTTACACTAACAGACTGCCGTCCACCCCCTGCCCCCCCCCCCCCCCCCCGAAAATAAAAGAAAAAACAGAAGGTAACAATCTTTTAAATGCTGTGCTCTCAGAGTTGAGCTTCACACTAGGGAGCTTTAAGGAAAAGGAGTATTTTCCTTAATGAAATAATTTGTGGTTTAAGAACACAGAACAAAGTCATCTATTATTTGTGTGTGTGTGTGCATGCTCTCTCCATGCTTTTTTAAAAAAATGTTTATTGATTTTAGAGAGAGAGGAAGAGGGGAGGGGGAGAAAGAGAAAGAGAAACATCAGTTGGTTGCATTCACGTACATGCTCTGACTGGGAATCAAACACGTGACCTTTTGGTCTAGGCCTACAGGATGATGTTTTAACCACCTGAGCCACACCAGCCAGGACCTTATCTGTACCTTTTTATTTTTTTTAAATATTTTATTTACTTATTTTTAGAGAGGGAAAGGGAGGGATAAAGAGGGAAAGAACCATCTTTGTGAGAGAGAAGCATCGACTGGTTGCTTCTTGTAGAAGGTGGACTGGGAACTGAACTGGCAACCCAGGCAGGTGACCTGACCAGGAATCGAACCCACGACCTTTCACTTTATAGAATGCCACCCAGCGAACTCAGCCACACTGGTTAGGGATCTGTACCTTTTGAAAGATGGACAATAATAATATCTCTCTCATAGGGTATTAAGGACAGTAAATGAGATAGGATGTAAGCCTTTTAGTCCCTGGGACCTAGTAAGGGCTATTTAAGTGTTAGCTATAGTAAGCCTGTTAGCTTTTTAAAAAAAATTTCAATACTTCAGTTAAAACCATACTGTTACAGATGTTTTGGTCTTTTGAAGGCATCAGTGAAATGTTGGTGCTATTTGAAAATTTTGCTCTCAAAATATTTTCTGGGTCAGACTTTATCAGAAATACAAAAAATTTTCAAACTGTCACCTGGCTATTCCTTACATTATGCCAGTGTAATTATTAATTTTTCACATCTGTAAGTGAAAGTTTTTAAGAAACTGGCTTTGGTGCTAAAAAAATTCATCCTGAGTAAAAGCAAGTGTCTTAAGTATTTAAGACCCATTCAGTGAGGCATCATCTGTTTTTTAAAATGACAGATTTTGTGTAAAAGATACCAAAGGATAGTTAAAATTAAGTGTCCTGTGTGGTTATTGTTTTTAGTAATTGTAGACCTTTCTTTATCATTCATATACTGTTGTAAACTTGGCAGTCTGACCTCTTTCTTTAAAATGATATAAAAATTAGGCATCTGAAGAATACAATTCCCTTTTGCTACAGTAAGCAAAATGTACTTTCATTTGATATCAAACTAATAAGAGAATTTCAACAGGTTAGAAAATAAAGCACCTTATTTTGGAGATCCAAATAAAATGATATCACAATGTATAGAATATTTAAGAATGTTAAGCTACTCTTAGGAGGTGTTAAATGCCAAATGAAATGCAGTCCACTGCAGCATAATGCTGAGTTAGCAAATCTAATTCCAAGGCAGAAAATGCAAGCATAGGAGTTTGTATTAATAGTATTACTCATAGATTGATAATTCATTGAAGTGGAAAGTCCTTTTTAAACATAAAAGAAAATCCAGAAATTACACGGGATATATTCCTTATTAAAAAATTCTTAAAAAATAGCACACTGGGAGAAAAATATCTGCATCATATGAGATTGTGGAAGTTTTACTCTGCCAAAAAGAAAAACTTATACGGCCAGAGACAAATGGGTAGGCAGTTCACAATAAATGAAATGTAAATGGTCAGTCAGCCTCACTTATAATTAAATAAATACAGTCACAACAAAACCTCTTAGATTGGTGAGGAGTTCAAAGTCTGAATAGAAACTAGTTTGGTGAAACTATAGGGAAATAGTTCAAGTTATACAGTTTTGGTAGGCTGTCACTTCTACGTAAAGCCCTCTGGCGCTATCAACTGAAATTCATCATACTCCTTTTGACACACTTCATTTCTAAGAGTTTGACCTAAAGATATAGTTGCACAAAGACTGTGGGCAAGGATATTGATTGCAGCATTGTTGGTAATGACAAAAAAACAAATTGTTAATATACATATCTATTAAAAGGGAATCTGTTCATTGTATTGTTTAGCCATACAATAAAGTTGTTGAAAAGAATGAGATAGTTAATTTTAGCACAATAGAAAGAACTAAGAAAACCTATGATGTGAAAAAACAAAATGAAGCAGAACTAACTGTGACTGCATAAGGATAGGCTAAGTATTCTAAGCAGTAACACTATTGACATTTGGACAAAGGTAACTCTTTGTTGGGGGTTTCGGTGGGGCCGTTCTGTGAACTGTAGAATTTTTTTCCCCCTCCTTACTTGAGGATATGTTTTTATTGCTTTTAGAGAGAGAGGAAGGGAGAGAGAAACGTCAGTTGGTTGCCTCCCGCACAGGTATTGAGTTCTCAAGTTTTTGGTGTATGGGATGATGCTCCAACCAACTGAGCTGCCTGGCCAGGGTGAATTGTAGGATTTTTAACAGCATCCCTGTTTGCTGCCCCTTTAGATACAAGTAGCACCCCATTTCCTCCAGCTGAAATTGCCAGCAAGGTCTCTAGATATTGCCAGATGACTCCTCGGGGGAGAGGGAAAATAGAATAGAGCCCAGAAATAGGCTACCCACACATGTATAGAAACTAGAGGTAGAACTGAAGTACATTGAGGTAAATATAGAGTATTCAATTGGTGGTCATTTAGTTATCCGTATAGGAAAAAAATAAAAAATGATACTGGCTCTCTACCTCATGTCACTATGTAAACAGTTTTAAGTGAATTAATACCAAGATGTGAAAAGAAGAACTTTAAAATTTTTAGAAAAAAGTAGCATTTTTTTTTTTTTTAACTTTAGAGTAAGGGAAATTTTTTTTTAAATATATAAAAGCAAATGAGTAAAATATCGGTAAATTCAACAATACTAAAATTAAAAACCTCTATTAATCAGAAAGCATCAGAAAAGTTAAAAGACCAGCCACACATCTGTAAAAGATGTCTGCATTACAGATAACTGACAAAGAATTTGTAGTTAGAATATTTTTCTAAATATAATTCATTAAGGAAAACCAACTCCTTAAATGGGCAAAAAAACATGAATGGTCAGTAATTCGGAAGATGCCCTCTTTGGTAAGTAATCAGAAATGCAAAATTTTTAAAGGTAAAGCAACATGAAAACTCATTAAGTAGGAGGATCCTCTGAGTAAAAAGTAAAAAAAGAGTATGAGTTTATAAATATGTTTGTTTATGCAAAGCTATCCTTCATCTACCAGTGGGGTTTGACTCTTCAAAAATCATGTTCACATATTTTTTTAAAAATAAAAACATGTTTAAAACCTTAGTTTACAGGCAAGATTTTAGTTTTACTAAGAAACTTAATATACCCTTTTTTAACCTAAAGTGAGTTTGATAGAAGAACTTTTCTTTATGCTATATTTTATCAAGTACATCTACAGATTACCATTTCAAGGTATTTTACCTTGTCTTGCATTTCATTGGTTGGGGCTCCCTTGGAAGAAAGGTAGTCCTAACATTTATTTCTGTGCTTCATCTTTATTCTGTACAGCACTAAAATATTTTTCCACAGCTTGCTTTAGATTATGTTTTAAAGGTGTATTTAAGGTAGCTGGAGAGTTGTAAATATTCTGTCATGTTTTCTTCTAACTTTAGTTCTAAGTTTCCAGAAAAGGTTAGGGTATGAATGGACTTTCCACATAAAAGAGCTTAAACACTTTGTTGTGTAATATGTTATGGGTTTTTTTGTTTGTTTTTGTTCATTTATTTTTGGTAATCCAAATTGTAAAGGCCCTGATACAGCTTCAAAGCTCCTGAATTGATTTTTGACACCTGTTTCTTTTCTTACCTCAGAAACTTAAGTGAAACTCTTAATCACTGGAAAATTGGATCCCTGAGTTGTGATTTCAGTTAATTCTATTCTCCAGTGTCCCAAGATGGTTTTATTTGTTTTTTTGTTTTTAAATAAAACATCATTTATATATAGCTTTGATTACTTATGCAGGTAACTCTTAAATGCTAATAAGAAACACTACCCCTAGGCTTAATTTTCCTAAGCCAACAGTCTGTAAAGGCCATGACAGGGAATGTTGAGACTTGTTATTTGGGATGTTTACTTTTTTTTCCCCCTGTAAAATGAGAGCTGATTCTTTCTACGTTCCATATGTAGGACCATGAGTTTAAAAGAAAAATTTAAGAACCTTATGTACATGCAAACTTTGGGTAAAAATTAAACAATTTTATATTAGTCTTAAAATATTTGGTCGTTTAATCATACCATCTTGAGGGTATGATTTTAGTCAAGAAAGAGTAGTATCAGGTTATTACTTGCTAGAACACATTTGGACTTTGTGACTGTAGTCTTACTACATTATTTGCCTATCGTATCCTCCTCTTTTCTTCCCTTGGTACATGTGCATAAAGCAAAATGGCACTTTTTCTCCAGACATACTTCTAAAACCCAAATCATCCATTCTTTCATTTGTGTGTCAAAATAAGCTTCGGGGGGAGCTATTAAAAGAAAAAGGACTGGTTATAAGTTACAACAAAGTACATGAATACTCACAAATAAAGATTAACTTGCCATTTTGTGAATAGCAAGTTGACAAAGATAATTTACAGTCCGTGCTTGACTTTCTCCCTTTTAATTGGTATAAACTAAAATTGAAGTTATTTTGGTTTTATTTTGACTCCTTTTAGGAGATTAAGTTTTGTTGCAGGAAAAATACTGTTTTTCTATATAGACAAAGAAAAAAAAAATACATGCATGCATGTGCTGAGTTAATTCCATTTCCTCTTACCTTCCATGGAAAAGGTTTCTAGTCCTGCTCAAAAAAAAGTCCATTTTCTATCAAAAGGACCTATAACCAGCTATCAGCTTTTGGGAGATTATTAGTGGCCAGCTTGCTCTGAAAATCTGTCAGGTGGTTTTTATGCAGAAATTTATGTATCTTCTAGGTGACTGTCCTTTGTTCTCTTTTTCACAAATGACCTGCCACATTGGCACAGGGTGAATTTTAAGTTCGTGGGCACAGTCATTATTTAGAGGAACTAGCCTTTTTACATGCAATGGATTATGAAATGCCTCCACTGTAATATGGCCTTTCTTGATTACATGCTGAAATAAGGTGGATGGATGGATATTTAATTTGGTGTTTGTCACTTTTTCTATAATCCAAACTCTGGTTTCTTAGCTTTGTCTTACTTGTTCATAAATTTCAATTTCCAAGTGGGCTGTATTTTCTAGTTGCCTTTAAATACATAATCCAGAATTCAACAGAAAACATTTACTTCCCCAATTACGATTTATTTATTTCCTACAAAATATTTTGGGATCCATAGATGTACAATGTAGGATTCCTGCTTGCTATCAAGGATACTATCTAACAGGGTAGATGAAACCTACTCAGGTAACTACAATAGCAGGTAGTATATGAGTATTAGGTGTTTCACCAGGTTCTGCAGGTATGCTGATGGAACAGTCACTATCAGAGAAAGTGGGTTTATATGATGAATAGAATTTCAGCAGTCAGAGACTTGGGAAATTGGTGGGGCCATCATGCCAAGCAGAGAAAAGTGTAAACATCGCTGCATTTATGGCACAGAAGGGCTGTGTTTGGGAAAGAAGTCTGGGGCTTTGGTATGTGCCTTGAGAGAGGAGTATTACTCTAAGACCAGTTGGATCCTTGACTGCTAGGACAAGAAATGTAGACTTTAGTTCATAGTAATTTCAGAGCCGCTGCAGTATTTTGAGCAGAGAGATGAAGAAAGGCATGTTGGTGATAGCTTGTAGTTGGATTTGGACAAGTTGAACTTTTAGAGACGAACTAATAAATAGGTTGGTGTCACTGAGAAAAGGGAGATAATAGGTGTTAGAATTTGGTGACTGATTGTCAAGTGTGAGGCTTGAGGGTGCAGGGCTGGGAGGTGTCATTAAGAGAACAGTAATGGATGGTACCTTTAACTGAAATTGGAAATCACAAGGAAGGGCCATTTGAGGCGAGGTAGGTTTTAGAAATTTTGAGTGTTGCAGTTGTAATGTAGAAGTGTATTAGATGGATATTTGGATGTCATTTCCATATAGAAACCTTTGACAATGTTTATTGTAATCTTATTTAAAAATTTGTCAGAGCACAAAGAAAAATCATGCTAGGTACACCTCAGACCACACATTGGTTGAGTATGGAGTGGGGAGGGGGAGGATTTATTACCATTTTTAAAATGTTTTGGTTTTCTGAATGTTACTTTTGTAATTTGAAGAACAATAAAAAGGGCTATCTGAAGAAAAAGATTAAAAAATGTATAGGAAAAGGGGAACTTGGAGGACATTTTTTTAGATTTGCAAGGAATGGTGTAGAAGTGAGGAAAAAAACAAAATTGAATTTGGACCCGGGGAGAATGCTCAAATTTAAGGAACAGGGAAAATAAGAGCCAGAAGGGGAGTTCATTTTGTGGAAAAGGAGGAATTAGGTGTTAAGTATAAAACTTAAAACTTGATTTCCTAAAGAACACTTTTAAGAAAACTGTTCTAAGGTTTAATAGGCATAAATGTTTTCCATTTTGGTTACTTTTAATTCTAATGTTTTTGTAATGGAATTATGGACATGTTATTTAAAGATTTTAAAACTTGTTAAAATGTGTATGTCACTCGAAACTTACCTTCAAGGTAATTTAGTAATAATTTGGTGCATGGGTATATGGCACTACTTGAATTACTTTGTAAACTAGAATTCTGATAAGATTTTAAGAAATAATGTTTTGTCTGTCCCATTGAACTGACTTATTATAAAACCTTTTATGGCCTGTAAGCCCTAATTGTCTTGAGGCTTATTGTTCATAGTTTTGAAAATGTTCACATATCCTAATTATAGGAGAATTATAACTCTTAGTGGGTATTCTTAAAAATGTTTCATTCAAATGACCGTTTTATTTCTTTTTTTCAGGTGTATTTTTATCCAGTATTGTCCTGATACTGTCACAGCGATCACTTTTCAAGTTTTACATGTACAGCGCAGCCTTTCTGTTAGCTGCAACTTCAGTGTTGGTAAATTATTATGCTGCTTTGCACATTGACTTCTATGGTGCCTACAACACCTCAGCTTTTGGAATTGAGCTGCTTCCTCGGAAGGGGCCCTCACTATGGATGGCACTCATTGTTCTACAGCTAACATTTGGAATTGGATACATCTCGCTACTCCAAATTCATTCCTTCTATTCACAATTAATTATTTTGGATCTCTTGGTTCCTGTAATAGGCTTAATCACAGAGCTACCATTACACGTCCGGGAGCGTCTAGTTTTTATTTCTTTCTTGATTCTTACATTAAACACAGTGCTTGTCTTGGCAATGAAACTTAAGTGGTTTTATTATTCTACACGGTATGTTTATCTTTTAGTGAGGCACATGTATCGAATTTATGGATTACAGTTATTAATGGAGGACACATGGAAGAGGATTCGTTTCCCAGATGTACTGAGAGTCTTTTGGCTAACAAGACTCACAGCTCAGGCGACAGTGTTAATATACATTTTAAGGATGGCAAATGAAACTGATTCCTTCTTTATTTCTTGGGATGATTTCTGGGACCTCATTTGCAATCTTATCATTAGTGGATGTGATTCTACACTAACTGTACTGGGCATGAGTGCTGTAATTTCCTCAATAGCCCATTATGTGGGCCTTGGAATATTGGCCTTTATTGGATCAACAGACGAAGATGACAGGCGGCTTGGCTTTGTAGCACCTGTTTTATTTTTTATTTTGGCTCTTCAGACTGGTTTAAGTGGGCTAAGACCAGAAGAGAGACTTATTCGCTTAAGTAGGAACATGTGCCTTTTATTAACTGCAGTCCTGCATTTCATCCATGGAATGACAGACCCTGTATTAATGTCTCTCAGTGCCTCTCATGTGTCATCTTTTCGTAGACATTTCCCTGTGCTCTTTGTCTCTGCTTGCCTATTTATTCTTCCTGTTTTACTCAGTTATGTTCTTTGGCATCGTTATGCGCTAAACACATGGTTGTTTGCGGTTACAGCCTTTTGTGTGGAACTCTGCTTAAAAGTAATTGTTTCTCTCACTGTTTATACGCTATTCATGATTGATGGCTACTATAATGTCCTTTGGGAAAAGCTTGATGATTATGTCTACTATGTTCGTTCAACAGGCAATATTATTGAATTTATATTTGGAGTAGTAATGTTTGGAAATGGGGCTTATACTATGATGTTTGAATCAGGAAGTAAAATTCGGGCTTGTATGATGTGTCTCCATGCATATTTTAACATCTACTTACAAGCAAAAAATGGTTGGAAGACATTTATGAATCGTAGGACTGCTGTTAAGAAAATTAATTCACTTCCTGAAGTAAAAGGGAGCCACTTACAAGAAATAGGTGATGTCTGTGCAATCTGCTATCATGAGTTTTCAACATCTGCTCGTGTCACACCATGTAATCACTATTTCCATGCACTTTGCCTTCGGAAATGGCTGTACATTCAAGATACTTGTCCAATGTGCCATCAAAAAGTATATATCGAAGATAGTATCAAGGATAATTCAAATATACCTGACAACAGTGGATTTATTGCACCCAATGAAAATCCAGAGGAAGCTGTAAGAGAGGCTGCTGTTGAGTCTGACAGGGAATTGAATGAAGATGACAGTACAGATTGTGATGATGATGTTCAAAGAGAAAGAAATGGAGTGATTCAGCCCACAGGTACAGCAGCTGAAGAATCTAATGAGTACACTGACTGATTAAAATAGCATTTACTAATCATTGAGGTTGTTAAATTTCAGTTCATCCAAAATGGAGTTAATATGCTTCACATCAGTGTGTAACCAAGCACAAAAAACAGTTATCAGTGTCGAATCTGTGAATGGTTTTCCGTTTACTGTGATGTGCTACTGTAAATATACCTCTTTAATTACTTCTGGTCTCTTTGGTGACCTATTTAAATTTGTGTACATTATTGTACATAGAATAAAATCTTTTCACGTTTTTATGACAAAATTTGAACAAATAGCTTTTTAATAGATGTAATGATAATATGGTGTGCCAACTGTGCCAAAGATTCCTCAATGAAAGTGTGTAATTCATCTAATTCTGGCCCCTAGTGTTTCTTTAAGATGGGTGGGAGAGTAAAAATGCTAATCAGAGGAAACTACAAAATCAAGGAAATAAAATAATTTGGACCAGAGTATAAAGGATATATGTAGAATGTTTTATAAGCTAAGGAAAAAAGTAGGCTGCCAGAAGTGATTGAGACTTTCTGAAATTTTAGTGTAGCACTGTAGTTGAGCTGAGTTTGAAAGTCCAGATTTGGAGATTGTGAGAGTTGAGAAAATAGGCTTATATCAACTTATATCCGGCATGACCCAGAATGTGTTTAATTTTGATGTAAAAATCAGTATATTTGTTAGCCATTCTGTGTTTGCAGCATTGACATAAAAATTGTCCTTGTGGATTTTGAAAGAAATTATAAAATGAAATACTTGGTGGCGTTCATTCTTTTAAACTAAGAAAAATCCTGACTTTATGGATAAAAATAAGGGGATGGTATACAGTGATACATAATACCTCTTTATGGACAACTTCCAGAGAATTCCTTTATTGAAACTTTAGAGTTTACCATGAAATTTTACATACATGATGGAAAATGGGAGACATACCAATTACATGTCAGGAAAAAAATACTTTAATGGTATTGTTATATAGTGTGTTGGCTAATTCCAGGGGATCCTCATCTCTTACTGCTGACATTATCTCCAGTATTTGACTAAAACAAAAGAAAATAGATGGTTTAAATTGCCAAATACAAACTCTATTTTAAAGGTATTTGTCTTTTTCCACATAAAGGATGACACTAGCACCTTCAATAAGCTTCAGCGGGTATTAAAATTTTCAGCATTATCAAAAAGTTTAACTGCTGAGATATTCAAAATACAGTAATTAGACATTTCTGGGGCAGTCTTGCATATTAACTAGAGCAAAAAAAAAAACACAGTTGCAAATAAATTATAAAACCAGCCTATATTATGTGTACCACAATTAGAGAATTAACCCAGTGGAAATGAGCCCTTAAAACTGAGTCGTTACATATTCATTACTGGGTCACGATGAGCTTTTAAAAAATTGAAAGTTAGAAAAGTACACTGCATATGTAGGGAACTGTTTCATTTGTTTGGGTTTTATTTATTTATGTACATGTGTAATGCATCAAAGTCTGAAAGCCACTGCTTAGAGAACTACTACTAAAGGATAGCAAGAAATTGTGATGTAATCACCAGCACAATGACAGCAAAGGAACTTAGAAGTTATGTACTTGGAACAATATGTGTTATGGGGAGGCAGAGTGGGGTGGGGCAGACTTTCTTTTCCTGTACTCCTGCCTCCCCCTACACTCTCCTGCACAATAGAAAGGATAACCCATGTGCTGATCTTTCAGTTTCTCTGTCTAGAATGGTAATTATCAGTAATATTTTCTAGCATTCTTCATAGAATACTTTTATACATGAATTGGAAAGTTCTAAAGTCAAAATTAAACATTTAAATAATTTTGTCTTAAGCTTTTTGTTCCCTTTATCAGTTTCTTTATATAAAACACCTATAGATATTAGGAACGGAAATTCAAGATTAACTGGAACTTTTTACTCCATAAAAGTAACACTAAAAGGCTTGGTTAATCTGCATAACTAAATGAACTGACTACTAATTTTAGTTGTCCAACAGTTAAGATATGCTTAAAAGCAAATCTGTTAACATTTAAATTGACACTAAAGATTCAATTTTCTTCATAAACTACAGAATCTTTCTCTATGTAACTACTCGGACTTGGAACTTACATGTATAATATTGTGCAAAATCAATGATTCCTGGCACTCCTCTCCTTTCCAGTTCTTTCTCCTCACCCAGACCAGTTACAACTTTAAAGAAAACAAAAATAAAAAACCTGCCATTTTCCTCCTTAAAATCCTTTGGGTCCTGATAAAATCTAAACCACTAAGGTTGGCATACAAGAGCCCTCACAATCTGGCCTCACTACCTTCCCAAATTTGATTACTTAGCTGTGCATCCTACTTTCTGCCACACTAAATTCACTGTTCCCCTGGAACAGCCACACCCTCCTGCAGTCTGCGTTTGCTCAGAGTGTTTTGTCTTAGTCTGGCATAACTCCCAGTTAGTTAACAGTTGAAATGTCACCTTAGTTCTCTTATTTCCCTTCAAGGCAGGCAGTTGCTAATGTCCTGTGGCCCCAGTCACAAATCCATACCTCTATAACAGCACTACCATCTGGAATTATACTTTTTACGCACTCGTTTGTTCCAGAAGGAAGGAATCCTTGTCTGACTGACTCAATGCCTTATCCAAAGTGCCTAGCACAATGTACCTACTCATTGGTGGATGGATGAGGGCAGAGATTGTCTTGATTCTTCTGCACAGCCTCAGTAAAATGACAGGAAAAGAGCTCCAAAATGTATTTCAAGAAATTTATTTAGAAGGAAGATTTCTATACAAATAAAACTGAACTGTTAATAGATGGTGGTAGATTAAAATGACTTTGTAGGAATTTTAACTTGCTAATTAGTAATTAGACTATGGCATGTATATTTCTGAAGTGTGGTTTAGCCTTTTCAGTTTTCAAATGTTGATTTTCCCCAGCTCTACCTACTCAGAATTGGTATTCATGATTGTAGTTGGTAATCAAGCATTTTTAGCTCTTAACTGTCTACATTAAGGAACACCTTAAAATTCTGTCCTGCAAATGTGTAGCTAAAGTCAACAGCTTGATATTAAGGCAGTATAGAAAATGGGCTTGGAGACACTGTTGGCAACTATTTCCTCTCTAAGCTGGCCGCTGGAAAAATACCAGTTTTTTTGTCTCTAGTGTCCTCTTAAATCTCCAAAGAATTATTCAGAAATACTGTATCCTGACTGAATTTGCAAGTACATATATTTCATAAAATTACAAATGATTCTTTACTAAGCAGAATTTACAAATGTTCTTCACCCCTAGGTTTTAAAACATCAAGTTTTAAAATCTTTGCCAACACCAGCATGTTTAATAAAAGAAAAAAAATCTTTCCAAAATGTTTTTATTCACTTTCTGCCTGCTGAATTTAGATCTGGCTTGCTTAATATTCTCACCTGTTTAAAAACGATTGAAAAGTAGTAGATGATGCATATGGAAGGAATTATTACAGTTTAAAAGTAAAATTCAGTAGTAATTTACATGAATGTGTTACACATACACCCAACTGCCTAAATTGGTAAACCATACTAAATTGATGCATTCTAGATTTAAATTATGGGCTTGGGCAAACAAATTAGATTGTATCCTCACTAAAATGATACAACAAGTTTTTCCTGTAAGTTAAAGTATGCTCTCCAGCTCCCTGACAGTTAGATGAGTAACAGGGCCGTCTTTTCATATGTGCTATATATACTCTCTAATTTTAAAAAGGTGGTTCTAAGTTAGTTTTTTTAGGTAATGAAATTCTATCTCTTTTTTTTATTGGAAAAGGAAATCCTCATGTTATTTCAGGTTATCAAATCATTTCAAATGCAGATATTATTCAGAAGGTCTGCTAAGGCTGCATTTTTATAACTTCAGCAGGGAAGCTGCATGAGAACAGAACTTAAATCAGTTAAGGGGTTTCTTCTTTATATGAAAACATTAAGATCTTTCCCCTCCAACAAAATGACAAATGACCAAGATCACATTAAGTTCTCACTGCAGCAATAAAACCACTTGAGATAGAGGATATAAAAGAGAGGCTGAAATACACAATTCAGGTGCAAATTCCTCCAAATCACTGCATTAAAATAATTAAAATGGTGTTTGATCTGGACTTCATCTAGACTTCACCTAACTTTCTATCCCGATTTCATTTTGGTAGGTGCTATTTGGTGGTTGGTTTTAATGTTTTTTGAAGACCACAAAAAATACTTACATTATATGGCAGGGTTCATTTCTATCTTTCAAACAGTGCCCATTTTCCCATTTCTTTTTGGTAGGAAATGAAGTTTTTATATATTTTGAACCAGCATGTGTACTTTTGACTCCACACCAAGGTGCATCTAAAGTTAGCAAGAAGAAGTCTTTTAACTTTTAGAATTATTTTTTTAAATGGACATAACTAAACTAATATATAACCTCTAAAATACAAGCCATGATTGAGCTTCAAACATGGCATAAAGCAACAGAAAAAATTCTAAAAAAAGCACAAAATAAAACCTTGAGGACTGTACAAATTCTTAAATGTTTTTGTAAGACTCACATATAATTATACCCCCCAACCCTGGCTAACATTATTGCTGGTGTATGACATGCTTTAAAAAAAGACCTAAAGCTAAAACAAATACAACTGTAACATGAAAACATTTAGGTTAAACAAATTCCTGTATAGCCTCTACTGAATATCAAACTGGTTTTGAATACTGGGATTATTCACTAACCTATTTCCTTAATTAAGAATTACAATAGCTCACAGGATTATAGCATTCTATAAACATTGTACTTTTAATGAGCTCATTTAGTTTTCATTACTCCCCAGGGAAATAAACCTGATTTCTCCAGAATGGGTCAGCCTTGCCTTTACAAAAAAGTCCACATGTGTAAGGAGACCCTTGAGTTCCAGGGTACAGATAAAAATTTTAGCTCCTAACTCTTTTTTAAGAGGCAATATTATTATCAGAAATTATTGGATTAAACCAAATTGAATTAAATTTCTCCCCTTTAACTAAGAGTACTGTAAAATTAGGCCATTTTAAAGAAGGCACTGTGTAAAAAAAAAAAAAAATTCTGACCAGTTTTTGAAACGCTGACATAAAATCCTTAGTTAAGGCTCCTTTTTAAATAAAATATTCATAACTACTACCTTAGTTACTGACATCTTTTAGATACTTAGGCTTTGTCAAACTTCTAAACATCACTTGCGTAAGTATTTTTCCATCAATTATTACCAACACCCAAAGGTTTTCTAGAGTGTCACTGTGGAGGCTAAGTATGCCATTTTAAAATAAAATATTTGTTCAATTTTCTTTGGCATATTTTAATATGAAAGTTCTAAAACAAACTTACCAGTCTCAATCATTAGTTTTTCACTAGGTATTGACTTCAAAACCTCCAAATTAGCCTCAGTTTTCAGTGAGCTTAAAAAAAGATAATGTATAAAATTAAAGGGTGCATTTAATGAAGAACAACTCTTTCCATCCTATAAACTTTTCTGAAATAGGTCACGAAACTATCCCAAAATCCCAAAAACAAACTTTGGTTGGCTATAGGGGCAGCATACCACTGTATTTATACATTCCTATTGTTAAACAAAAAAGTTTAACCCGAGGCTAAAAGTCTTTTTAAACAAAGAGCTGTTAGGCCCATGCTGGCAAGAAAAAGACCAGGTCCTGGGGTATGAGGACCAACAATGCCAGGTGGAAAGGCAATTTAGCTATCCTGTGCTTGCTGAGCATTTTTATACATCAAGCTGGGATCGGGGGAGTGAGAGTTGTTTTGAAAGAATTTTCATTATTGATAAGGGGTGGGAGGAGGTGAAGCAGGGCCAGCTGTGGGATAGGCTTTGAGTCTGCCAGGAAAAAATCCGGTCCTGGGACTGGCTGTGGGCAACACATTGGAAAGTTCAAGCAGAGGCTGCTGAGGTTCTATGTCGCCTGGCTAGTCTCTTTAGATAATCATGGAAAAAGCCACCAAGCAGTGAATCCAAAATTCCACCAGACAACAAATGGGAATGTGAACAGTCTTGTTAGCTGACCCTGTAGTTGTTAACTGATTAACCCCTTCCTGTCCCTTCCTTCTACCCTCTGGCCTGCTGTCATTTAATTTAGGACATCTCAGAGTTTTCTCTCGTCCCTATCCCTCCAGAATCCAGGTTAAGATCTATTCTAACCACATGTGGGGGGATGCAATAACTTTCTATGAATCTAAGTAAAACAACTTTTTAAAAGAATTCACTTCCTCTGAGTAATTTACATAACAGAGTGGTATAATCTAAGCTTCCTCTTCCAGTTTTGTCTGTCTTTTAGAAATCCACAGCAACATTTCTCTATTAGCAAAACTCACTTTTTTTTGGTTTTTATAGGTTTTCCTTTTTAATATCTGTAATTTTATTTTAGTAGGATTTTAGGAGGGGTGGGAGTGAAATGTCTGTCTAGTCTGTCATAAGTACTAGCCTCAGTGTTTTCTAGAAAAAAGCAAAATCCTCATTTTCAGCCATCTTAATATATTTTGTGAATATAAATATTCTCTAAAATATATTGACATGCCACCCCAAAATATGCCTTTCGGGATATTATTTTAAGCTCGTTATATTTTTAAGAAAAACAGGAAAAACTTCTGACCTTCCCCCTAACTGCTGAAGAGAATTTGAGAGAGGACCTGCTCTAGTGAGGGATGTATCATCATAAATAACTACAGTTTGAACTGTGATAGAGATGAACCTAAGCACAAGGCCCATTTGATCAATGTCTTCAGTGTCCCATTGTTAAAGATGGCCCAACAAACATTTGTTAACCAGACATTTGCCTGTCATTTTCATGTGGATTGCCTTCCTCCCCTTTGAAATCCCAAAACGCAATTCCCCCCTTCTCCTTAGCTCAAGATGGCCATTAGCCTCAGTCCCATATTCTTTGGAACTCTGATATATACCTATGTAGTAAGTTTGAACATTTTTGCCTTTTAATTAGTCTCATGTTAATTTGATTATACAGTCCTGGCAGCCTGTAAAAACTGATATAAATACCAAAATAAATCGTACCAGAAAAAATATTTTTAATTGAAGCCAGTATTCTTATTTAAAAGGTTTCCCATTTAAAGAACTATGATTCTGTATTAACCTTTAAGCTTGCCCCTTTTCTTAGGGAGGGAAAGTTAATATTTTAATCATTAGAAACCAAAGACCTTGTAATATCCTTACAAGTATCCTCTGTGTACTGCCATTACACAGAGACTCAGGTTAAGATTATAATAAATTTCAAAATAAGAACAGAAATAGTAACTTTGATTAGGTAAATGACTAATCCATTAATTCTATGTTAATGTAGGGGAGAAGGAAAAGCCAAGACTTTATAACTTCAAGATAAGTTAGAAACATCTGAAACAGACTTATGGTTCAAAGGGGTAGAATAAAGGCCTTCTACCCCTCTTCCTTTTGAAAGCCATCCAAAATAACAAGGAAAAAAAGAAAACAGCATTTTTTGATGAAACTAGGAGACATTTCTAACCCCTAATTAAAACACACAAAACAGAAAGTGGATGGAGAAATGATAAATAAGCTATGTTTACCTGCTAAGCGACTTAAGTGCTATGTGCCTGCAGTAAGAGATACTGAAGATAAGTAAACCAATTCACCCAATAAAGTTCTAAGCACTGGAAAAACTGGGTAAAGTCTGGGATGAGGCAAGGGACTGAAAAGGGGGATTGTTTGAAAAGGCAGGGTAAAGAGAAGATGGGACTCCTAGATTACCTCCTATGAATTGGTGCAGAGATTACTTTTGTCCCCACCCACGGGGGAAAGAGGGAAAAGAAAGGGAGAGGAGGTGAGAGAGAGAGAGAAGTGTACAGTCTGGAAAACCTAAATCAGAAACTGGACTGGAGAGCAAGTACAGGGGCGTGCAGGGCTGGGGCATGGAAGTGAACGTGGAGGCTGGCTGCACCGGGAGAGCCTCTCCACCCTACCCGGCTTCAGAAAGCAGGCACACTGATGCATCTCCACCCCACTTTTCCTCAGGGATCAGACTATATCCCTCTTGAGAAACTGAACCAACCCAGAGGAAGATCTCAACACGCTGACATTTAGGGATCGCTGGTGAGAACGTCAGAGGGCCACCTGACTGGCCTGCCAGTTGATGGGCTATCTCACCACAGATTCCAATCAGCACTTTTTCTTTTTTTAACTTTTACAGTATACAGGGAAGAACGGCCTGACATTTAAAGAAAGCCTCCACTGTGAGAGAGACCAGAAAAAGGAACTCAGAGCCTTTTTCAGTATACAGAAAATAGCTTTAAAGAACCCTAATTCTTTAAAGAGATGAGATGATGCAGAAAATATCAGATGGAAGTGTTTTTTGTTTTTAAATGCACTATCTAGGCATACTTTCAAGAGGGAAGAATAGAGTATGTTCCTTTTCACACACGTGTTCCATCAAAACAAATACATGGGATATAAAAATAGTTTCACAAAAAAGTGGAACTATTTTTGTGAAATAGTTTCACAAAAAAGATACTAGTCCAAACAAAGATGTAAGGGCCTGGAAGGAATGGAACTATCACGTTATCTAGGCAGGTTTCCTCATGTGCCAAAATAGATATGGGCATTTTACAGAGTAGTTGGAAAGTGTGAGAAGGCTTAAAGTTCTGAAGACAGTCAAATAAAATAAAAGTATGAGGAAATTTATTCCAGGAGAATCAAAAAGGGATACACCACACAGTTCAGCAGTCAACAATATACAGACATAAAACAGTGAATGTGAATATAACCAAAAAATTCTGAAATAACTACATTGAGAGGACTCTGGAGGACAATGCATGTGGGGGGACAGCATGGGCTATGGTTTTCTGTGCTGATACACCTTCATGACAGTTAATGAAGGGAGTAACAGCAGTGCATAGTATTTAGAAATAAGGTGATAAACAGTAATGTGGTTGCCTCCGGAAAAGGGGTAGAGGACATGCTAGAGAGATTGTTTAAAGCCTCTTTGTACTACTGAACATTTTATTCCATATGCATGTATTCCTTTGCATATTGACAAATTAAGTAATTTAACATATGGAAGGCACACCTAGGATATTTAGGTAAGTCTCAACTCTACAGCAAACAGGTAATTTCATGATTTTATTTCCTAAAATTTTAGTAAAAAGTAATACCAGGAAAATAATATTAAGGAAATGAAACATTAATGAGGGAAAGCAATCTTATACTATTTTGCAATTTATTTAATGAGCTACACTGACATCTGGTAAAAAAGCACCAGTTGAGGTTCACCAAATTTGGAAGAAAATGAACCTGTATTGGGTGCATGAGGTTTTAGTTTGGTGTAACAGCAGAAAGGTCACTGAGTGAAAAGCCAGAGGACACAGGTCCTCATACTTTGAGCTACTGTACTTTATACCCATTTCTTAGCTTTATACCAGTTACTTGCCCTACAGAGATCAAGGTGATTATGTCATGGTATGACCTTTCCCCCAGGGTCAGACATCATGTGTGTATATACATGCATATGTGTGCACACATGCACAATGCTGTGAACAAGTATGTTTGGGGCAAAATAACCTGAAAATAAACTGCATTGCTAGAGAAGGCTAGCTGCTGAGCTCAACACAAAGTAATTTTACATTACTGGAACACAGAGTAGTAGTTTTTAATGTCCAACTTTAATGTAACAGTACTGTTTAATTTTTTACATAATTACTGAAATTCTCAGGCCAAGATCAATGCAAAATAACTTTAATAAATTTATATCATTATCAGCAATAAAACAAGTTAAGGAATCTGTTTAATACAAAAGTTAAAAAAACAGAAAACAAGAACCTACCAACCATTAAATCCTATATAGAGATCCAAGTCAATCAAAGCAGCTGCTGCTTCCTTGGTACCATCAAATGAATGCACCTAAAGACAAACCAGTATAATTTTATTATTATAATTAATGACTCCCTTTAAAATTCTAAATAAAATTTATAAGCTTTTCTAAGCAAAACTATAGATGCATTAGGAGTTTTGGACCACAGACTTCATATGTGGTGGCCCCTGTAATTTTGTTTTCAAATCAATGCTCACCATTATAACCTATCATCATCTCCAATGACATGAGGCAAAAAGGTTAGTTGGTCACCTAAAATTTCTGTCTTTGTGGCTGTGTGGACACCTCTCCACCAGCTTAAGTACATGTATACATCACAGTATGCACCTCCAGGAAGGTGGACTGCCCTAGGGAGCCATACTCTTAGGCAAAAGCATAAGTTAGAAATGCTATAAAGTTACTTTAAAAATATTTTTAAATATTCCAATTTTTCTGTTAGAGGATACTTTTTACTAGAAATGACTTTTGAGAGGCAAGTTTTAAGATGGTTCATAAAGAGGTTGTAAGAACCTTGCTAAAATGTAAATTGTTGTACAGTCAATACTACCAGCTCAGTAGGCCAAAAAAAAAAAAAAAGAAAAAATTGTGGTGTTTTTCTCTTTCAAAGGTATAGGGGTTAAGGCTTAGTTTTCATAGTTCGGATGTATTTATGTGATCAAAACCAGTAAGTAACAATTACACTCCTTTAAACACACCTAACCAGTGATACCACATTAATACTGAACCTAGAGTCTGAATGCACAAAGGATAACATATTTATCAACAACAAAAACTATTATACAACTGCCCAAAAGGGTTTATTTTTGTCCTCAGCATTTCCAGCTGACTAGAAAACACAGCTTCCAACAATATCAAAATAATCTTAAATGTGACTCCTCATGAACCATTTCAGAAAATTAAATTATTCTTTATTTGCCAATCTCTTCAATAAAAGTCAAATATTTAAGTTCGATTTGTTGTTGCTGTTAATTTTTTTTAATTACTATAGAATCATCCAAGTAGTTCTTATTTAGAAATAATGCATATTTCTAAGTAAGGCTAAGAGGTAGAGCCTGAAGGTTGTAGGTGCCACCAGTAATACCAAGAGCGTTAACGAATGCCTTTCTCAATTTCTCCGTACTGTTCCCAAAGGATAAGTTATAGGGTCAGTAAACTACAGATAAAAATGTGCACAGTAATACTTAACACTACAGAAATTCTAAAGTCATGCATATCACTAGTACATGTGAAATGAGGCTAAGACCTTGAGAATAAATATCAAACTGTCAGAGCAAAGCAATGTGGGTATATAATTAGTGTGCAGTGAGCGCTATTTCTTCTTTCTTTAATTGGCAAAGTATAGATATGTGATTTCATATACCCAGATAACAGGTGTTTTGTTTTTTTTTGGCTGGAGACCAGAGTCTCTCCTGAAATTATGTATGAAAATTTATGTATCTGAGCATTTTTCTGAGGCAGATTTCAAAGAAGTCCATGACCCCAAAAACATTAAAAATCGCTGATACAGATGGATATTGGAGTTCAGTGACAGATAATATTTAAGGGAAATGTCTCAAGATTAATGCTTGAAATGACCACATGGGAGAAGTGTTTACAGTAGAAGCAAATTACAGAAGAGAGAATGAGTCTCTAAGAGTGGGAATAATCAACGAATACAGTTGACAAGAAATTAGAAAGGCAAACCTGAAATGAATGTCATTATTTTCGAGTATTATTTTGCTCAAATTGAAGAATGGCTGATAGAAGAGGCAGAGAAAAAATATCACACCGTTATAATGAGCACAGTCAGGGGTTTTCTTGTCAACAGAATTCTATCCTTATTGTACTTTGAACAAAGTAACTAAGTTTACACGCCCTACAACACTTCCAGCTAAGATGGAGGTGGAGGTAGATAAATTTTGCCTCCTCACACAACCAAAAGAAGGGTAACAAATTTAAAAACAAAAAATAACCAGAACTGCCAAAACATTGAAGTATATGGAAGTCCGACAACCCAGGAGTTAAAGAAGAAACATTCATCCAGGCTGGCAGGAAGAGCAGAGACGATGCATGGCAAGGCTGTGGCTGGAGGACCAGGTGGGTGAGGCAGCGCTGGTGGAACAGGTGGTCCCACACTTGCGTGTGAATAAATCGTGAGGAACAGCTGGGAAGCGAGACAGACCGTGCAATCCAGGGTTCTAGTGAGGGAAAAGAAAGCCTCAAAACCTCTGGCTGTAAAAACCTGCTGGGGATACAGCAGCAGGAGAAACTCCCAGACTCACAGGAGAGTCTGTTGGAGAGACCCACAGGGCCCTAGAATGTACACAAACCCACCCACCCAGGAACAAGCAACAGAAGGGCCCAATTTACTTGTGGGTAGTGGGGGAAGTGACTGAAAGCCCGCCGAAAAGCCAAGCAAGCAGCATTGATCCCTCTCAGACCCCTCCCCGACACACACTGTCAAAGCACAGTGACCTGGGTGGCCCTACCCTAGCAAATACCTAAGGTCCCGCCCCTTCCAAAGGAATAGGCGTGCAGAGACAAAAAATATATGGCCCAAATGAAAGAACAGATCAAAGCTCCAAAAACAGAACTAAGCGATGAAGAGACAGCCAACCTATCCGTTGCACAGTTTAAAACACTGGTAATCAGGATGCTCACAGAAATGATTGAGTATGATCGCAAAATGGAGGAAAAAGTGAAGGCTATGCAAAGTGAAATAAAGAAAAATATACAGGGAACCATCAGTAAACGGAAGGAAACCGGACTTAAATCAACGATTTGGAGAAGGAAGAGAGAAAACATTCAACCAGAATGAAGAAACAAGAATTCAAAAAAAATGAGCAGCTTAGGAACCTCTGAGACTTTAACCATTCCAACATCTGAATCATAGGGGTGCCAGAAGGAAAAGAGGAAGAGTAAGAAACTGAAAATTTATTTTAAAAAATAATGAAGGAGAACTTCCCCAATCTGGCCAAGGAAACAGACTTCCCGGAGATTCAGGAAGCTCAGAGTCCCAAACAAGTTGGACCCAAGGAAGCACACACCAAGGCACATCATAATTATATTACCCAAGATTAAAGATAAGGAGAGAATCTTAAAAGCAGCAAGGGAAAAGGAGACAGTTACCTACAAAGGAGTGCCCATAAGACTATCAGCCGATTTCTCAAAAGAAGCCTTGCAGGCAAGAAGGGGCTGGAAAGAAGCATTCAAAGTTATGAAAGGCAAGGACCTACATCCAAGATTACTCTATCCAGCAAAGCTAACATTTAGAATGGAAGGGCAGAAAAAGTGCTTCTCAGATAAGGTCAAGTTAAAGGAGTTCATCATCACCAAGCCCTTATTATATGAAATGTTAAAGGGACTTATCTAAGAAAAGATCAAAAACTATTAACAGTAAAATGACTACAAACTCACAACTATCAACAGTTGAACCTATAAAACAAAATCAAACTAAGCAAACAACTGGAACAGGAACAAAATCACAGAAATGGAGAAGGGAGTGGGTGGGGGAGAATGGGGGAAAAGGTACAGGGAATAAGAAGCATAAATGGTAGGTATAAAATAGACAGGGGGAGGTTAAGAATAGTATAGGAAATAGAGAAGCCAAAGAACTTATATGTACGACCCATGGACATGAACTAAGGTGGGGGCGGGGGGTGGTTGGTGAATGCCGGTGGGAGGGGGAGTGCAGGGCGGAGGGGAATAAAGGGGAGAAAAAATGGGACAACTGTAATAGCATAATCAATAAAATCTACTTACTTAAAAAATAAATAAATTTACATGTCCTACAAATAAAGAATAGTCTTAATACTTTTATTGCTGACATTTGAAATTACTTTAGAGGCCAGTCTTAATAACCAAGAAGTGTTAGTGCAGCATCTATTAAAAACACCTCTTATACTTACTACTCCACCTACACACCGATCTCTATTTCTCTTCATTATATCTGTGAATTAAAAACAGAACTTTTAGCATATAGCTGGATTTCTGCAAAACTTAAATTCCAAATATTTTAGCTTTAACTCACCCAAAAATTCAGCATGTGAGTTTCGACAGTGAAGAAACATTGGTAATTTTGTCTGTTCTGACAATTCAAATTGTTTTTCAAAATATCTGCACAATGCAAAAGATCTTCTTGTTAAAAATATTGTTTTAGCATGAGAAAAATAACTGTCAAATGATCTTTTTTAGTTAAAGGAATTTCCCTAGAAATTACAGAACAGAAATAGTAAATTCAGACATTTAAAATGCATCAGGCTTGGCCCAGGCTTAGCCAAAGGCTTTTACAATACACATCTTCTGGAAATGGACACTTCATTTTCTGGGATTACAAAATTATTTTCAGAAATAATTATAACTAATGGGTACAGTAGGTAGCACTTTACTATTGACTTCTAGAAGTTAACAAATATAAAGTTCAAATTTAGAGGTATGGGGGATATTCCCCCAAATAATTCCTTTTAACTAGCTTTCCAACCAAACCTCAGCAAATGAAGCAGCCACCCTCCTATAACCTGTGGGGTCCCGTCCCTGCACAATGTGTTGGTGGTGGCAGATCCACGGTTGGCCCCTTGCTCTGCAAGCTGGCTGAGCACCATCAGCAGGAGTCAACTCACTCGTGAGAAGCCAGGCAGAGCTTTGTACTCTGTTTTCTGTGTGCTGTTGTCTAAGAAATCACTGCTACTGAACAAAAAGAAGGATTTCATAAAAACTAAATACAAGGAACTGTTAAAGAGCACAAAATACTCCATTTTCAGCAAAATGAAAATCACACAATGAAGTAGTAGCCCTATTTCAGAACACTTTTATGAAAAGGTTTTTCAAGTGCCACGTACCATTATCTTATTTGATCCTCCAAACAACCCTAGCAAAGAGCCAGGTGGCAAGACCTTGTCCAAGATCACAACAGATACACAATGTGGCAAACCTGGAACCAGAACTTCATGCTCCAGTCCCAAGTCCCAGCCAAAATGACCAAAAGTTATGGAGTTTCAAAGAAGCCTCTTCCTGGTCCTAGAGTATAATAATATCCAGAAGATATAATCGGGGATGGGAGCGGGAGGGTATTTTGTTATTGTTTTGTTTTTGTTTTTAGCACAGCGCTCTCTCTTGTTCTCATTCTCCTTAATGGTCAAGTAGTTTTAAATGAAACCAGGAATTACCGACAGTAGGCGTCTTACTATATCCTAAGGGGTTTATCTCTTCTAGGCCCCTTGATCTTGGGGAATAATTTCTGTGTTTAACTTAAATCTCTGTGGCAGTATTTTCCTGTATCTTGTTTCCTGAAGTGCAGAATAATCCCTCCTCTAAAATGGTTGATGGCAAGGATGGCTTCAATCTCTCATCACTGAGGTCCCCTAAAGATTACTTTGAATTTTTAATTTAAAAAGAAAAAAGCCCCACACAGTATTAACATTTTAAAACCCCAAGAAAAATGCCCCTGGAAGCAAATTCCTTCCACTCAAGTGAACAGAGTGCTAACTTGCAACAGGTTAAGGAGTGTAGCACAAGGCAAAGAAAGAGAAAATACTGGGTATGCTTAAACGACAGCCTTCCTGTAACTAACTCAGGCCTTTTCCTGGTTTTTATGCTTTGCTTTGCTTCTTGATCTTTAAGAAATATTTTTCAAAATCCCAAACAGGAACTATAGCCAGTATTTTCCTTTAGCATGTCAGTATTTCTTTAAAAAAAAAAAGGTACTAGCCACAATTTATTGAGCACTATGCCAGTCACAGCACTATATGCTCCACCACCAAATGAAAAGATAGGAGGTGTTACCACCATTTTAGGAAATTCAGATCTATACAGGGATATACAGCCACCAAATGGCAATTATGAATCAAATCCAAAGCTTTGTTGATTCCAAAGATCTTTTCATTTTAACACAATGCTGCCTTTACCTATCATTATTTTTCAGACAGTATGTCTACTGCACATAGGTATTTTGGTCCTGCTTCCTAATCTATTACACTATTTTCTATCTTTCATTTCTCATATATCTTTTTCCAGATTACATTTTTACTTAAAAAAAAACAACCACACAACTAACAAATCTTACATGGGTTGTTTCAAATGGCATAAAAGCAGAGACTAAAATGTAAACTCTTCCAAAAACAGACCCAACAGAAAAAGGTGAATTATAGGCTTTTAATCCATAATGTGGTACAATAATCAATTAAGACACTTTCCTTATTAAAAATTCAACAAGTGTCTGAGTACCTACCATGTACTAAAAGTACTGTGCTACGTATGGGAACAACCATATGAGTAGGACTTGGTATGTGCCTTTGAAGAACTCAGGCACACTAGCTTACTGTCGGAGGGGAAGGGGTAACAAACATCTCAGTACAATGTGAGAAATGCTGAAACAAGAAGAGTGCTGTGTGTGCCAAGAACAGGGACTGCGTGCTGCTGGGATATGCTAGCAGAAAGGGAGAGAGCCAAAACAGAATCGTGTGTATTTGCTTCTTTAACAACAGTCCAAATGTGATTATTATTGGCATGTCATTTTTTTTACTAAGTCATTTGGTATTTTATAGTTATAACAAATCTCATACTGAACTCCCATCTCTTCAAAATTTGCCCTGTAGCCTATCCTTAGGCCTGCCCACTCTGGAAGAGGGCTGGCTCACATCCGGCCCCTCTGGAAACCCGCCTCTGACTTCCGCAGTCAGTCTTCCCTCTGCTGTCCACACACCCTTTTGATAGCAATTTTCAAACCTATTTAATTATTAATGTTCTCTTATTAAAAAATTCATAAATGTAGCTTTCCAAACAAATCCATATAATGACCATGATCACATCATATTTTATTCCAATGTATTAAAAAAATGCTTAGAAAAATCACATAATATCAAGAGTCCTCATCACAGTGGATTCCATTCTGTCAAAAAAAAAAAGGAAAAACAAGTAATCCTTAAATTTTCTTCACTCTCCATAGCATATGTTGTATAAAATTAAAGTGTTGCTTCCAAAAATATGTTTCCATGTGGTTGCAGTGTTGTCCAGTCGTGCTATTAGGGCCAGAAGCAGCAAAGACATTTTTCATAAAAAACTAAGAATTTCCTTACAGGTCTGGAATAAAGCCTTTGCCAGGCATTTTAGTGTTTATAAAGTTACTTTAAATTAAATGTGGAATAGGAACTACAAAAAGGTGAGTTTTTTCATTACAAAAAGTTGTGTAACTGAAGTGATGGGCTCCTCTTGTGTCCATAAGCAGTCTCAATAAAGCGGCTGCTCAAGTAAGAAAATAGAGTTTGTATGATGACACTTAGCACAGGTTCCAGTCGGGTGTCCTACTTATCACTGCTAGAGCTTCCGAAGAACATTAAAATCAATGTGTCTTTCCTTAAATGATCATCCGTAATTCATAGTAGTTCTAAAGTCTTATTCTTCCTTGTATCATACTGGAGGCACTGGGTAACCATTTACTGCGTGGAGTTTGAACTCTCCATTCCAGATTAACATCTGGGCAGTTGGTGTGTGTGTTAAAACAGAGTACAGCCTGCTATACATATTGTTTTAAGTTCTGATCTGACGATGATGAAGTACCCTCAGAGTAATAAAACAGAACTGATATTATTAATGTTTTTTTTAATGCAAAAAATTGAGTTTCAAGTTATTTATGTTGCACTTGGAAATCAGTTTTAACTCACAGATGAAAAGCCACATGGGCAGGAACTCTCAGGTGACTCTGTCACCGCCCTCGACTGTCACACTGCAGCCTCTGCCTCACCAGGCTCACCTGGGCCGGAAACAAACACTGAAGTGGAGGAATGGTGATCTGTGGGCTTAACCTGAGAAACTACTACAGACAACTGTTTTTTTCCTATTTAAATGTGAATATGTGAGCTTCTAAGGTTGTGAGCTGACTTCCATGACAATCAAGAGAGAGAACGGGATCTCTGAACCCCTGGGCAATCACATGAACAACCTTGAAAAACACAGCAAACATTACATCACTAGCTAAACAGCTTGGACAGAGCTACAAAAGTGAGGACTGAAGGAATGACTTCATAGACTATTACTCTAACCCATCCTATGTCACTTAGTTATGGACTCTCATGCTTCAGAAATTTTGGAGCTTGATGTATAGGGTGTGACAGACTCACTAGTCAATCTGTTTTTCACTACAGGCATTTTCAACTGGGCTGGACTTACAGGGCTGCTTGTGGCAGGGAAAGGCAGGAGGGGGAGAAAGCATACTTTTGGCATGTGTCATTTTAAAAATCTGTTCAGGCCATCAGGTCACTGGATTAATAATGACTATATGAAAAAGTGGTTAATTATTAAATATTATGATAGATGCCCTGACACGTGTAGCTCAGTTGGTTAGGCACAGTCCTGAAAAGCAAAAGGTCACAGGTTTGATTCTGGTCAGGGCACATTCCTGGGTTGTCGGCCAGGTCCCTCGTTGGGGTACATGCGATAGGCAACCAACCAATCGATGTTTCTCTCACACATCAATGTTTTTCTCCCTCTCTTCTTCCCTTCCCCTCTAAAAATAAACAAACAAAAATCTTTCAAAAAAAATTATGATAGAGCTAGACACTGTCTTAAGAAAGACTTTGTTTGATCCAGACTTCTCATTCATGTATGGGCAACTAAGCAGATGGAGGGGCTGTTTGCTCTGAAAAGGCTCGAGGGACAGATACTATCTCTCATTCATATTTTTGTCTACTGAGTTCCTAGAGGTTACCTATACATGTTACCTGGTACATGTTACCTATAAATGTTTGCTGAATGGCTAAATAAATTAACTTCCTTTAGCAGCTCATTCTAATGTTTTATCATCTTGATAATTAAGACACTGTTTCTGAAATTCAACAAAATGTACATGTCTTCAATTAAGCCCATGACCTAATTTTTCTTTTCAGCCTATACTACTACCCATCAGTATGACAGGGGCTCCAAATAAACACTGCAGGCAACGGGACAGAGGAAGTCCCCCGGGCTCCTAAGTTTTGTTGGTTCCTAAGAGCCACCCCTCTCAACATGGCTCTCATGAAAGGACTCTCCTGTCCAAAGTGACAATATCCAATGCCCAACAAGAGTAAAATAAGTTTTTTTAGCTTTGGTGATTGGTCCTGTCTCTTTTTGATATCCTGTCCTCTTAAATCATATCCCACAAATGAATTTAATTCACTTCATTGGAACGGTTCATGTATGAATGCAATTATTAAGGCGATAAAAAGGAACAAAAAGTCTCTACTGTATAAAACTCATCCCTTATCTCTAGCATTAAAATCAAATTAGATGGTCAATCAATCAGGGAACTATTCTTCCATCCCTTAGTAATTACATGCATAGAACTGATTTCACTTAACTTTTGATATACAATGGGAAAAAACAAAAAATCCTAATGCTGAATCCAACTTTGTATTTGATAAAAGCGATTTAAAAAAACACTCTTAAGACTTTATAATAATTTCTAAAGTCAACAAATTTCCTTACTTGAGCTGCGTATGTCTGGGACAAAACTGCAGTCGGTCAAAATCTTCAAAAGACAAAAAAGAACCAATAATTACTTGTGACTTGTACAGAACAAATCAGTTATTTTCAAAATCACTCTACCTGGTCTAGGTTGGCACTTACCAAGTCCACATTCCCCTATTGCTACAACTTTCCCCTTGTTGTTTTCAGCAAGATTTAGCAATTCCATGAAGTAAAGATCAGGGTTATTCTTTTCAAAATCATCACATCTTGTAGGGTGACATCCAACTGTACTGAAAAACATATCTAGCACAAAATAATGTTGAAGGATTATTTTCAAAATATTTTTCATATTTATATTTAATATGCATAAATAAGAGAATATCAGTTAATTTCAAGTGGTTAATTTTTAACAGCAGCCATAAACTATTCAAACTGCCAGAATTGCAGTAGGTTAATCATATAATTTTTGGAATACTTTAACATAGTAGGGCATGAAGATGAAACATTTGCCTGAACATATTGGTAAAAATAATTTATGCAACTCTTTCCAAAGCTTGGCATTTACTGAGCCTTACAGAATGGAAAACGAAACAATTTCTTGTATAATTAAATGTCAATAGCTACTTTTAACATTTATAGTCACTATTCATATGGCTGTGTTATTTTATGTATTTACTTAAGCAGTTAAAATGTATATTCTTTCCCCTTAAAAAGGGTGACCTAAAGAAGTGGAAGGGGGAACTTGTTTTTCTAATAAAAAATAAAGCTCACTTATTTGGAGGCCATACTGTCTGATAGTTTTAATTGTATGGAACATAAATGTTAAGTCAAAAAGGGCTTTGAGCAGCTTAAGGCACTACCTGTGCCTGAACCCAGGAGGAGGTGTGGAGTCACCTTGGGCTCTCATGCAGATGTTTACAGATAAAGGGAGGCAGAGCGCTGAAAGCCTGGAGGACACAGGGGCATGGGGAGGGCTGGCAGAGGGCTGCCACCAGAGACTGAGAACTTCTAAAAACTTCCTGGGGATATAAAATAGGGAAGACAATATTCTCTTACACCTGAAAGCTCTGGGGAGGTGATTCCTTTCATGACCTTAGTCACTAAGAAAAAGGATCAGTGGATCCTGAAGAGAAGACTTCCATAAACATGGCTTTTAATAAGCCATTTTTTGAAAAATAATACAGAATGTCTACTTTTTCAGTGTCCAGTAAATGAAGCATGCCCCTTCAAAAAAGAAATACCCCCCAAAAACGAAAGGTTAATAAGAAAATGAATGCCAGATAAAGGAGGTATTTTATATAATTAGGATTCCTTTGGAATTGGTTCCAAAACTTCAAAGATTTTAAATAAATGTAGAATGTATGAAAATAGAGTAAGCATATGAGAGAGAATGTAGTTCATTATTACTTGCATTCTTGGGGCAGTGTCTGGTCTGCATAATAAACATTTAATAAATGATTTTTCATAGCTTAAGTTAAAAAAAGAGCGAATAAAAAGCAACTCATACCTTAAACACATTATAACACACACACAAAATCCTACATCAGAAATATCTGAGGTTAAATTATATACCTTGTGACCTGAATCCTCATTAACTGAAATCTTACGTACAATGAGAGGGTTTTATCAAGCTCTGCTACCCTAATGGGCACTCTGGGTGTTTTCACCCTACTCATGTCCCATTGAAATCAGTCTATTTTCCTGCTGTTTCTACCATCATGATCCACTGCATTGTACCTGAAGCAGTTCTCAGAAAGACTTCTTCAAAATAGCTTAATTCATTATTTGTTTTGGTAAAAGTAATATGAGGATACCATTTGTTTGTGCCAAATCCAGTGCATCTTTACTGTCTTGTAAATTTCCACCTGTAATCATAAACTGAAACAGAAATAAATTAAGTCCTCTTTAACAAGGTACCAGCAACAGTCCACACACATGCCTTCCTGCTAAAGCTTTTTTTCCAGAATGCTTTTCTCTCTTAGACTGTCACACGCCTACCCATCCTTTAAAATTCTGCTGAAAGATCACCTCCTATGCAGATGGTCCCTGTCTACGTCTCTCTAATGCATGCACAGACACAACGATACGCAGAATTCAGCACCCTTATTTATGGAAATGTATGCACGTCTGTCTTTCCGATTAGACCATGAGCTCATTGACGGCAGAGATCAAGTTGTGAGACTCTGCAAAAGACTGAACAGCTAACTAAAGATCTCCGATTTTAGAATTCTCTTCATCTAACTCAGTGATTCCATAGTGTTGATGAATTCAACAGTTCTCCCAAGTATCATCCCAGAACCCTGATGGGATACATGAAATCAAACCATTTTCTTAATAGTACTTCTTAAGAAGCTCTTTGCCTTTTTCACCCGCATTCTGTCACAAGCGTGCAATGAGGTATTCCAGAGGCTACATAGTGTGTAATATCATGACAGACTGCAGAAACAGATGTGAAGTTCAGCGGTCTTCTGAGACATTAAAAAAATGCAAAATAATTCCACTCATGTCACTAAATTTTTTGGTTTTGAAAATATATTTTTCATAAAAATATGCTATTTGTTATATAATGGTATTATTTTTAAATGAATGAATATTTAAATTTTGTTTTAATTTCTAATACAGTATATAGCAACAGATAAACCCACATAAACCAAAGCTCTTTGGGATCCTCAATAATACTAGCAAACAGAAGGGGTGGTGAGGCCAAAAGTTTAAGAAATACTGGGTTAATATGTATTGATGGATTCTCCGTAGGGAAATTTATGGCTCCTGGCAAAGAGGCGCACTTCTACAGAGACAGCCAGTAGAGGCATTTAGAGCACCATCGTTGCTGATTTGTTAAAAGGAAAATGCCACTAAAGAGCTACGTGTTGATGGTGACTACTGAGGACATGCTGCTTAAGTGACATTCTTCTAAAGAAGTCATTTAAGTACAAATGTGTATTATTTTTAAAAGCATACTTGAAGAGTCTCACTGAGCTTAAATGAAGAATTCATTCTAGATACACACCTAAAGAGAAAACATACGGAACACCGGAGGAAGCACAAATGACAGGCATTTTTACCTAGCAGCTTAAACTTCTAATATGATAAGACACTGAGCATTCATTCAGGGGATGCATAGCTATAGTTAAATCCTCAACTACTTGTATAGGATATAAGATATTGTACAGGATTAAGATATTAACAAAAATACTGGAAAATTTTACTAACACTACCTAATTATTTAATGTAAGACCAGGTGCCCACATTCAGTACTTCAATGATATAAAATAGCTCCTAATCAAATCTACCTTTTATTTTATCTGTAACGTTTCCCAATAGATAAAAAAAGTTAGGGCAAGACTAGAGGACATAATATAGCCTCTCCCAGTTGATGATGATGATGATGATAAGATGGTGACTTCCATCATAAATGTAATAAAGATTGTTTACATTATGCCTAATATAATACCAAGTACTTTGCATTTAGGTTACTATTATCGTTCTCCATGTATGGAAGAGAAAACTGAAGTCCAGATAGATGAAGCACCTGGGTTACAAAGTTATGAATAAAGCTGAGGGTGGAAGCCAGGTCTGTGACGTCCTGTCATTCCTAAGCCCAAGTGTGCGTGATTAGAAATTTTAAGATTCAATTACTTGTGGCTGACATAAAAATTCAAGAGCAGGAAAAGCGTGCAGAAAAAGCATTTCATTAGGTAAAAGGACCACACACTGAGAAAGAAGTGTTGTAACTTTTATCTTTTCTTATTACTTGTGAATAGCATACACTTTTAGAGCTAAAGACTGCAGAACTCATTTAGTCAGCAGTGATGCTTTTTAAAATGGAAGTTATTTAACTTCGAAGCAGTAGTCACCAAGTGTGCTAATACCAAACTATGGAATTTAACCTCATTTCTTGTGTACATGGCTGGGCTAGCTTTCTATTTTTTTTTTTTTAAATACCTTTAAAAATACCTATGCAAAGAATTTGACATTGAGTTCATTTGTGAGAACTCTCTAAAAAAGTAGTTAAGAATTTTCCTGATAATCAAATGGCTAAAAAGTAAGAATGTCCTCTTAGTTATTTGAAATGGTATACCTAGACTGTAAAAACCAAACTTGGTGACATATACATCTTTTTAATAAATGTTAAAGTATGTCATAAAACGTACTTAAAGTTGCCTCTTCAGAAGCCTGGCAATTGAGATGGGTTTAAAAAAAATTTCAGAGAGACTTTGCTATTTACCACATTTCTGATCGTATGGAAGAACTAACTACCCATGAGGTTTGTGTCATTTCAACTGATGTGAACAGAATATGCTGATATATTTTATGTCATTAACTTGCTAATATTACATGTTAACAAGATATACTTAAAAATGCCAAGTGTGGCCCTGGCCCAGCTGGTTGGAGTGTCCTTCCATGCAACAAAAGGTTGCCAGTTCAATTCCTCGTCAGGGAACATACCTAGGTTGCAAGTTTGATCCCCGGTTGGGGTGCATTCAGGAGGCAACCAGTCGATGTGTCTCTTTTGCATCAATGTTTCTCTCTCTCTCCTCACCCCTACCCTTCTCTCTCTCTAAAAATCAATAGAAACATGTCCTTAGATGAGGATTTAAAAAAAAAAAAAAAAAAAAAAAAGGCTAAGTGTAGCATTGGCTTTCCCCCTTCTATTCTGCAGTATTTTAATGAAAATTTAGTTTTTAAACAAATCTTAAGAGTATTAAAAACTAGATGTTACCTTTTTAACACCAATTTGGACAGCTCTCTGTATTACATCTTGTAAGTCATCTGTAAAAGATGAGCCCCAAATAAAGAAAGCCTGTTAAATAAATATCCATTTATCTATATAATCACATTTATTAAATCAAAATCAAATCAATACTATTCGACGAGTATTCATCCTATAATAATAGAGTTAGTAATATTCTTTAAAAAAACCCAGGAAACCTGTATAAGGCAAACTAGATGAAATTATCCATTTAATTGTATTTTTATCCTGTTGGCCAAAAGGGGGAAAAGTGACAAAACTCAGAAGGTTAAAAAAAAAGATGGATTTATTCCCTACATTTTATAAAATTGGCCTTGAATTTCAAAGTTCTTGGTAAATTTTTTAAAATAAAAATAAAATAGACAATCGTTAAGATTATTTTTATTATGGCTTTTCAGAGTACACCTGCAATGTCTCCCAAAATATAACATCTATTTTTAAAATTTAGTTAATGCTGTATTTCTATAATTACCATTCACATTGAGGAAGGTTAATTTTTTATTTTCTCTGACAGTTGTTTTGGGGTTTTTTTTGCTTTTTTCCTATAATTTATTGTTAACTAACAAACTTTTTGGAGAGATCAATAGTAATTACTAGGCTCTAAGAGGCCTGAGATAAATGGACAGCAAAATTAAACAGTTATGTCATAAAAATTGATTTCTTATTTTCGTATTTAAGCATCAGAGTAAATGTGATTGGAATTCATTACTATTCTAGAGTAGCTATAATATTTATTTTAGACAAAGAATATCAACTTAGTGAACGTTCTATCTAAGTAGGACAGCCAGTCTTGCTGGTTATTTTAAGTAGAGTAATACTGATACTGATCACTATGAAACTTACTTCATAAACATACATATACAAACATTCATACACACAGAGTATGAAGCATGAAATCTAGTGCTAAAAGGCAAGAAAAGCAGAATGTAATTTATTCAGTATTCTAACTGTACTATATAAGTAATGTCATCTAAATGTCTAAATGAAGCAGAAAAGGTAAGTTTTGAGATAAGGGTTAGGAGAGCTAATACTTATCTTTGTCCTTTCTAGTAACACCTAACATTCCCCATACTTAATGCTTTCACTTAGTATCACCCAGAAGCACAGTAAGACTAACTTCTGACTCAGCTATTGATAGGTACAATTCCAGATCATCCAAAACCACAAAACCGAATTTTCCTGTTTTCTCTTACATTATAATATAGTAACTTTCTGAGACAATATTCACAGACTAGTTTATTGGAGAAATTCTGCTTTCAAAAACTTGTCATCATTATTTCCTGCTTAGTCATCTGGCTGACAAAACAAGCCTTTAAAATGAACTTGATGCGAATAAACAGAAACCACTTTGCTTTTGGCTAAGTTGTCCATCTATATTGCAGGTACTACTCTTCCTACCTGGACTGTAGGTGTCTAGGACCTAACAGGACTTGGATGGAAGGGGGAAGAGGCAAGACAGGGAAGGTAGAATGCAGTGCACCACCCCCCTAAGTCACATCGCCACTTAAGTCATCCAGCCAAAATGTTACAAGAAAACCACACATTATACTGATGTTCAACAGTACACAATTTTTACATTATGTGCTCTACCATTCAATTGCTTGAAAGACTAAACACCAACTAATGTTTGGCTTTTGTGTATATGGTTAAAGTCCTATATTCCAAATTATAAACTTCTACAGATAATACTTGATTAACAACTTTTTTATAATAGGTGCGTTATAAGTGTTCATTATCACGGTTAATCAACATAGCAGACAGGTGTTTCACTTTGTTTACAGTTTTATCCAAGATGCATAAGTCCTTTAATATTTCAGTTTTAAGAGTGGATCACGCTGTTCCAGATCTCCTTGAAGGAACACAATTTATCTTCATAGAGAAACTATTCGCATTAGTACAACATTTACCTTGATGCTTTTGAACCCCCCTATAAATTCCTCTGAACATAGGATCTGTCAGGTTGATACCAATATCTGTGGGAAGCAAAAATAAAATAAATGATTAATCATGAAGAGCCTCTACATGAAACTTTTTCCTTAAACAAAAGCTCATTACTAAACTTCACATCCTCACATTCATTCACTTAAACAAAACCTGAGTGCCTAAAGCTTGTCCATTACTGTGCTGGACACCTGGGATACAAAAATAAGTAAAAGAGAATTCCTGCTGTCAAGAAAGTAGGAACTGGGAAGGCAGACCCATTAACAGACAATTAAGAAAATTAAGAAATATTAAAAGTAAACGCTTGAGGCGGAGGCAGGTTCTGGTCCCGCAGAACTGCTCCGAGTCGTCGCGGATGGGAAAATAAAAATAAGCCATCCCACTTTTCTCGGCCTGCCAGGAGAGGGGGGTGATGATTCCCTCCAGTGGAGAATGCCCCAAGACCATGTTCAATGGCTTTTATTGAAAGGGTTACCAATGGGGGCCAGGTAGTAGGAATGTACAGTTGATCTTATTACATCAGTATGTTAATGTTTACAGAAAATAGATGATGTTTTGAAGAAGACAAACGGCAGGAACACACTGATTTACATGGGTCTGAGACTCCAAGATGAGATGAGTAAACATAGAGCATAAACATAAGAGAGTCAAATGGTTTAGGGTCAGGGTCTGTGAATAATGTGAATTTCCTTCCCGGCATGAGCCATTTATCACAGCTTTGAGGGAAAAAAACAAAGCATGCTTCAAGGAATTTACTTCTAGGCCTGATTTCCCCCGGGGAACTACCGGATCCAGTTTAGGGCTGTCTCTAGTTATTGTTTCAAGCCTGAGGTGGGGGCGGGGAGGAGGAAGCAGAGCAGCCAACAGATAAGGAGGCTTCTTTCAGATAGAAGGATGACTCCAGCCATAACAAAGATGAGGGGTAAAGGTCTTTTGCCCTTTCTCCATGTCCCCCAAGTACTTCCCTGATGGCCCCTATATGACTGTGCCTGTCTTAGGTTGCCCCTGCCATCGAGAGGTCTTACCCATCATTGACTAACCACCCATCCTCTGGGACCAAGCAGTGTGATGTGAGGGAGGCAGGGAACACCCTGCACCCCTGCCAGGTGACAGGTTTTGTCTCCTCAGTGGCCTATTTTCCCAAGGCCTCCTTGCTTCGCTCCAGCGTTGGGGCCCTCTCACCTGTTGGCAAGGCTACAGTCCCTGAAACCAGTCAGGACAGTTCCCAACAGACACTGCTACTGTGGGACACAAAAGAGGAACACCCAGCCTAGTCTGGTAGCTGGCCAACAGGACACTTCCAGAAAAAAGGGGTCCCTGAACTTAATTTTAACGGCTGAGTCAGTTACCCAGAAGAGGGGAAATTACAGACAGAAGCAGCAGCAGGAGCAAAGCACAGGTGGTGTGAAATAGCACAATGATTATGGAGAATTGCAGGCCATTCTAGCTGCTGGAGAAAAGTGAAGGGAAGGAGTGGTCAGAAAAGGCCAGACTCCATTGTGTTACAGTGACCAGTCTTCAAAATATTAGATGCAAAAAGAAGCACTGATGGCTTTTAAGCAGAGGAGTAAGATTTGCATTCTGGACATCTCATTCTGGAGTTTTTAAGGAGGGCAGAATTTGAAGAGAGCAACTGGAGTCAGGATATCTCCTTTGGAAAAGGCACAAGCTCACATATGGAGGGAAGAGAACCTGGATTAAGGTAATACAAGTAAAGATGCAGAAAGAAGGATAAACTATTAATTTCCTTTAGTCGTCAAATATTTATAAAGAACAACTCTGTGCCAAATACTGTGATAAGGGGTTAGGGAACACAGAAACAAGCAAGACCCAACACTTGGTCCCTGCCCTCCAGAAATTTATAGTCCATATAGGAACTACAAATATAATTTGTGATATACTAAGCACACAGTGAGCAACACAAGGCACAAAATGTTTATCTTCATTGTTGTATCCCTAGAACCTAGCATAATGGTTTTGTGAAAATAATATAAATTGAGCCACTTTAAAATGGAGTCAGAGCTGCCACCCAGAGGAAGTGCCTTGCACATCTTATTTCTCAAATGTTTGGAATGTTTTAACTGGACAAAATAACCTTTAGGCTGGGCCAAACAACTGTTTAAAAAGCTAACAGGAAAGTAGAAATACTGACATCTTTAGAATTAGCACCACCACGTGTAGCTGAAGAATAACCAGCTTATGTGCACAACAGAAATTCCTTCCCTGGCTCACTGACACCAACAGAAATTCCTTTTTCTATTCTAGCCCCTTCTCCTTCTCACAAGTACTCCTTGCCTTTACCCCATAATTGGAATGCTATTTAGGTTATCTGCCTGAATCAGTGCTTCCCAGAAGCGCAATTCTTCTTGGTGTCAAATGCATGCCTGTTGCCTCTCACTTTGGCTTTTCATTTTAAAGAACATAATTAGCACATAGTTAGCATGGGAGCACAAAAAAGGGGCGGTAACAGTTTTCGCAGTGTGATGAGAAAAGCTTCACAAGAGAGGTAATCTTGAAGCTAAAACTAATGGAAAGGGCATTCTGCATACAGATATGTGTAGGCACAAGACCGGAAGAAACTCACTGAGCCTACAGAGCAGTGGTTCTCAATGGAGAGTGATGTTGCGACCCCTCTCTTCTTTTAAATCCCTTGTCCCCAACATCTAGCAATGTATAGACAATGCATATTCATTTTTAGTTGTCACAAAACAGGGAGTGCTACTATAACCTAGGCCTGAGGCCACAGATATCTTACAATGCAGAGATAGGATAGCCTCTCACAACAAAGATTTATCCAACCCAGACTGCCAAGTGCCATCCTCGATAAATCCTGCTGTGAAGTATAAGAGAACAGGGGAAGAGCAAGACATGAAGTCAGACTGCCATGGCCATGGGCAATAAAAATGCCATCCTTATTTGAAAGCACTCGGAGAATCTCCAAGTTGTGGTGGTGGGGTAGGGAGCAGCTACCTACCAAAAGACCCCTACATTATTTTTGCTGAGCTTCAGCTTTTTCTTGGTATATCTCACTCTGCTTCTGCCAAGCTGGCCCTCAGTGAGCTCTGCTGCTTCAACAGGAAGACAGACCTTGCAAGATGAATGGGAGTTGGGTAATTCAAGAGATGGTAGGGTGTTCCAGGCATTTGAATTAAGAAAAAGGCACAATGCAGAAAACTTCAAAGACATACAACATATCTGTCAATGGAGGGTGGGAGCTCAGTTCACAACAGGTACCCTCTAAAGGGCGGTTAATGGTCCTGGCCGATATGACCCAGCTGACTGGAGCATTGTCCTGTAAAATGTTAGGGGGTGGGTTTAATTCCTGGTCAGGGCACATACCTAAGTTGCAGGTTCGGTCCCCAGTTGGGACATATGGGAGGAGCAACTGATCTATGTTTCTCTCCCTCCCTTCCCCTTTCTCTAAAAATCAATAAGCATGTCTTCAGTGACTTAAAAGGCTGTTAACACACAATTATCATCCAATACCATGAGGACAAATTCAGTGGAACAGCCCAGATCACAAGAAACCAGTATCTACTTTCTTCCCATAGGGATGGGACATAAGATAGGGAAGGGGCAGGCTAGGAAAGGAAACCCAGGGAAGAGAGAAGAGTCCTTTCTGCCTAGAATCATCTTTCATAGGGGTCAGTGTAGTCGTCCACCATTGATGATTATTAGGAGCACAGAACAGGTCTGCATCTCTTGTGCCCATTTCCCCTTTGTGCAGCAAAGAAAGAATTTTTCCAAAGCAATCTTTTTCCGGAAAATGAAGTGAAACACAAATGAAAACAAACAGCAAACCAATTTAACAAGTAAACTTTTGTGATATTAATTTTAAAGGTGAATTGAAGATTAGCTTGGAGGCTCAATTATCATGCCTCTAAGTCTGTCTCATCCCCCACAGGAATGGATGCTAAATCCTTCAATGCTTATCCTGAAACCAATTCCAGGTGATCCCACTTCCTCTTACAACCTGACTCTTCACCACATAGGGTCAGTCTTTCAGGCCCTGGGTCACAAGGTACTTCTAGATCTATATTCAGCATTGGACCCACCTGAGCCTTCGGCTGGCACAGCCACCAGTTTCTTCCCTTTCCTGCAGGAAACTCCTACGACCTATAGCCCCAAAACTTTTTCTTTCTGACATATGGTTTGTCTGAAGTATAGTCCTCATCTGGTTATTAGAGCTGCTCTCTGCTTTGACAAATACGCTCCAGCACCTCAGGTTTGGTGACTGCATTCAGAACATGCCATTAGAAAACATGCAGCTTTGGCATGTTGGTTATTTTGAGCTGAACGCACTTGGGAAATAGCAGGTGCAGGGGTCCAGAAAAAGGGAAATTACGTCCTATTGCAAAGGCACGTTTATGAGGTATGTTATTGTATACCCGAAAGACATCAGGGAGGCTTTGTTAAGGATCAACCCTTGTTAGGGAAAAATACTGCCTTAGGATGTGACTACCTGCCAGGAACCACTGTTACTTAAAAAGTTTTAATTTCAGACCACCCCCTGGTTAATGGGTGGCTCCTTTTCTTCCACAACTCAAAAACAGTACAGAAATACTGTATGAAAATAAATTTCTATCCAGTTCCAGCCAAAGACAATAAACAACTTGAAAAACTAAGAAAATGACAGAGAGGGGTGAGAATGACTTAAATGAAAAAAAAAAATTGGAAAATTACTACTTCTGATTTGGGGAAGAGAGGTGCAATTGAGGGGTTCACATATTTAATGGCATGTCACCTTACTTATACAGATCTTTTCCATTGATTTTGTTTTTAGACTGGCTGGTATTAATGAATTTTATTTTTCAAAAACAATGTAAGAACAAAAAAATGTTTGCAACCAAAAGAAAACCACATCTCTAAACTGATAGTATTCCACGAGAAACTTGGTTCTTGCCGACGCAGTAAAGAATTACAGATGAGCAAGTCAATTAGCATGTAAGCAGGGTTTATTAGCCGTACCTTCTCACAGAAGAGAACAGGCCTTGCTGAGGCGGGGGTGAAAGGCATAGGTTCGGGACAAAGCAAGGTAAAGGCGGCAAGAGCATCAGGTCCTTTGTTCTGAGGACTTACAAAGCTGGCAGGGTGGGGGTGAAGAAGTTACATGTTGATTGATGGATAGAGGTGGTGCTAACTTCCCTGGCAGCAGCTGACTACCTGAACATAGGTATGTGTGAGAGTCTGTTAGCCTGAACCCTTATCTTGTTCTAGACCACATTTGGCCATCTTGTTGTAAAACAGATACGGAACAAGAGGCAATTAATTAAAGTTGAGGCACTTACCCAAAATTATTTATGGGCTCTTTCTGTAAGCATTAGGGCCTCCCTTGTAAAACAGATAGTGACCAAAGTCATTCTATGGGCTTTTTCTTTGGGCACTGTGCACCTCCTCCCACCCTCCACCAGGCCTTGGGACAAATACAGTTTCAAAGGCTTTCTTTCCCGGAAAGTGGAACTGATACACAGAATTTCAAGGGCTCCCCTTCTCCAGAGCTAACATGGTGCTTCTTGTGATTCTGGAATATTATCAGATGAGGCTCGAGACTGCTGAGTTAGTGGGTAAGACATGTCTCCTTCCTCCTTCTTGCCTTGGTTTAATATCTATCCCACCTAACAACACCTCACTGTTCAGGCTCAGTGAGTGATGTCATATCACTCTCACCTGTACTGTAGATATACAAAAGGACAGCAAATAGGATATTTTTAAATTGTTTTAGATTTGCTTTGCCTTTTAGATACAACTCCCAAGTTTACAGGAAATGCAGGACTCGAGACCAAGCTAGACACATAGCAGGCAGACAAATCCACAAGACAACTGCCAAGACGCTCCACTCTATACACAGTAAAGCTAAGCTCGGCAAAACAATGGACTCCCGACCATAGCTCTCACAACGTCCCCCAGGTTTTCCCAAGTGCCTGGCAGTAACTCTTCTAGCCCTTTCGGTTCCTGAGGCCACGAAGAGCGGAAGTGGCGGGAGGTGCACGGGGGACAGACGGGAATATAGCGACTGGCCTCTTGTTTTTTAGTAGTTTAGCTTCCTTTTTCCTTTTTATTGAACACAAGACACACCTTATAAGGAGCACAAATCACAACCGTACCACTCGTGAACTCTCACAAATAAGCACACCTTGAAGCGAGCACCTACAGTAACAACCAGAACCGGAGTCTGCACCCAGAAGTTTCTGGCGGCCTTTTCCGCCGAGAGCCCTGGCAACCCTCTGAAATCTCGTCCTGGGCCTTCTGGCCGCTGCGAGCGACGCCCGGGTGTAGTCAACACAGCCCAAGCACCGGAAAAATAACTTACCCACAAACTTGAAGCGACTCATGACTGCGGAGCCAGGCTCTCCCCGGCGGAAGCGGAAGTGACGCCAGCCGGCCTGCCCCCTAGCCGCCGGCCTTCCGTTTCCCGGGAGCCCCAGCGGCCGCTGAAGGTGAGCGGCCGTCATGTCGTTTTCGGCGCCGGCGGCTTACCTGACCCACCAGCAGAAGGTGTTGCGGCTTTATAAACGAGCGCTGCGACACCTGGAGTCCTGGTGCATCTACAGGTGGGGGACGGGGACCCAGGGCGTGGGAAGCTGACTCCGGGGACCCCCACAGAGGCCGAGTCTTAGAGGGACCGGACTGGGAAGGCGGCCCAAGGACGTAGGGGACGGACTGGGAAGGCGGCCCTTCGCCCCACAGGGTCCGCCTGTAGCCCTTGTTCAAGTTCACACCTCGTCGTCCGGGGCTGCAAGACCTTGAAGAGTTGCTTCTCTGGCCCGGGCGCAGGATGCAGCACGGAGGGTTACGTGACCGTTCAGTGAAATAAAGGAAAGTGTCCAACTGCAATTGTCACGCCTCCGGCGTTCACCGAAGAATAGCTGTCTTCATGACCTCGTTCCTGATATTAATAGTAATAACATGTCCTTTATTTCCTTCGGTTTTCACAGCAACTCTAGGAGATAGGGACTATAAATAGCCTTACTTTACAGATGAGGAACTAGAGGCATAGAGAGTAACTTGCTCAAGGCATTGTAGCTAGTAAGTGGCCAAACCAGGATTAAAACTCCAGTGTCTAAGTCCAGAGAATCATATCTCCCAGCTTCCCATCAGCTTTCCTCTTTTTAGCTTCATCCCACCGGTCACTACCTTCACATCCCACAGACTTCTTCCCCTCCCACACAATTTCGTGTTCTCTATCCACCTGAGACTAGGCTGAGAACGTAGTCATAAAACATAGAATTTTTTGTTTCCCGTGATCTAGATGTAGTACAAGGTGAGGTGACAACCCAAATGTGTGAATGCCAGGACTCCACTCCCTTATCAGAATCCCAAGACCTCATCCCAGTTAAAGAGCTTCTGGGGGGAGAAACCTCAAAATGATGGACAAGGTCTGGAAGAGTAGGTAACGTTGCTAATCTCCAAAATCATTTTGGTTTAAGGGACAAATACCGGTACTTTGCATGTTTGATGAGAGCTCGGTTTGAAGAACATAAAAATGAAAAGGATATGGTGAAGGCCACCCAGCTGCTGAGAGAGGCGGAGAAGGAATTCTGGCACAACCAGCATCCTCAGCCATACATCTTCCCTGACTCTCCTGGCGGCACCTCCTATGAGAGATATGAGTGTTACAAGGTGGGTGAGGAGGGCACTGGCGCCTGCCCTCTGAGAGGTGGACTTCGTTGCTCCAGTTCCGCAGTTTCCCTTTTAGGGGCCGCTAGATTGCATTCCTGACGGTTGTAGATAATTTTCTTCAGGTGTCAGTTTCCTCTCTCCCAGATGACATTAAGACTTTTCTTTCTAAATTCAGCTTGTAGTGTCTGTTTTTGGCAAAGCAGAGTGCTGAATTACTTAGTAACTCGTTTTGGGACCTGAAGGTAAACCAACTTGGATTGGTGCTGCTTATTTCTGAGAAATTCTAGGTAATACTTCCAAAGAACATAGATCCACTCTGGATATTTAGAGAACGCAGGTGGGGGAGGGACGAGGCCCGTTCTTTCTGGCCTGACCGTGTTTTTCAGCCCCAGGCTGTTTCACTCTAAGCAGGGAGGTCCAACCTTTTGGCGTCTCTGGGCCACACTGGAAGAAGGAGAGTTGTCTTGAGCCACACACTAAATACACTGTATCGCGTAATCACAAAAAAAATCTCATAATGTTTTAAGTAAATTTGTGATTTTGTGTTGGGCCGCACGCGACCCGTGGCCCACAGGTCGCAGGTCGGACACCCCTGCAAACGTTCTCTTTATGTAGGTTCCTGCTTGTCTTCTGTTGTTCATTGCTTGGTGTCAGAAACAGTCTGATAATTGCAATGGTTATAACCCATGCACCTTGAGTTTTGTCTTTTGTGCGGGACCTATCAGTGGTATGTAAATATATCTTACATTTTCTTGACAGGTTCCTGAGTGGTGCTTAGATCACTGGCATCCTTCTGAGAAGGCAATGTATCCTGATTACTTTGCCAAGAGAGAGCAGTGGAAGAAACTGCAGAGGGAAAGCTGGGAGCGAGAGGTGAGTCTTCCCTGCATTTTACCGTATCGTTTGGCCTACGTGGTCAACACCTGGAAGGGGCTCCGGTTTTCTTCTCTGCTGAGGAGGTCCAGAGTCCAGTTATGACAGTTACTCTGGCCCCTTGCCCCTCACATATACGTCATTTCTAAGTAAGTTAAATGCAACATTTACAACCGTCTTTTGAACAGGTTACACTGTGTTGCCTGGTCTTTTGGGTTTCTTGGTCTTGAATTTTGCTTCTGCCCTCCTTCTCCTTTTTAGTCCTTTACCTGGCCTCCTTGCTATGCCCTCTCATCACTTACCATTCCTCTCCACCAGTGCCTTGAACGCTTTTCAGTCATCTTGTGATGTCTGCTTTCCATTTTATAAAGCTCAGTCTTGCTCTAGGGTGAAGGATGTATCGGAGAAGGTCCGATGAGGAGTGGAGAGGCCAGTTTGAGGTTATTACAGTTTAGTCAAAAGATTATGACAGCCAGCACTAAGGTAGATGCAGTGAATATGGAGGGAAATAGATTCAGGAGATGGTTGGGAGGGATATGGAGATTGATTAGATGTGGGGGGTGGGGTGAGGGACAGTGAGGACTCGAATGATTTTCAGGCTTTAAGCTTTAACCTCTGGAGTTTGGTGATGGTGTTGACTGAGACAGAGAAGATGGGGGAGGCAGGTGTGAGGACAAATGTTCAGTGCCAAGTGTGTTAAATTTCAGAATGTAAACTTGAGAATCCTGTGAGACATCAAGTGCAGTGTCAGTAGGTGACTTTGGATGTAGGAATCTGGACCTCAAAGGAGAGATTTGAGCTTGAAATAGAAATTTGTGAGCCAACTGTTGTTTTCAAAGCCACGGAAATGGATGAGAACCTTATGGGGAGACTAGAGGTAGAAGAACAGGTACAGGCGCTCCCACTTGTGAAGGTCAGGAGAAGGAGGCTGCAGCGCATCCAGCAGGGGAGGGGGCAGTCAGGAGAGTGTTTCCGGGATGCCGGATCAAGTCGCCTTGGCTGAAAGTTGCTGAAAGGGGGAATAGAGTGAGGACTGGAGATAATGTGCAAGGAGTTTGGATACAGGAAGGGCATCAGTGGGCTAGACTGGAGCCTCTTCTGGAGAATTAATCATACTGACAATAGTGAGCAGAAAGTAAAAGGAAGACAGGATGGAGAAGTAATTCTTGAGAAGTTTTGCCGACAACAGTAACTGGAGGCCAAGGGATTATTTCCTAAGATGAGAAATAATGATGCGTATATGCTGATAAGAAGATATGGGGTGAGGGAGAAGCTGATAATGTTAACAAGAGGTGGACTAGGTGGAGGAGGAAGTCTTTCCGAGGAGGCATGGGATCCCAAGCCTGCACAGAGGCCTTGGCGTCAGCATTTGGAAACTGGAGGTGTGTCCTTTCAAGGAGAGCAGTAGGTTCATACTGCAGTTGATCACTATTATAACTTCTTCTCCACAAAAACTTGCCTCCTTTGCTGTTGTCTCTTCCACATCATTAAACAACATGTGCTGGAGGCTCAGGTTAACCACAAGTGATTTGAATTGATTCGAGAATTGATTTTTCTGGAAAGTGGATCTCTAGGCTTCCTCTGCTATTAGGACCATGATAGTCTTGGAGACCCCTGAAACTGGGGGTAGTTGGGCAACATCAGGCAGAACTAGGCACATTTTTACATGTGATTTCATGTTACTTCTTGTCCTGGTCACTGTGGGGGCAGGGGGAGGGAGGGAGGGTTTAAAATTAACATCCTTAATATATATGAAATTGAGATTTCTTAATGGTGCTTTTGGAGAACACTTAGCTGAGACACAAAAATTCATTTTTGTTGGGAGAGGGATACAGGTTGGTGGGGGGAACAATAATAAGGGGAATTGGAATAGTGATTGTCGTGGTTTTGGTTAATGAATACGGTGGGATGGAGGGGTCGTTTTCTTAGCTTTGCTGGTTTAAGAATGGGAAAAGCTTTGAGAATGCAGTTTCTGAGTTAAGCTGTGGATATAAAAATAAGGAAGTGATATATTAAAAACTATTTTCAGTAGTGAGGATAAGTAAGTGTGTAATGTGACAGATAGTAGGAACAACGCTGACACCTCACTGCAGTGGACTCTTATCGTCATTTCAGCTCTTTCTCTAATTGTTCCTTCCTTGACTCCTTCCAGGTTAAGCAGCTGCAGGAGGAAACTGCGGTTGGTGGTCTCAACACTGAAGCTTTGCCCCCAGCCCGGAAGGAAGGTGATTTGCCCCCGCTGTGGTGGCATATTGTGACCAGGCCCCGGGAGCGGCCCACATAGAGAGAGGAAAACACCTCACCAGTCGTGATTGCAAGTGAAATACTTTACAGAAAATATACACACTTGCCCTAATAAAAATAGCAAGGTATGGCTGATGTGTTCTTCTGTCTGAGGGGTAGCATGAGGCCACTGTGCCACTGTCTTGCCAGTTGTGCATATATAGAAAAGTAGGTGAAATGCAGTCTAATGTGTTCTCTTCTTCCCCATGAAGTCATATTGATAGATAGGACATGCTGTCAATGAGGGAAAACTGTGGCAGAACCACCTACATGATTTACTGTGAAGGTTGAGTTGAACAAACTAGTTGAAGGCTTTCTTAGCTATTGTGTCTAGAAAGAACATGAAGCCGAGAAGAGAAGGTAGGCTACTATTAAGGACTTAAGATACTGTCTTGGTTTTTTAAAGATTCTACGGATGGAATTTTGGTTTTAATTAAAAGACAATTTTCTCTAAGAATCACACATTCAACAAGCAAGCCTGGAGTTTATGGGGTCCTCTCGGGAGTGGAAGTTTGATGGGCGGGGTTAAAGGGTCTGAGCTGGGATGCAATTTTTTTTTGTGACAGTTTAGAGGCAGTTTTCCAACTTTGCTTCTGCTACCATTGCTTGGATTGTCTGCAGACTCAAAGGTAAGGGTACAGCAGGATTCTACACATTTGAAGAAGTTTCTTTCAAAGGTAAAAGCCACTCTAAAAATGGTCAACCAAACCCAGCTACCTTTAGTTCTTGACAGCTCTTTAGAACTGCATTGAAATAATCAGTTCAGGCTCCTAGTGTTCTTCAGGCTCATAATCATAACAAAAATAATGTTTTGCCTGTTTTCTAAGTAAGCTTAGTCAGGGTCTTAGTCCATCTTCTAACATTCGACGAAGACCAACTGAATTTTAATAAGACTTGAAATACAGGACTTTTTTTTCTAGTGGTTCTTTATTTATAATGTAGACTGAAGCAATTGTTACAAGGTAGAAGGGAAACACATTACACAATTGTTATTTATACAAGTTTAGAACAAAAAAACTGCACAGGGAGAGGTCAACTCTCAGTACAAACTAGCAACTAAACACCAATAATTTACCTTAGAAACGATTTCTTTATCTTTAGCTGTGACACTGCTTTTACAATATGCAAAAACACAAACAGGACTACCCAAGGTGTTTTGTCACATTCTTTCTACATTGAATTTGGCAACGTTTTATATTAAATTTCCTCAGATTATACTAACGTTTAAAAACTAAACAAGTGAAAAGCTGTACCAAGGTACAGTTACATCCATTTATTTCAAAGGTTTAAAATACCACTTTTATCTATTGTAATTACCTTGTAGTGATTTCTGCTTGTGCAAAAACCATCTCAAGCATCATATGCACAATGCATCAGCTACTTTTAGTCGTCAAGATTGGTGGGCTAAACCACAGGCACTACTGTTGCTTACAGTCTGTAAAAGGAGCTTGTTTTTCAAAGGAAAAGAAAAAAAGCTTAAATAGTTTCTAATAATCATGCCTTTGCTTTAAAGCCATAACATAAAATGTCCTTGAGCAATCACAGCAGTGTTAAATGTTAATATATAGAACAATGACTATACAGGTATGTTACTCTCACATCCAATGCAGATATGTATTAAAGCATAAGATTATGTCATTGAAGATACAAGCCAACAGAAACCTGCAGGGTCTGTGGGACCCACCACCAAGCTCCTCCTGCCTCGTGACAGCTTCCATCAAAAAGGAGCACTTTTCAACTGACCCAGCTGCTAAGGGGATTGCTTTCTTTTTCATGTTTATATTCTCCAAACATGATCCCTCTAAATCTACAAATCCCTGTTGGCTCTAGGGAATAGGCATTATAACAAATTTAACTGTCACTTAAAGAAGAAAAGACATAAATCCATTCCAAAAAACATTATCTAGAATACAAAAAAAAGGGACAGTCTAGTGGTCAGATGCCCAGTGACAATAAATGAATCTTCCTCTCTTCCTTGTTTAGTATGAAGCCAATTACGAAAAACAAGCCCCCCGATTGGTAAACACACAGGCAAGTTGCTGGACTCTAAGCTGGTTACTCTTGTTAAATCCACTCAAGTTTTTTCAAAATATTTGGGCTTTCCAATGTGCCCAGCCTGCTGGGCACAGTTAAGTAAAAGGCATTTGCTATTATCTAAGAATTCCCTGCTATCATGTTTAAATATTTTCACATTTTCGAAACTGCCTTACCCTTTTGGATGTACTGGATTCGATGAAAATGGGTGTACAGACGAGTAACTAAAGTGGGGGACTCTATGTCTATCCGGTGGCAGCAGCATGCACGGGACTGGAGGTGGGTGCTGTGTGCAGTCAAGAGGAACCGTGGGAGAAAGGAATTCCTTAAACACCCTACAGAAACAAACACCGCAATCCAGTATGGCTTATTCGGATGCATTAACCATGAAGCTACTAGAAATTCAACCTACAAGGCTACTCTTAAATGTGACAGGATCGGCTATGTTGAAAGTGTGCCCCTCCCATGGCCCTCCCCCCAATCCCAACAGTCCACCATCTCCAGATTCACTTCACTCTGAATATTGCTCATCAACTCGTACTACTGCTTGCTCATTCGGAACATAGTATATTTAAATGAAGATTTTACCCCTTACCATTTTGTTTGTACATTAAAATAACTTGAATTTGCTTCTAAGCCAGACTACTAACTACAATGCATCTACAAAAGCTTGCAGGAGAAAAAAAAAAAAGAAAAAGTTACCCCTTTTTTCTGAAGTTAACTACTTAGTGGTTCCCCTGCCCTGACCACCCTACCCCCCCCTTATGCATTTAAAATTTTACAAAGACTTGTAAAAAAGTTAAATGGAATTTGGCACCTTCAGAAAAATCAAAAGGGAAGCTAAGATTAAAATGTGCAGAAACAAAATTGTCAATATTTACAAATTAAAAGATCATGTCAGTTACATATGTTGCTTTTAATTCTTATCTAAAGGTGTCGAGTACGTTCAAAAGAGCTGTATTCTGAGTTGCCTACAAAATCTGTTTGATTATAGATTGGAATGGATCAAGACAAATTAGGTTTCATTAATTAAACAGTTCATCCCCCACTGGCAGCATTTCTGATGCACCTAAGAGAAGCGAGGGGCCGAGCGGTCATTTGTCATGGTCTTCTTCAGCTTCACGCCCCTCCGGATGGCGTTCAGCATGTCTTCTCCTTGCGGGACCTCTCTCGGGCTCAGGTCTGCGGGGTCGCTCTCTGGAGCCTGGCCTGGGGAGGCAGCGGCACTGGCGGGATCCCGTTCCTGGTCTTCAGCCTCGCTTTCTGGAATCGCCTGTCTGTGCTCCTCCGGGATACTTGGCTTCGGGCCTGGAAGAGGAGGGTTGACGGAGGCTTGGCCACTCCACAGCGAGGAGGGAACGCTGGTGACACCCTGGGGACCCTCACCCCCAGACGGCGACTCGGGGCTGTGCTCACCCCGCTCCTCTGGCCCATCCGGGGGGGCTGGCAACACCCCAGGGAGGTCTGGGACAGTTGGGGTCTTCACAGGGATCACAGGTGTCTTGATGGGGATAGGACCGGCTCCAATGGTCCCCCGGCGGACAGAAGGCTTGGTAGAAGGGGTCCGTCGGATGGTCGCAACCCCCGGGGTGACCATGGCGGGTCCGAGGGTGGTGGGGAGCCCGGCTGTCGAGGCCGGGCGCTTGGCTTGGAACATCCGTCGGTAGGACTGGCTGATGTCACTGTTTCTCGGAATGGTGGAGGACTTGTCAAACTCCTGCTGGTCTGCCTCCTGGTCACCGCTTACAGAGAAGTAATCGTAATCTGAAACTGATGATAGAGTTTGATTAGAAATCTCCAAGGCGGCAGGCTTTGCTTTCTGATTCTTTTGTGTTGGGAGGACAGAAGGCCCAGGAGGCAGGGAGCCACCAGTCCCAGGCCTCCCCCAAGCTGCTGGGCTGTCCTTAGCAACTGGATGTGTAAGAACTCCTTGGCAGGAACCTTCGTTCTGTTCACTAATGTAACCCCGGGCCCCTAGAACGGTGCTGGACGTGGTAGGCACACACTAAAATATTGTGGAGAGGTGACAAATGTAAAACTGCCAGGCTGAGGCACAGCTCCTCCCGGCATCTCTGGGAGGAATGAGGGGGTGGAGAGAAATCCCACAAACCCTCCAGTCCAGAATTCAACATGAGAAATAAACCTCAAACCGACTATCTCAGACCCTATCTCCCTCATGACAAGCTTGTTAGGTGTGAGCTACTGGCAGTGAATCCCTGGAAACAGGTACGAATTAGGTTCCATCAATGAAGTGTGTTCACCTTCTCAAAAAATGGTATCACGTGGGAGAGGGAAGCTTACAGATGAGAGCAGGTTTCTGAATGACACCACTACTGACATTGTAGACCAGATAAATTCCTTGCTGCAGGTGGGTGAGGGGGGTGTGCTGTGTGGTACAGGATGTTTGGCAGCATGCCTGGCCGTCTACCAGTGGCCTGTAGCACCCCCTCCAGCTGTGACAACCAAAAATGCCTCCAGACAGTGCTAAATGTCCCTTGGGCAGCAAATCCCCTGCCCTAGAGGCTTTGACTGAGGGACTGCAAATAGGCTTGATCAATTATCACAGATCTCTTCTAGCTGTTGCTGTATTGCCATCTTGTTGGCCTGTGTGTGCCATGCAGACGGGGGTGGGAGAGGTATGCCTGGCTGATAGAGGATGTGGATTACGAACGTGGGCTTCGGACTCTAAGAGAACTTAGGGGCAAACTGCAGCTCTACTCCTTATTGGTTGTGTGAATTTGGGCAACTTTTGGAGACTCAATTTCCATGTATATAAAACAGGAATGAAAGTACTTATTACATAAGAGGTTGTGAACAACAAGTGGGAAAATGAAGTGCTAAAACACAAGTGATGTTATTGACGGCAGTTGACTGCATTCAAATTGGGAACTACCCTGTACCCTGATGGCAAAAAAACAGAAGTTGTAACAATCCAGTCATGTCCTTAAAGGGTTAGGCGCTACCCAACAATGACAGAGCAGCTCTCCAAAGCCATTCCAAGGTGAGGGAGAGGGCACTGACACTGGCTTGGCAGCCAGGGCTTCCGCTGTGGTTCAGTGGACTCCCTGGCCTCCCGCGTCCGCCCAGCGAGAAGGGCCACCCCTTCCCCTCACCTGGCACTGCTTGGGGAGCCCAGCTGGAAAGCCCTGCTGCCTCGTACCTTGGGAGGGAATGGTGTCCTCCGAGCAGCATGGGGTGGTCGTCTGGGTGCTGTAGCCGCTGGAACACTGCAGCGAGTCCCGGCTGCTCCTCTGGGTGTCCAGCTGGAGGCCCCGCGACAGGGCCAGGGCCAGTTCCTCACAAGCCTCCATCTCTTCACCAGGCTGCAGGTTGCAGGAAAGAGGCAGAGACAAGCCACCAGGGCCATGAGCCCCCTGTCCGATGTCTCCAGGGCCTTTGTGCACACCTCTCCGAGGGGGAACCTGGATGTTACTCCTAGTCTGCCCCAGGGCACACACCTGTCTGTGGGCCCAGGGCTATGAACTTGCTTGGGTCCTACCTCGGTTCTAGAAAGTTCTACAAGCCTGATTCCCACACATGGCTTTCCCCCGGGAGCCTTCTAAAAACATGGAGAGCGGGGGAGGGGCGGGGGGGTTTGGGCTTAGGTCTCTCCAGTTGCAAGGCTGACTCGGTTAGCCTGTGGCCACCCGCCAGGTCTATAGAGGCCCAACCAGCTATAGAGAACAAGCACGTCACCCTGGCGGCAGCTGACACCGTCATGCTCCGTGGTCTCTGAGCCTCCTCGGCAGCTGCAGGCGCGCCACCCGCAGCAGTGGGTACTCCTCCGCTGGGGTCCGCCTCCCGCTTCTCTTTGCGGCGCTGTAGGGTGTTCACCAGAGGCTGATCGTAAGGTCCCGGCTTGGCCCAGTCCTGAGCAGAACAGCGCGGTCAGGCGCCAGGGCCTCGCCTCCCCTGGGAGGGCTGCGGGCTCTGCAGACAGCTGCCCGCAGAGGGCATCTAGGCCCTTGGGGTAAGCTTGGGCTGGGACAGGACAGCAGGCCCCTTCTAGTCCCTCACCCACCTCTAAAGGCAGCGGAAAACCCTTGGGGGAACCCCGGTTACCTCCCACTTCCTCCTGTCTGCCCACAGATTAAAAATCCTCAATGACTAGGCCAGTGGCCTGTGGAGACTCTTAGTAGCTGACCAGCTGGTGTCTGAAGGTGTCCCCAGGGACCAGGCAGCACCCTCTCCCCCACGTCTTTGCTGGAGTGGAGTGGCCACCAGGGGGCGGTAAAGGAACTGCAGCCACTCCCTGAGGTGGAAGCTCCACTTTCCAAAACCTGGGCCCAAAGGGACACTTCAGGAAGTGTCCTCTGAGGTCCTCACACAGAAAGGGAAGGCCCCTGGGGTCAGTTGGAAGATTTTTGAGGAGTCTGAGGGTCCACACCACTTGTGAAGGGCAAAGTTAAGATTTGCTCAAAATGCTGACAGCCTAGGGGGCTATTATTCAAATTAAGGACCTCTTCCCAAAATAAAGCAGAGTATCTTCCTCGGCATCAACTGGACTTGCTAGGAAATGATCCAGACCCAGTAAGGGCCTCAGGGGGAAAGCTTGGGGAACAGGGCAAGGAAGACAGTCCCTTCCAGCCCCTGGTAATAATAGCGACACCCTCAGGTGGTCCCTCGGAGGGCAGAACTGGGGCTTTGAAATTAGAACTAACTTCCCTGCAAGGTCCCACCTGCAGCTACTCTCTCACGGGAATTAACTAATGTTTAGTAACAGGAGGTTGTCCAATCTCAGCTCCTCGTGGAAATTTCTATCTCGGAGCTGCCTGCTGCTTTTTCACTCTCCTGGTGGGAGTTTAGTTAGGGAGAGGTGTTATGGGGAAGAAGGCAGAGTGTGAAAGGAAGGGGGAGAGGGGTAATCAGGGTGAGGCTGGTGGGACAGAAGGGGGCGAGCACAGAGGCAATGAGAGGGGAGAGAGGAGGGGAGGCGGGAGGAGAGACACAAACCTTCCAGCTAGGGATCTGAGATGACGGGAACATGCCGGGCCCAATGGTGTAATAATGAGCGTAGTCTGGAAGGTGGACAGAGGTGACCCGAGGGAGCAGGCGGGAGGCAGGCAGGCAATGAGGGAAAAGGCTTGCCCCCATGGGCCCCCCATGGGTCTCACTTGATAAACTATAGTGAGAAAACCCGTTAGACAACTGAAAACAAAACAAAAAAGGGGGAAAAAGGAAAAAAAAAATTAATATAACAGGATGAGTGTGGAGATACAAGATGGCATTGACATTCAATGGAGGGGAAGACCTGAACAGTTATAAACAAATATCGAGGCTCTGCCGTTCGTGGATGATCCAGGATGCGGGAGAAAGGAGCTGGGGTGTAAAGAACGCACAACCGATTTACTTGACACCAAGAAAGTACTGTATTTTGCCATGTATAATGCACACTTTTTTTGTACAAGTCTTTGAGGGAAAAATAAGGGTGCTCATTAAATATGGGTATAATGATCACACACCACTGGTATAATAATGAGTATAATAATCCCACGTATGATGTGCACAAAAATATGGGTGCGCATTATACATGGCAAAATACGGTATACGGCATTGAGTTGAGGAAACAGTTCATCTATAATCTGACAATAGTTTGGAAATCGATCAGTGTCCTTCATCTGTGGCGTTCCCAATGCTTTGAGTATTTAACAAAATATCTTTTCATGGCGATAGTGATTTGCTCGTCTTATGCAAGTTTAAAAATTCTAAAGCGTCAATTGAATCTGTTCGTTTCAGGTTTCCGAAATCATCACACTGTTCAGGGTTCCAAATCAGGATGAACGGGAGCAGTTTGCAAACTAAAAGGTGGAAAAGCACACAGCCTCTGATGCAGTGAAATGTCACGTCCAACGGTCTGGTGGCAAGGAGGTGTCGGTAGGTGGGTGCTTGGTTGCGGGGAGAGGAGATGGATGAGAACACAAGGCTGTTCAATGAAGAAGCCACACCTCCAAGTTCCCCATAGCCCTGCCTCTCTCTTGGGACCTCGTGGTCATTGCTCCAGGCACCCACTTAAGAAAAAGCCCTCAACCTCATCCCTCTTGTCCCCAAGCTCTTGGCGGAGACTGTGAGTTTCCAGGTTCCTGTGCCTGAGACACGAGCAGCAGGCAGGGGCGGGGGACAGGGAGAAGGGGGGCCGTGGTGACTGGGACCCCGGTCGGTCACCTTCTCTGTGGAGGCCCAGGCGCCCATGGTGGAGCCTGAGCTGACCGAGGTGGGTGAGCTGCACTCGCTTACTGACTGGCAGGTTTCGGAGGCTTCCGAGGAGGCTGAGCTGGACGAGTTCTGCAGCGGGGTGGGGGGACCACACGAGGGGGCCAACAGAATCCAAACCACACGCCAGCAAAAAGTAACCATAAATTTAAAAAAAAATGATGGGGGCGGGGAAGAGCACGCACAGAGAGAGACAGACATATACACAGAAGAGGGAAGGATGAGAGAAGCAGAGCGTTAGGGTTATTTTCTCCCCAAAGCTGCATACACAGAGACTTTCAAGCCCTTGAAAAGAGGTGTGAGACCCAGTGAGGTCTGGACCACCAGACTGTAAGCCCCCAGGACCCTGATTTGTGTGCATCTAGTCCTGTACTGGCTCATGGCAGGTGCTCGAAATCACTAATGGGTGAGTGACAACAATCATCTTTTCTGTGTAAACTGGGTCCTCTTGTGCATTGGGCCCACCCAGGTATTTGCTTTAGGTTTTTTCCACTGTTAACTGCCATCTCTGGCTCATCCCAGTTGTTTAAATAAGCCCAGCCCCATTGGGGTCTGCTGTTATTTCCCCAGAAGTGTTCCTGTATTCACGGTCTAGGAGGCAGGACTCATGTTTCTGTCCACGTCTTCCGCCCGTCAAAGAAAGAAAGGTTCCTGCAAAGGGACAGGGCACTAGCTTTCCCATCCTGCAACGGCAAAGGACCCAGAAGACACCCCGCAAAACGCTGCGGGGCTCGGTGGAGCCAAAGCAAGCACAGGCTTCATGGTAGATGCCCTGCCGCTCCCCAAGCTCAGTGACTGGTTAGCAGTCCAGTGTCAGAGTCTTAAGGTCTGGAGTTAAGTTACATTGCTGCCACTTGTCAGCCAAGGAATCATGCACTTAACCTCTCCAAACCTCAATTTTCATCTTTAACATGAAGATCAATAATATCTAACAGATGAAGCTAAAACAAGATTTTATATGTACATGTGTGTCTATGTGTACAGTGCTTGACCAAGTGTAAAGAAAGTTGGTTATCACTATAATTTTCAAGGACTGTTTATTTTGGTTCCTCTAATCCAAGTATGCTCACCTTGATAAAAGGACCAGTGAACCAGCCTAGGGCTGGAGGTTCAGGTTTCTTTTGACTTGTGCTCATTCTTTCTAAAGCACCTCTTGTTTTGATAGTCAGCAGCTCCAGGACAACACCCTCACCAAAAGCAGGGCGCACTCCTGGGCACACTCGGGGGAAGGCACAACTTGAGTGGAGGAACATGGGAGAATCCTGAGCATGTTCTGCCACGTGGCATTTGTTTCTGCCCATGTGACTGCGTAGAGAAATGAAGGGCTCTCACCCCCATAACCATGTGTTCCCTTCATCCCACCCTAAATAAAGAACACTACAGCCATCAGGAGACTGCGTCCTCTGCCCTATGTCGTTTGTACAATTTCCCTAAATTTCCCCTCTACTTTATATAAGTGGCAGTAGTGCCTTTTTAAAAAAAATCAGATTTTTCTATTAAATTTTGCTTACTGAAACCAGAGTTTCTAGTCAAATGTACCTTGGGCACCGGCTCTGAGGTGGAAGTAAACCCAGCACGCCACCTCCCCGCGGCACCGCTAGAGGCAGAAACCCTCACGTCAGCCCGACCCGCACACACAGTCTTTGACAACAAAGCTAAAGCACATGGCCCCTCTGTTTTAGAAAGGGCTATCAGGGCACAAGACTCGGTTAATTTATCAGTTGATTAAAAACATACAGAATTATGCTGCACATTAGAATAGCCGTGGAGGAACTGCAAAATCCCGCTTCCCTGCACATCATTCACACTCTGCTTGGGAGACACACAGGTAGGGTTCTTTGCCACATGTGGTGGAGACGGGTACAGGGCAGGTGGGTGGCACCTCAGAGACCAAGCCAAAGCACCCCAGCTGGGACAAGCACATTAGAGCTTAAAGCCACAGATCTTGACCTAGAGCGTTTGTTTGAAATTGAGTCTCTCTCCCAGGAAGACAGAGGCCACAGCCTCCAGGGACAGCTGAAAAAAATGCCAAAGGGAGTTGAGTGGGGCCCTGAGAGCGCAGGTTCACCAATGTTGGACACGTCAGGCAAATAGCCCCCTGGCCTGGGTTCCCAGGATACCTCGGCTGCTTCCTCGATACAGAGCGCTCCCCAAACACTCCCAGGGCCGCCTCACGGCTGAGGTGCAGCAGGAAGGCTCTGGACCGGGTGGCAGGGGACCCTTTTCCAGGTCCTCAACCTGCGGGCCACAGAAGCGTGCCACTCAGGCGGCTCCCTTACAGCTCCGCGCCTTGTTTCCACAGCACAGCAGGGGTAACGGACCACGTGGTCATTGGGAGGCCTACACAGAAAATATGTGTAGGGGGCCCGGGACGCTGCCGGGCACACCAGACATATTCAATGACTGTCAGGCAAACTGGATTCTTGGATAAACAAGACAAGCGTGCAACTTTCTGGCCACACGATCTTGGACCAAAGGCTGGGTATGGTTCTGCCTCAAAATGTACGTGATGAGCTCGAAGCCACCATGCCCCGCAGATGGCACTGTGGGGCACCCTGGCTGTGTGCGTTTCCCAGTATCTGTGCTGTGGTGCTTACTAAGTGCGAGGCCCAACACCGGCACCAGGGGAGCAAGGGCCGAGGGGCGCAGGGAGGGTGCTGCAATGCCACACCCCGCTCCTGCCTTGTGCTCCAACTGGACCAGCCAGCCTGGGCAGGGCTGGGTCTAGCCCCGTGTAACCCGCTGTGGCTGAAGAGATTCAACACCTCCTCTTCTCCTAGGGGCAAAGGGCCAACAGAATTAGCTGTTGGGGCTGTGATGATTTATTCTCATCCTCAACATAAACCGATAAAAGGAACCCAAGAGCTACAAAGAAGGGTCCCGAGGCACTGCCCCATGACGGCATCTCAGAGAGAACCAGAGATGGAAGGAGGGGAGTCCCATTGTGCAAACACCCATTGCCTACAGGACCGTGCTAAGCCGGCCACTTACAAGGATGCCGGAGAGTAGCCAAACCCCTCTGAGTGGATCTACTCACATATGAGAACTCCCCAAATTAACATGGTAACACGGGCATCACCACCATGAACACAGGCTGCGAGCCCAACTAATAGTCTCTCCCTTTAGGGGGACAACACAGCTGAAGATAAGAAATGAAACCAGACTGTTCTCTTGTCCAAGCCAAGATCCTTCCCTGGGTCTAGCCCTTGACGGTGGTCTGGGCACCGGGCGTGACGGCTGCTCCCAGAGCCACGAGCACCCTTACCTGGTTGGGGGCCTCTGGCGGCATGGGGGATGGGGACTTGGACTGGAAGGCGTCCTGGGATATGAAGCCTGAGTCGTGGGAGGACACGCTGGACAGCCGCACGGGCGCCTGCTGGGCCAGGTTGGAGCTGCGGCAGCGGTAGTGGGAGCTGGGAGAGTGCGAGTGGGAGCCGCTGGACCGCGAGTCGCTGCTGTTCACGCTGTTCAGGCTGCTGCAGGGGCAAGCAGAGGGGTGGCGGGCAGGGGGTAAGAGCAGGGAGGCGACAGGAAACAAGGGGGCAGAGGAGGGGCAACCATATAATGGAATCAGCTCTTGGCCTTGGAGAAGCAGCGCGAGTGGTAAGATGCGTTTCCACATCATTAAGCTAGGAAACAAGTTGTCTTTTTTTCCATGTGAGCCAAAAGGGAAAAATCAGCCGTCAGGACTCAGTTTGCCGGTGTGATGAGGCGTCTTTAGCATGGAGGCCTGTGAGGCTGAAAAACCATGTCCTTCCCCATTCTGCCACGTCATCGACCACCAAAGCTAGGTAGGGGGCCCGATATCTGTGGCATGTAAGAGATGGGCTGATCTTATCTGCTGACTGTGAGCAGAAACCATGGCCCTACAGCAAAAACCACGAAGGCATCAGTGTGACCTGGATGGAATATGCAAGGGCCACCCTTGGTTGGACCATCTGGGTCCAGGAGGCCAAGGTCATCCAGCTAACCATTGCTCTGGTGACGCAGGTGCCAAAGGACATCTCAGGATCATTTTGTCCTACATGAGCCGGGTTCGAGGCCATCAGAAAAGAACATCAGCAAATCGACTCACCGTGTTTGTGTTGGTGTTTTATTAACAAAGCTGATACTTTAGTGAACGGCTTACCCTGATCACGTGTGTTTCTCTGTTAAAATACCTGCAGGCCTGGCATTAGCACTACCCCTGGCAAGAAGCGAGCAGCTTTCAGTGATTAAAGGCAATCTATGTGAAGCCTTTAACTTCTGAGAATAAACAGCAAACAGGATGTCGAAAAATCACACACACGTCCCGCAAGGGTGTTCTGTCTGCATTCCATTTCCAGTCATAAGAAATATGCTCCACAGTCTCTACGATAAGTCAGATTACAAAAACCAGAAAACTGAACCCAGTCCTGGTCCGCACCAGCGGAGCCGACGTTCAAAGGGCAGCTCTAGAAGCATCTGAAGGGATGAAAGAAACAACCCAGCCTGGCATTCCAAAGTCTGTGGTTTCTGCTCCTAACCCTGAAGGAGAGTCCTGTCAAATTCCGTGAACTCTGACGGCTGAGAAGGTGGTCAAGGACCAGTGCGCCTGTCTACACTACGACAACTTGGTGCCAAAGTTCTGACAGATACATTGGTGTGTGCTGGGAGGAACCACTGCTGCTGGAAATAATTACCACGATTCCTGCTTTCCTCTCCAATCAGTTAGACAAGGGCATTTGGGGACTGACAGGGAAGCCACACACTCCCCTCCAGCCAGCCCCCAGCTGTTGTCAGCGCATTGCGACTTTCTATTGAAACTAATGCTGTAAGGAAGAAAAGATCCTCATGCAGCTTTGCTTTATACAGATGAGATACAGCTTTCTTGGTTACCAAAAAACAAACGGAAACAGTAGATTTGTCACCCAGACATGCACAGACACAAAAGATGGCATGAAACCAACCAATACTTTCAGGATGCAGAATACTAGGAGGTAGCATCTTAAGTTTGAACTTCCTGCTCGGTGTCTGCTGTACGAGCTCAGATATGAAATGAAACACACAAGTATGTACAGAGACATAACCACACACAGATTCGGCAGACCCCTCCCGCTCCTTCCCATCAATGCTACTTCACAGGAAGTGGAATTCACTTGGCTTTGAAATATCAAAGAAGAAGAGTAGGTGGAGTGTACCAAGAGAGATAGGTGATGCGTGATCAAGTTTCCATCCTTCAAGAACAGAACAGACTTTGTGATCAGCAAGCCAAGAATGGTTTTCTAACAGGAAACTGCTAGAAACCAGTTTTGCAGATGGTGGAACTATTCCAGTTGGTTCTCATTGTGTGTCAGTAGCAGTACTAGTTAAGGGTGGTGGTGGTGGTGGGTAGTAGTTAACAGAGCAAGGATTCCATTTACTTTCTGAAACCCTGAGATAAAAACTAGGGGAAAAGTGAAGGCACAAACCACTGTGACTTCTCTGGTGGTTCTGACAATGGCGAGGTCAGACTGTACGGGAATAAGGGAATCAAATGCGAATGCAGAAAATGGGAAAATCTCTACAACACACAAATGAAAGACAGGAAGCTACGTCCACTCCTCTACGGCCTGTTGGGGTTTCCCTTCTGATCTGAAATGAACCCGGAGACTAAAGAGTGAGACCAAAATCATGTGGCATTCTTTCGGCCGATGACCTCACCGCTTCCTGTTTAAAGCGAGCATTTTTAAGAGGCAAAGACTGCTGTGCTGCTCACAGGAGCAGAAAGAAGAGTCGTCCTAAGAGCAGGGGCGGGGTCTGGCTTCACTTACCTGCAGACACTTGACTTGCGGGACATGGTGGTGCTGGGGGAAGAGGGTGGCGTCTGGTAGGACCAACTGTAATCAGAACCTTTCAAGTCCAAAATCACCTAAGGGGACAGAGCCAGGTGGGTAAGCGAGGTGCTAAGAAAGGAAACATTATCCATCAAATCTTAAACCCGTAACATCAAAATTCTGTCATCATCAAGGGTGGGGATTAAAGAAAAAAATGTTACGGGTTGGTTTGTTTGTTTTTTAAATTAAAGAACCACATTATTAATCCATTAATGTGGTAATTCTTTTTCTGAGACAAATAAAACGAGACTTAATTGGAGGGGAGGGCATGGAGAGAGAGAGAGAGAGAGAGAGAAAGAGAGAGAGAGAGAGAGACTTACAGTGACTGATAAACAATTTACAAGAGCCGTTTATACCCAAGGCTAGAATCCACAGGATTTTTGTCTGATAGCACCACCAAGACAACAATGGTTTCAGGATTTGTTGATCTTGCATGTTAGCCATTTGATCTTCAATGGTCACTTGTGCCCTATTTGACCAGGGTCCGATATTGTAAAACCGGACAGAATCAAGAGCAAACCAATTGATTCACAGTTATTTCTACATCCGTCTCCCTCGCTTGATAAAGAACTACTTGAGTGTAAGGTCTACCTTTTATTCATATGGTAGGTGCTCAATAAATACCTGTTTATTGAGTGAAGGCCTGCATGCCATGGTCTCTAAGAGCAATTTCACAGAATGGGAAATAGAAGCTCTCCAATTTCTCTCCTGGGTTGGTGCTCCAAGGGGGAGATAGGAATTTTATGCAAAGGGCAAAAGCCGACCTGCGATTCATCAACCGTTTCTCCAGATATTTCTCTTCCACTTGATACAGTGTGAATGTCACATGACGCAAATAATAAGCACAGAAAAATGTCACCTTTCTCATAAAGAGAACCTCATGCATTACTTAATTAGAATGGTTCACAACGGTTAAGAGCACAGGCTCTGGAAACTGACTGCTTGGTTCAAACCTCGATTCTCCCTCTAATTAGCTAGGTGAACCTGGCTCAGTGACTTTACCCAGTGCTCTCTGTGAGGATTTGCTGAGAAAATCTAGGCTATAGTGCAGATGGCAGGTGCTCTGCAATGGCTAGCAATGACGATCACTGTGTAGCACACAAAGGGTTAATGCCTTAGGGAACCCTCAGGACCTTGAAACTCTTCTCTTTGCTTTGCTCTCCTGAGTGCTTAACCAACCCTCCTACCTGTTCACTTGAGGAGGGCAGTTTGTGAGGGTCCATGGTCAGGCTTTTCAGGTCTTCCGAGATGGTCTGAAGGTGAGTTATTTCCCCCAGCATTGAGATTTCTTCTTCCTGAAGGACAGCAATTCACAATGTATTATTGTGAGTGACCGACTTCATCGTCCTGGTCCCACTGCTTTTATTAGGGTCCCTGTCTAACCCTTTGGACTTTTCAGAAAAGGGTGCCCGGGGACTAGAACTTCTCTGCTGGAGGCACCACCAGCCCCTTCTTTGGGGAGCTGGGAGGGAAGAAAAGCTCCGTCATCACCAGAGTGGCCTGGGTGCTGCGGACAGCGGCGAACCACAGCCGAAGCGGGCCCGCGGGCCTCCTCACGTGCCCGCAGCTGGCAGGCCCTCCTCTCTCACAGGCCCTGCAGCCTGGCCCCCTCCACAGGGTGAGGAGCTCCGGTGAAGTCACTCAGCTTCAATGCTGACAAGTCACAGATATTTTGGTCTAGAGCTTATAGATCTCTGTGCCAACACTTATGTGTTCAATAGAGGTTACGTGCCCGCCCCCTCTTCTTGTTTCTACTACAAACTTAACGAATGGTGATGATGCAGGAACACAGGACTATGGAAGAAACAGCTACTCACTTTCCCAAAGTGCCACACTGGGGCCGTGGACCTAGGCAAGATGATCCCTGGGAAGTTCTACGCCCAGAGGAACAACTCGCGTTCGGGCACTTTGCTAGGGTTCTCTGACAAACAGCAGATTCCCATGACTCGATGATGGGTGGAGAAAGGAGAACCTCCTCCCAACTGGCATTTGGCCTTCTGGAACTTTCCAGTAACTTACAATCACGGGCCGCAGCATAGAGATAAAGGTGCAGAACCGGCCGCGTTCCTCAATCAAAGCCTTCCGGACCGCCTGCTTTTCTGTTTCTTCCAACAGGAGATATTTATCATTGACATCTTGGAGAGCACTGTCCAACTGCGGCTGGATGTCGCCTCTCCCTGCAAACAAAATGAAGCCCAAGCGTGGCTTGCTGAAATACCAGCTCCTAGGACAACAGCCCCTCTCCCCCTGGGTGCAGGAGTGGAAACCACAATTTTCCAAGACGTAGAAAAGTTATTTAGTCATACCCAGAAAGGACGGAAGGTGGCTGTTTTTCTAGGACCAGCCATTCCCAATGTGCAATGCTGAAAGGGCACACTGGCTTGCTCCTGCCGTGGCAGATTTCCCAGGGGACCCCTCCTGACTTGCCTTCTCACCTGGGGCGACCCCACAGAGCCTTCTGCCAACAACTCCCTGGGACATGGCAGCCAGACGGTATTCTTTCCTCTTAAAAGCATTCTGAAAAGGGAGGCTCAGGGGTGAACAGGTGAGGGCCTGTGGATGTCTCCAAAAATGGGCAAAAGCTGGCTCTGTTGGGCCCGCCTCCATCAAAGAGCCTCTGTTTGCACAGAAGTTCTCTCCCAGAAGGCAACAGCGGCAGGCAACAGCTCTATCCTGGCCCTGGGGGCCCCTGGGACTCCCTGGCAGTGAGCTGAACTCCCCAGCGGAGAGTCCCAAATGCCCTTCCTGTCAAACAAGCCCAGAAATAAAAAGACCTAAAGCCAGGTCTCTGCTGAGGAAAAACTAAAGTGGGGGGTGTCACTGCTGAGCAGGGCCCCGTGTCCAGCCTGGTCCACAGACCCCAACGCAGAGGTAACCATTTGTAGAGTTTAAGAGGGGGTGTTAACCTTTTAAGCAATTCTACAGCCTGGTCGGCAAACTGTCTTTATAAATAAAAGTTTTATCAACACAGCCACGCCCCATGATTTACATACTGACTGTGCCCACTCTTGCTACAACTACAGGGTAGAATCTCTGTGACAAAGAATTTACAATCTGACCCTTTAAAAGAAAAAGTCTGCTGCTCTAGAAGATGAACAGGGACCAACAGGCCCGTGTCGGGGGAGGGGCTACTGGAATCAGATCTGTAGGTGGGAAGAGGAGGGCAACCGGCTGGGAGATAAGCGCACGCGCTGCCACGCTGGGCGCCCCCTGCAGGAGCTTCCCCTATCTTCCAAACCAGAGAACGGATTTCCAAATTTCTTCACGGTGCCAGAAGGAGACTCAACTGGGGGCGGTGAGCACACCATACAATACACAGATGACATATTATAAAATTGTATACCTGAAACCTATGTACTTGTACTAACCAATGGCCACCCCAATGAAGTCAATAAAAAAGAAAAATAAAAACTCCTCAGGGCAGGCTCTCAGGCTCTCCTAACGCCGTGTATGCATATAGGTGCTCAACAAATGCATAATCGTTTTGAACACAGATTATCAGAGAAGGAGGTGCCCCTAGGGGTGATCCAAGCGTCCCTGCTGGTGTTTCAGTGGAGGCTGCGGCCTAGAGAAGGTGAGGGACTTGTCCCGGGTCATTCAGGGAACAGGCAGAGAGCCAGGGCAGGGCCCGCATGGCCTGATCCCTGTCACTGGACTCAGTGTCCTCAGCCCACTGCCTCAGGCCCAGGGATGAAAGCCACTAGCCTCCTAGGAGGGCTCCTGACCAGTCACCAGGTACCCCTCTTAAGAATGACAGAGAGAACTTTAAATGTACTCCACCATTTGGTTTGAAAAAAATGAAAGGGCCAGGGAAAATTGCCTTGAATGGAGGAAAATAGCCTGTATTTTCTCTCATAAGTAGATGAGAAGCCTTAATTTGGAGCAAGAGGTCAGGCTTCAAGAACGTCCCAACAGAAAAGGTCATTGGATTTTATTAAGTCACTTGTGGGGCAGCAGTTGAGTTCTGAGTCAGCATAAAGGGAGAGTCACATGCCATCAGAAGTCACCCTTGGAAATGCCTCAGCTGGCCCGTAAAGGACAGCAAACGCTGTGTGCACGTGACTCTCACTTGTCAAGTGGGCACCCACACAGGGTGGGTGCAACAATCTGCAGTACTGAATCCCAGGGAGGGCATCTATCCCACAAAGACATCTCGTAAGCATCTGCTGGTTGAGAAGTTTGTATATATTTTCAAGGTGACCCACTCGCCATTCCTCCAATTATCACTGTCTACCCCTCTCAGGATAATTCCATCAGTTCTTGCAGCGTCTCCACCATTGCTTCAATTCCCCCCACCAGGAGGCAGGCAGGGGAGCCATCCCCGCACACACCAGGCCACCAGGAGGCAGGGGAGCCATCCCCGCACACACCAGGCCACCAGGAGGCAGGGGAGCCATCCCCGCACACACCCGGCCACCAGGAGGCAGGCAGGGGAGCCATCCCTGCACACACCCGGCCACCAGGAGGCAGGCAGGGGAGCCATCCCCGCACACACCCGGCCACCAGGAGGCAGGCAGGGGAGCCATCCCCACACACACCCGGCCACCAGCAGGCAGGGGAGCCATCCCTGCACACACCCGGCCACCAGGAGGCAGGCAGGGGAGCCATCCCCGCACACACCCGGCCACCAGGAGGCAGGCAGGGGAGCCATCCCCACACACACCAGGCCACCAGGAGGCAGGGGAGCCATCCCTGCACACACCCGGCCACCAGGAGGCAGGCAGGGGAGCCATCCCCGCACACACCCGGCCACCAGGAGGCAGGCAGGGGAGCCATCCCCGCACACACCCGGCCACCAGGAGGCAGGCAGGGGAGCCATCCCCACACACACCAGGCCACCAGGAGGCAGGGGAGCCATCCCTGCACACACCTGGCCACCAGGAGGCAGGCAGGGGAGCCATCCCCGCACACACCCGGCCACCAGGAGGCAGGCAGGGGAGCCATCCCCACACACACCCGGCCACCAGACCATAGGTTTCACGGGTTTTTAGTGGACAGGAAGCCTAGACAACGAGCATTTGCCCCTCTGGGGTCTTGCTGGGGGGGCCTGGGCTACCTCTTGAGGACCCACACCCTCATACAGACAGAGCGCCTAGGTCTGTCTGGCCTAGAACCGTGGCTTGTACACCTGACTCCATGCACACCAAGTGTGTACATGACACAGGCCCTGGTCTTGTTCAACCTGCAGAGCAGCGTGGCCCATCTCGGGCCTTCTGTAGGTCCCTCGGCCTCGTCTGCGATGTTCCCGCCTACGATATACGGGGCGCTGCAGACCAAGTCTGAAAGCCCTTAACTTTAGTGGAGGACGGTGGAGGGCAGTTGGGGGAGACAGCAGATTAAAATGCATAATGCTTGACAAAACCAGCTCAGACGCACTTTGATTATAGCAGCAATTTCTCTTATTATCAGACTGTAACTATAGGAAGGTACAAAGAATGTGTATCTTCCTTTCACAAGTTATAAGGCACATGTCCATCTGTAATTAATAACATGGACTTTTAAAAATATACTTACACAGAAAAGCGAAGTGACTAGAACCGATTGTAATCTAATCTCATAAACACAAATTTAAATCTATAATTATAGCCAACTTATTTTAAATAGATACTGTGTTATAATTAAAGAACTTTCAAATTGTGGTATTCTAAAATAAGTATACTCTGTAAAGATTGCTATAATTATAGTCACAGTGAGTACATTACCACGAAGGATATATCATAATCAAAAAACACAATGTTTATTTCTTAAATTCGCTAATACAGCATATAATTATATTTATTAAAAAAAGAAACCAACACAACTGTGGAGAAAATTATCCCATGTCCCAGTTGGATGCACTGGCTTTAAGATGCGCCAGTCTCGTAGGCCCACAAAGCCAGAGCTGTATCACACAGACGCCTGTTCATTTTCCTCCTGTGTGCGATGTCATGAAGACAGCGGTCAACGACACCTACGCACCCGTCCCGGCTACTCTAGCTCCCTCCCACGTGACTCTACTCTGTCCTCTCGTTTCACCTCTGCTATCGCCACTCTCACTGGGCCACCTTGATCTCTCACCTGGACAGCTGTAAGGGCCCCTAATACGCCGTACGAATTGCATTTAGATCAGCAGCCCCAAATTGCTTTCAAAATGCAAGTATCATCACATCTTGTCAATAGCTCCTGTTTCTTTCCAGCACAGTCCAGTGCCCTTCACCTGGCCTGCCCTGCAAGGCATGCATGGGTCAGCCAGACCGCTCACAGCCTCAAGCTTGTTGGACCTCTCCCTCCCCTCCCCTCCCCTCCTCTGCCTGCCCCACCTTCCTAGTCCCTTTCCCTCCCCCACCCCCACCTGCCTAGCCTGTTCCTCCTGCAGCTGTCCATCCTTCAGGCAGGCCCTTCTCAAACTCTCACGAGATTAGGATCCTGTTACTTGAGCTCAGATGTTCCCTACATGTACCCTTCATGACACTCTCCAGTACGAATTTCATCTTTATTTCTCTACTTCTCTGAGTGACGTCAGTCTCCCCCACTGAGTGGAAACCCCACGGGTGAGCCTGCCCAGCACTGAGCCTCCTCGCCCAGCACGCCTGCCCAGGACATAGGTGCGCAGGTATCTGCTCATGGATGAGGCACTGATAGAATCGCTTCAACTGTGTTTGTTCACTTGCCTCCAACCACTGTGGCCTTAAATGGCCTTACACCATAAAACTAGCAAATTCCAGGACAGCCAAGCAGCCAAAAGGAGGGAGGGGGGCCTTAAATGGGCTTTCCAGATAAAATTCCTGAGCAAAGAATTGCTTGTAACCTTTTTTGTACAGTCTAAGGCATCTCGGTCTTGAGCATTTCTTTTCCTCTGCCAGTTTCCAGGTCTCGGTTGTACTCTCTCCAGAGAATTGCGATGAACAAAAGCCAGAGGCCCTTTGCTCCCCCAGGGAAAATCATATGGTTATTCTTTTTTTACAGAAAAGGTTCCTGGGGTATCAGTGGGCACCATGTCATGGGCCATAGTGGCTCCCTTAAAAGAAAAAGATTTGATTTTTTTTTTTTTTTTTTTTTTGAAATTGTGTTTTGTAGGGGAGGGTTTGCAAAACTTTCTGGAATGAAATGAAGATGCTGTATCTTCTCAACATTTACACTTGATTTCCTTTCATCTTTATATAAATGTTCATGGCAGCAGTTATGCCCCCTTTGGACAGAGGGGGAAACTGAGACTGCAGGAGGCAAAGTGGCTTGCACAGGGCCACTGAGCTAGGAACAGGCACGGCCAGACTCCGACGGTAGCTCTTTTTTGTTCAGAAGCCCCCCTTCATGTTCAGAGCAAACATAAACCCTGGGAACGAGCTGTCAGGAGCTAAAGGTTCTAAGTCTGCTCACAACAGCCCAATTAAAAAGCCAGTCAGGCGCCATGAGTGGGATCCGGAACCTCCCAGCCCCTTCCTCCACACTCCGCAGCCTACACCCGAGTCCCGTGCTGGACCGGGCCGGACCGTGCTGGATGCCACGCACAGGCTAAGGGCTTCCCAGCGCAGGACAAACCCAGGACACTCTGGGCCAAGATCACTGTCAGAAAAACATCCAAAGTCATTTCTATTCCGGAGACAGATGTATGAGGAAGCTGCTGGAATGAATGACTTCCATCAAAATGACTTCCATCTGCCCCGATACAAATACTGTATGTCACTCTAACATGCCCACTTTTTCACATTTTTGCACCTCAAAAATCAAGAAATGTCCTCCAATCAATGGCGACAATCAATGGTGTGTCATCATAGTTTAGTCAGCAGGGTTTCCTTTCTTCAGGGTTTAGAAAATAACGGTGCACCTTATGATTGATGGCATCCCAGAGTCAGCGAAATACAGGATATAAATATGCCATACAGGGTACAAAGGTGGAAATGGACACGCAAGGGGAAACTGGAGATAAGAATTTGGAGTGAAAAGACTCCCCTTTCCAACCAAAAGGCAGGTCTCCTTATCCCTCTATGTATCTCTTCCTACTCTATTGTCCTGCGACCGTTCTTAATGGATTCCCTAAAGTGAAAACAACCAGAAATCAAAAGGAACATAGAGTGAAGGCTCTTTGACTTAAAAATTTTCAAATTCAATTTCTGTTATTCTGTCAGCATCCTATGCCTCAGTTTCCACTCATCTGTGAGACGTGAGTAATGGCTAGTCCCCAGCTCACACGGCTGTTGTGAGGCCACATGAACTCACTCATATGAAGCATTCCGCACAGCGCCCAGCACATGGCAAGCACTGGGTGAGCGTCAGGTGCCATCGGCAGCCACACAGCCTCCCTGAAGTTGTCCTTCTTACACTGGGTGCTTCAGCCAGGAACACTGTACAGGGCGCAGTGGGGTTGTTGTTGTTTTTTTTTTTTAAGTGAGTATTCAGTTTGAGCTCTTCTTTGATGTACAGAAATTTGAAAGATCCCATAATCCTTTCACTAAAGGAGGGGGTTTCATCATCAAGATTTGCTGGTTCTGAGCAATCAGCTGTTCACCAAAGCAAAGAGCAAGACGAGACAGCACAGAGGACAGCCAGAAGCCACCCTGTGCCGGCCTGGGGCCTGCCACTCTGCGTCTCAAACAGAGAAACTTCGCGTCACCAAGGCGATTTGTCTTCTTGTCCTCTGCGGTTAAAGAAACATTCTGCCACCCTCCGCCAGATCGCCTGACCCAGCAGCCTGCAGCCCCTTCAACTCCTTCTGTCACTTGCTTTTCTCCTCAACGGCTCTTGATCCCATTCACCTCCCCACCCCTGTGCCCTGGCCACTGTCATCTCTTGCCTGAAAAAAAAAAAGCCACTTGCTAACAAGGTGTCCAGCCAGGCCACAATCGAATCCAAATATACACTGTCACTGCAGGATTTCCTAGAAGCCAAGAAGTCTTCAAGGGCTTCAACCCAGTCCTAAAAGTCGTCTTTAACGTGACAGAAAGGCCACGAGCAGGTCCTTACTCACCTCTGCCTAGTCCGCACCTGGGGGAATATAAAAGCCATGTGCACCTGTGCTGGGTCTGGAACTGCCTTCGGCAAGGGGGCTGGGGACAGGGAAGGACGGGGAGCAACTGCTTAAAAGGCAGGGGGTGTCTTTCGGGACTGACACAAATGCGCTGAGATTAGATGGCGGTAATGGCTGCACAACACCGTGAATGCACTAAAAACAGTGACAAATACACTCCAAAATGGTGAGTGGTATATTGTATGAATTTTATCCCAACAGGCAAAAAAAGTGGCTAACTTTTCCAAAGGTAAACTAAACACTGTTCAAGCTGTGCATAACACAACACTGCGGATTGGAAAGGATTGTCATTTTTAAAGTTGGGGAACAACTAACTAGCCCGACATCACCGTAAGGGGAATTGGGGCCGAGCTGTGTCCCCGCAACAGCAGCCACCCTGGCCCCACCTGTCAGGGGAGACCTATGTGGCGTGGGTTCACTGTCGATGACAGAAGCCAATTCAAACATCCCTTTGGAGCCACTCAGCACGAATGCTCAGAAACGCTCGGGCACACCCAGGCAAGTCAACCACACGACACCTCGCGGACAGGCCTCTCCAAGACGGGGACAGTCACAAAACGCCAAAAGCAACTTGGAGATTTAGTAGCAAAATCACCCACAGAATGAGGTTCAACATTCAGTCCAGAAGAATCATTCTGATTATTGAATTTGAAGATCTAATACTTATAAAGTGAACCATTTCACAAACTCTGTTGAAATAAGAAATACTTTGATTTTGATTTTTTATTTTAATGAATTCTTGGTTTTGGAAAGAACTCTATGGTCCTTTTCAAAAAGTTAGATTCTTTGCAAGCTTAATACAACCAAATTTGATTTGGGAATTATTTGGGAGGAGTTATTTAGTGTAGCTCTAACAGGTCTTATTTGTTGTATAAACACAGACACACATATATAGCCTCAGGTATATATGTATGCATAAATTTCCTGGGAAAGGGAGGCCTTAAATCACTCTGTATTTCTTCTTTCCGTGAGTCAAATACTGGATTATGATGAGGCAAAGGCTCCCAGAGTATCGTGCTAACCCATCAAAGCGCCCAACATCAAAGAAAGTGATTGAAATACACGCACACATAGAATTTTTTTAAAGTTATGGAAAGTTAAGTAGGCACCATTGATTGTTCTGAGCTGGCAGGGGAACCTGCTGCTAACACAGGTCTGGACAACCACGGAAAGCCCACAGCAGGACCACACCGTGACCAGCCACCAGAGATTCGGATGGTAGACTTACCGAGAGCCTCCACTGGCGGGGGACGCGTCGTGAGAAAGTGCAGGATACACAATTGACACAAAAAGGAAAACAATAAAGTCAAACTGGTATTCGAGCAGCAGTCTTACCTTTCTTTCTCAGGTGACACAGTCCTTGGCAGCCACGGAATTTTACAGTAGGGCGGTTAAACCCACACCTCCCAAAAGCTGCCCAGCCACGCTCCCTTCCTGACTCACTAACATTCTCTCATCTAAATCTTCCTAGTTAGTAATCATCACCCCTAGACAATACAGCAAGGTGTTTTTTTAAAGAGAGATGAAGGATACACTCCTGAAAGAAGTCAATATAGATGCTTTACCAAGAAATCCTTTCAAACGTAACTTATTGTACATTTGAAAACCATACTATAGTAGGATAACCTAGGATACAAAGTTTAAGCTGGGGTAGAAATGAAAAAAATAATTAAAGAATTTAAAGTTTTAGTATAAAAGCCAATAATATGCTAGTCTGGAACTCTGTGAGTATGTTTAGTAGGTTTTTAATGATTAACTTTGTAGCCTTTGGTGGACAATGATAGGTTCACCTCTTTAAATGTCAGGCCCAAGGGTTAATGTATTAAAATGTTCCAGGTCTTTCAAAGAAAGTCCCTGATAAAATTTTAGTCATTACAGACTGAAACAGAGGCTTCATCATAATTAATTTTTTAAATTTAACAATAAAATGGGAGGTAAGTGAGAAATAAGATGCTGACTTTGTTCAGTACAGTGGCAAAAGCAGAAAATCAACATAAAATGGTCCCCGCATCCACCCCCCTCTTCTTTCCCCCAGCGGGTTATGGCCAACTCCAGGGCCCTAAAGGCCATCAGCTGACATCAAGCAGCAGGGAGAGGGCTCAAGAGATGAGGGGATTGGGGTGACTGGGCCAGCTGCTCCACACCACTGTCCACCTGCCTGCGGCCTGTCTTGTCCCCTCCCCTGTCAGCCGGCCAGCTCTGCCCAGTGCCCCTGACCCCGGGCACTAGCCTGAAACTTCTCAGAAGGTGAAGACGGACATTCTAGCCCCCAACCCTCTACCTAGTATTTACTCCTAGCAGATATTCAATACACCTGCTGTCCACAAAAATAGGTCCATTCACCCACAGCTGGAGCACATGCCAAGTTGTTTCAAAATGATTTTGAGATCAAGTCTAACCAAAAACAAAAGTTAAAAGTCTTTTTGATGGTAATATTTAAGTATCTATACATTAAAAATGACCACTCTATATTACAGGAAAAAAAGGTCAAATAAAGAGAGACCAAAGGTGTTATCTGCAGAGTGAGAATTAAGGTGAATTAGACACAAGAATTACACCCACGCATGCCTGCCTCTGTCAAGGGCGGTGCTCAGGCCACGCCTCGGGGCACAAGGCACCTGGAACTTGGAAAAGGAGAAAGAAGAATTTTTAGATCAAAGATCCTAGTTTTTGAAAAAGGCAAGGCAGAAAGCTGCTTGACAGTCTCCTGAAAAGGTACTAAAATGGAGTGATTCCGTGGCTGTATAACTCAGATTCAGTTCCATCAGGATAAAAAAAGAACGTATCCAAGCATTTGTCCGTCCCAGTACATGTGTAAATCTCAGAGGAACTACTGACCCTTTATAAGTCAACAGTCCTGGAAGCTACCACTTGAAGGAGATTAACAGATGGAGAGGCTTCTAGCAAAAAGGGACACCTCAGCCGACCAGAACCCAATGTGCTGGAAGCCTCAAATAACCAGATTTCTGCTGACCCTTATGCAGCAGTTGTAGCCCATTCTCGGGCCATCCAGGGCACGCGGTCACAAACATTCACTCAGAATGACGACTCTGGTCCCTTCCAGAAAGCTCCATTCACCCCAGAGATACACAAACAAGAACACTTGGTAAAAAATGCACTTACATATTTTAGGAAGAAAAGAGTGTTTGTTTTATAAAGGAAAGGCATAAAAAAATGTTTTCTGGGATAACCAGAAAACCATCCAGAACATTCCGAGCAACTGACGTGGCTGATAGACCTAATAAGTACACTGTCACGGCCATCTGGTCTGGAAAGGATATGGAGCCTGAGACCTCCAGGTGTGTGGTTGGGACCAAAAAGGCAGACACTTCAGATCACAGCCTCCACTGTCTCAGACTTCAGGCCCAAGCGCCCCGAGATGTCTCACAGCTAAATGCCGGTCATACCTAAATTATTCTCAGGACCAGAGCCCCTCCTTGTGCTGCGCAGCCCAGCACCCCTCTGCATCTTGAATCTCTCTGTCTAGAGCCTGGGCAGGAAGCTAGATCTCCTCCCTAGGCAGCCTGAGCCAGCGCTGGGTGCATCTAATTGCCAGAAACTTCGTGTCGTGCTGTGCTGCCATCCACCTATCAGGCTTCCCCCGGAGGTCCAAATTCCACTAATTGGACAATGCCAGTGACTTTGAGTGACAGATGAGGACTGTTTCAACCTCCACGCAGAATTCAGATAAAAGGATTCTCGCTGAAGCCAAGAACGTAAGGCCCGTGAAAAGAGAGGTCTGGAAGAGCAAAGGGAAAGTAGCTACTTTTTCTTACCTCGTCCTTCTCACCAAACCTTTTTCAAGCCATAAACATCATCCCTGGACCCTCCCACTAAACCCATAATCTCTCTTATCTCAAAGCTGCCAAGCTGTGATTAGGTGGAGGCCAGCTCCAAATTTTTACCAGCCTGCCTGTCCACGAAACCGCAGACTCAGTGGAACAGCGCGGCAGTACTGTTTACAAACATTCACCTCCAGACTCGCTATATAAAATGCTACTGGCCACAGGCCGTTTGACTTGTCCAACGCTTGCTCCCAGGTGCCCTCATTGGATTGAAGGTAATTCTGAGAAGCGCCAAGGCCAGGAAAACAGATCTAAAAGAAACAACTGGGGCGAACACTAACAGAAAATCTGACTGTGGGTGACAATTTTGCTGCCTTTATCTTGAAATGGTCTTACGGTTTTTAGAAGAACTAGGAGGAGATTTTTTAGAAATATCACAACACTGTCCTCACCCCTCTTCCACCAAACCGTTCCACCTCTCCAATTGTATTTTCTTTCAAAAACAAAAAACAAAACAAAACAACAACAACGAAAACCCCTGCTTGTTTAAGAAAAAGGAAATTAGTTTTGGGGATTTCTACCTCAAAAGATGACTGTCCCAGACAAAGGCTAAACCTGACCCACAGAGCAGGCCGACTGGGAAAAGATACCTTTCCTCAGCTGTGCAGTGGCAAACTGAAAAACTTGGTGTTACGAATAGTCACCCTCTCAAGTTCAAGAGAGAGTCCCTGCATTTTAGGTCGTGGTAAAACGTTCCAAATGCTCGCCAAGTGGAGGTAGCTAGCTCCTCCTCCTCAACCCGCCAGCCCCTGCGGGAAGAGCAACGCCGGGTCACGGGTCCGACAGTGACCTGGCGTGTGGACGATGGGAGGCAGGGAGGCGGGAGGCGGGCCCTCGCACGGGTCTGCTCTTCCTTCTGGAGCTCCCACCCTCGTGAACACTGTGAAAAATCTCCCTATTAGCAATGACGCCTGGCTCCCGCAGCAGCCATTTCTAATACTCTCACAAGACTTAATAAAGGGTTTCGGAGATTATAGGCTGTGAAAGATGGAGAAAATGACATAATTTCTGTAATAATTGCAATAGAACATTTGCATAAAGGCTTTTGTGCATGATCCCAAGGCTTCCAGGAAATTTATAGGTTTCATTATAACGTACAATAGGCATGACAACTGTCAAATCTTGGAGACAAAGGTGGGGGGAGGGGACAAGTCAAGTGCAACTTTGCAAGAGCCTCAAATTAACAGACAGCTTGCAAAGAGAACTTAACTCAGATGGATTCTATTTGCTCCTATCTGCTCTTCAGGGCCATGGTATGTAAGGAAGTCGGAATCACACACTGTCTCCTTCAAAGACAAATCAAGCACGTACTCTTTTCCCCAAAGTATCGCTATTAACTACAGAATTTGTAGAGTTACCTTTTTTTGCTTTCTTCTGCAGTTTCAGTGTATCTGAGGACTTCTTTTTTATCTCTTGACGAGCTTTTTTATACTCTAAGGGAAAGCAAAATATTGAATCATTTGCCATTTTGCTCAACAGAAAATATTTTTGGAACAACAATTATTTTCATTACAGAAACCAAAAACTATGACACCTAATAAATATGACAATTTTCGAGCAGAGGTGTTATTCACATGACAAACAACCACATGCACTGTGGTTTTTCCCAACAGTATTCACTCAGACCAACTTCAAGGAAAGATGCCATTTGGGAATATTTACTAAAAATGAAAAAGTCACAATTTCTCAGCTTCAGTATCAGGAGATATTTTCAATGTGTTCTACTTTCCTAAGGTTCACATTTCCTGAAAAGGGACCCACGTGGCAAGACGCTGGCCAGATATTTCAAATTCAGGGAAGAAAAACCTCAGACAACAGCAGGCGAAAGGAGACCATGGGGGGAAAAATGGGGAGACCCAGCTGCCTCTCTCTCACACAAATACCAAGGCCAGACCCTGCAGACTCCTGGGAGGGCAGCCCGCATGCGCCATGTCCCCAAGGGCCCGCCCCCCCGCCAACGACCTCCTCTGTCCTACCAGTCCACGCCCGCTCCCAAGCTTCCCCATTTCTGTGGCCAGTATCGCCATCACCCAGACGTGGACATCTGAAATGACTGTCACCCCTGGCACTTTTCTCCTCTGCTGCCCTTGCATCTGGTTAACCGCCAACTCGGCCCATTTCCTCACAGTCATTCCCACCGTCTCCCTTCCCTGCCCTAAGCCACAGAGCTCTCATTTAAATGCTCTTAAAAAACCACCTGTCAGCCAATCCTTCCTTTCCAGATTTCTGCCCTCAGATCTCCCCACACGCTTTCCTTCCCCAGAACTTACTGCAGGTCGTGGGATCCTTGGAGCAACATGCCCTGTCCCTTCCACACCGCCAGCACCCCCGCCCTTTGGCTCTGGGAAGACCAGCAGGGGTAGCGTCTGTCTGGACCACGCTGCCCTCAGAGCCCCCGGCAACAGGAGGCACCGACACGGTCATTTCTGGGTGGGAGACCCAAGGATGAGCTCACATCACCAAAGGTTTGGTTTTCAAAATGTGCTGCAATGCCTTCAGTATGAAGCTCTGGCAGTGAAGCCTGGCACTAGGCTCACTTTTGATTCAGCTGATCACAATTAACACCCGCGAGCAGTCAGACCACAACACCGGCCCTGAGTGCTGCTGCGGGTCACTGGTGACTCCTTATCCTCCGACAGTGAAAGGCCTGCAGGAGAAGCTGGGGCAGCGCGGGTCCTGGGGGACGCAGTAAAGCAGGCAGAGGCCCCAGGCACCGCTCACAGCTCTTCCAGGGCACAGGCATACCTTTTGCATGGTCTTTATCCAGTTGGTTGGCCACCTTCTTCCATTCTTCCATCTGTTCTTGAAGCGGGTTTATCAGACAGTCGATTAAAGCACTTTTACCGAAAGAGGGGAAAAAAAGGAGAAATTAAACAGATACGTTTGTGTTGTCAAGATTTACCCTTGGTTGTTAAAACATACCAAAATCACGACGCTCTGAAGCAAGACGCGGCAGCAGACGAAGCCCAAGTTCACATCCAACTCCCCAGTGTTGGAACCACCATACTTTCAGGACGCTTTTCAGCGACTGTTAAGAAGCCGTAGGCACAACCGACTGAAGCAGCCGCTCCTCTCATTCCCGTTTCAGCCAGTGCTTTGATTAACAAGCAGCACGGCGTGCAAGCGGGGACCGCACCACAGGAGCACCTGGGGAGCTTTAAAAAGTTCACCGAAGCTGCCCGGGCCTCACCCTGCAGCTCATGGAACCTGGAGGGTGAGGCCCCACATTGCTATTTTTAAAAAGACCTGCAGGATTCTGATGCGCATGCAGGATTCTAGGTCATGGACGTGGGCTAAGAGTGGGCAGCTTGAGAGAGAGAAGCGGAGGCCAGCCCCGGGATCGGAGCGGGAAGGCATCTCCAGGTACAGCCCTGTGTTCGGCGCCCTCTCCCAGACAGAGCACGTAAGCCCGTGGAGAGGTGGCGCCCCACACGGAGGAATCACGTGAGCCAGGCTACCCAAGCCGTTCGACTACAATGGAAGAAAAACTGCCCATTCCTGTGTTACAGAGCCGTTGGAGAAAAATCGGCAAATGCCCATAAATGGCTTGAATGGCACTGGAGAGAATGACTCGGAAGGTGTTCTCAGTCTGCTTTTCAAAGTTGGGCCTCCTGAAAATTTCCAAGTTCTTGGCACGATCCTCCCCCTTTCAGACCAGAGTCAACTTGCCATTCGCTCCCTTGCACACCTTCTCCAGCCATCAGCACAGCTCATACCCTCACTTTCCCTAGGCCTCTGCTCAAATCTTTCTTCTGAATAGAGCTGCTCCCTAATGAAGCACCCTGTGTCAAATGGTGGCCACCCACCCCTCACCCCATGTATTTCATCTTGTGTCACTTACCCCACCTGATGTCATATGAGGTTTCTTTAGTGTCTAGTGTATAAGCTCTGTGGTCCTATTCACTGCTATGCCCACATACCTAAGGCGGCACCTGGCACATAGTAGCTGCTCAATAAACAGCGGCTATAGGAGTGGCGTCTCCTCATCACTAAGATAGGGTGAGGTGCCACAGGCCTGGCCAGAGAATAAACCAAGATGATGGATGTGAGAAGAGGCACCATGTGATTTGGGGAGCACTGCCTAGACGTGAGGAGGAGGGAAAGGGCCTAGATTTCATCACCAGCTGCACCACGTGCTTTCTGCTATAGGCATGTGGAGATTTCACTAATTTTTACAAAAACCCTTCAGAAATTGTTAATCCCCATTTTACAAGGGCTGAGATCCAGCAGCCAGCCGAGGATCTGAACCTGGATGCTTCCTGCTATGTCCTGTCCCCTCTCTTGGTCCTGCCAATGCCAAGAGGGTCAGTGGCATTTCGCGTTAGCAGCCACTGGCACAACTGGCTACCCACAACGCGGAACTGTGCAAAACTGCCGAGTTATGCTGATCTGCCTCGGAAGAATGGCCATTCTCATTTGAACACCAGTGACTCCGAATATCCGTGCCAGTCATTGCTGGTTCTCCCCACAGACAAGAGGCTGACGGCATGCAGGGCTCTGAGTGTCCACTGTCTTCGGCAGCAGGTCAAGAGGGTGCACACCGTACCTGGGCAACAGGGCACCCCTCAGGCTCCAGTGCCACCGCTCCTCTCCAAGAGATTCCTGCAGGGGTGGGGGCCTAAGGGGTGAGGAGGAGCACAGAGCAGATCCTAAAGGGGGTCTGCAGGCTCCACGGGGGCAGGGCCCTAGACTGCCGATTGTCCGCTGTATCCTCGGAGCCCAGCTGCGTGACCAACGCATGTTCTGTGAATGAGCGGAGTGATGGGCCGTGATGAGAGGTGGGTTGTGGAGATTTAAATGCTACAGGGAAACTGGTGCTGCTTATGGCGAGTTAGGCTACACATCACCACTTCTGAACCCGAAATCAGCGACGGCGTGTGACCTCAGGCGCACTGGGCTGCTCACCTCGAAAACTGCCTCAGCTTGGCCTCAATGCTTCTGTGCCGCATGCACATCCTGGTGAGGGCGGAGCCGATCTCCCTGGTGCCGCCTGGGAAAGCAACAGAGGCAACAACTGAGGACGGCAGACCAGTCACAATCATCAAAACATTGAAAAGAGACGAAGGAATTGAAATACAAGCCAGACTTCATCATGTTATAAAACCTAAGCCACTGCCTTGCAGGCTGCTCACTGTGCACACACACGTGCTCACGCTGACACACCCACGTAAATATTTACGGTTAATGACGTTTTTATAAAACCACCAAAAGCTACCTTTACTACACACCATACCCTCTAATATTTTCTATTCTGTTTTTTTTAAATGCTTATCATGGCTCAGAAATCGATTTTACAATGCACTTCATGCATCAATGACCTACAATTTGAAAAAATACTTTCCAAGGAAGATGACCAAAATAGCATCAGATACTTAGGAAAAAGCTGTAGTTTCTTTTTCTTCTCCTTTTCTGACAAAATAACCCTCTTAGCATTCTTCAGAACAACTAATAAGGCCACCCCAGCTGTTTCAAGACACATACAAGTATTTCAGAGACCAGCGAGGCTAAAAGAAAATGAAATAATAGGGTATTTTTCATGGGTTTGGGTTACACTGGTGCAAGAGGTCCGTCCTCACACGTAGCAAATGTTGAAGTAAACTGCAATGCAGTATGATTTCCGCGAAATTCCTGTCATACTTTTCCCTTCAGGCACACCCTGGCCTAAGATTACTCCTGAAGGCCCCTTCCTTCCCCCTCTTAGAAACAATGCTTGAATCAGCATTTGCCTGGGCGTGGGGGAGGGAGGAGCAAGTTATAACTACAGATGGTAATTCTGCACCCGACACTGGAAAGCACAATTAATTATAAATGTTATGAAAACACTGGGGCTCGTGAAATCCGGGGGGAAATGTCAAATAAAGCACTATTTTTAACAGACAAGGCCTTCGAGGGAGAGCCGCAGGAATTTATGGCAGGTTTAACCAAGTCGAAGTAACAGGAAAAAAAATCCCCTCCCTTATTAGTACTCATGACATTATTATGGGTTACACGTTCCCCTCCACATTCTAGAAAGGCCAAGGCTCTGTTTATGTTCCAACTATTTTCCATTTTATTCTGCCAAACTAAAAGGCTTCCAGAACTGGAAAAAAAAATATTAGGAATAATAGTGGTGTTACATATTAATATTTCTATTATCTTAATCTGAAAAGAGAAACCTTCTCAGCGATTCTCTAAAACAGGGTTTCTCCACCTTAACACTGCTGATCTATGGGCCAGGTGCCTCTCTGGGCCAGGTGCCAGGTGTGTCCTGTGCACCGTAGGATGTCTAGCAGAACCCCTGGCCTCTAGCTACTAGAAGTCAGTAGCAGCCCACCAACTGGGAATACCCCAAATGTGTTCTTTGGGGGAATAAAAGCAACCCCCCAACTCTGAGCTGCGAAACATTGCTCTAAATCAACCTGAACAAGAACTGAATGTCCCCTGAGGCTGACTCTTTAAAAAATGGCTAGAAGTCCAGAAAATGGAGCCCTCTCGCTCCTGGGCACTTGCAGCCACTCTCAGGCCTTGGGTCCCCACCTCAGCGTCGCCACCTATGGCCACTCATGCCTCTGCACCCGGGGAAACCAGCAGAGGGCGCTGCTTTCTCACGAGCCGCTGGCCTCTCTGGCTCCCTTCAGGTTCTCCTAAGCTTTTATTGCTTGTAAGCCAGGACAAGGCACACTTTCTCCCCAGGGAAATATCTCCTCGTTTTCCTGGACCTTCATTTGATTAAAAGTTAATAACCTGGCCATGCAAGGAAATTGGCACACTCATTCACTGCTGGTAAACTAGTTCTTTTCTGGAGGAAAATGTGGCAGCACCATCCTTGACCCAGCAATTCTGCTCTGAGAAATTGAACGTGGGAGATAATCCAGGACGAAAGCAAATCCTCACCTGTGCAGCGAGTCATTGAAACGTCGTTCACACCAGTAAAAACTGGAAACAAAATCCCATTAGAGGGGGCGGGTTAAGTAAACCATACACCACCGCCCCACGGGAGGGATGGAACAGCTAAATGCTGCAGGGCAATGTGAAAGGTCCTGGAAGGTGAGTCACTGGTAGCTGAGGACGCATGGGGCCCTGGGATACGCCCTTTGCAGGGCAAAACGGGTTTAATTCTCACAACTCTCTCAGTTGTGCAGGTATTATCATCATCCCCATTTTACGTACAGGGAAAGTGCCTTATGTGATTTGTTCAAGGTCACCATCCTAGTACGCGGGACTCTGACCCAAGCTGCACTTCCAGAGCCTGTGCATTTCACCGCTCAGCACCCAGCACTTGGTACAGACAAAGGGAGCTGGGAAGGGGCAGAGCCGAGAGCCTAGAACACGCCACTGAATTGAAGGACCTACACACTATTTTGGGTGTTAGAGCTTTACAGCCCTCCTCTCACATTCTTGGTTCTTGAGCCTAGAATTATCCGGCTGGCACCAGGGGGCCCCACCCCAATCCTTGCTAAGCTACTCTAGACAGCTGAGTGATGGGCCGTTGCTATATGGATCACCCAAGCTTCAGTTTGCTCGAGACAGAATTCTGCAATCGGAAGAGATCACCTTGAAGCTCAGTTCCCTCATCCCACTTCCCTGCTCCGTTATTGCTGCGGCCTCCTAAGATATTTTCCACCGATGGTCACCAGTTATTTATCATCCCCAGGAAAGCCCATGGCTTCGCAGGAACAGCTGAACTGTATGGCACGAGAGCAAGCAGTTTCTAAAGGTGCTGCGTGTGCGCCACTGCCGGGCCTCCACAGCCTGGGGAACTCTGGGAGAGGCGGAAACAAAGAACCACAAAGAAAACTTCCCAACAGCAGTGTCTCTGTCCAGCTGGGCACGCGGGCAGGAGAAAGGCAGATGACATACCCCATGGCCCCCGGGACCCATCCCTTAGCATTACTGCTGATCTGAGCACCACAGAGCACCCTAAAAATAGCTCTCTCTGTGGATAAGCTTAACAACGTCTTGTGTTCTTCCTGACCCTTGCTAAAACTTAAAAAAAATAAATCAGCAGGTTTGAAAAAGCTTTAGAGGAAACAGGCTTTAGCTGCAAAGACAAAGCAGACATCTGGAAGAGCTCCGATTTGACAGTGAGAATACTTGTGGCAATCAAATGGCTGGTTGAGATACACTCAGCACTTTGTGAGTGAGGACAAGATTGTACTTGTTTCCATACACCCCGCATCCAGCAGTAGGGCTGAAGGAATCAACATAATCATTTTAAGAGCAAATCACCAGGCTGGCTATACCTGGAGGTGGGACAAGGGACTGGGTTTATCTTTCGTTTAACCCATAAATACTTGTGCATCTTCTACGTGCACACTACAGAAGGTTCAAAATAAGTAACAAATAAATATGAGATTCTTATTGTATTAGAAAAGGTTTATGTTGATCCAAGGTCAGCCTAGAGAAACAATGGTGTATTCGTTTCTGACTGCAGCTACAATAAATTATCACTGACTCAGTGGCCTGAAGAAGCACACTTTTATTATCTTATAGTTCTGGAAGTCAGAAGTCCAAAATCAGCTTTACCAGGCTAGAATCAAGAGGTTGGAAAGGCTCTGTTCCTCCTGGAGGTGAACCTGCTCCCTGACTGTTTCCAGCTTCCAAAGCTGCCTGCACTCCTTGGCTCCTGGCCCCTCCCTTGATCTTCAAAGCCAGGAGTATGGCATCTTTTCTCTTCTCTAACTTCACATCTTCTCTCTTTGACTCTGATCCTTCTTCCTCCTCCTCATGATTGTACGGGACCCACCAGGATAATCTCCCCACCTCAAGATCCGTAACTAAATCACATCTGCAAAGTTCCTTTGCCATGTGAGGTATCATAGTCACAGGTCTTGGGAATGAGGATGTGGACACCTGGTGGGGGGGGCCATTATTCTCCTACCAAAGATGAGTAGAAGTTGCTAATTTGGAGAGTGCAGAGGGGCACAGCGGTCGAATCTCCAGCATCCATCCATCCTCTGATGGTTAGCCTGGACCAACGATCTAATTCCATCCCTTTTGGCAGTGGCTGGTTCAGGGATGGGACAAAGATGGAGAATAAGTTGTTGGAGAGGCCTCCAGAGAAAATGTCCCTGATCTTAGGAGAGACGCCAGAGGATGTGAACAGGAAGCAGGCTGCCCAGATGCTGCAGTCAGCCATCGTCATGGTCATGGGGACACCTGCCTTAGGATGAGGCTCACCCTGTGGACAAAAGACAGATGGAGCCTGGGTCCCCGGTGACCATACTGAGCCCCCAAGTAAACACACCCACAGCCTGCTCTTCCCCCTGGATCTGGGGCTCCTGTTTTGCAAGAACATACATTTCCTTCTTTTTTAAGCTGCTTTGCTCTGGTTCTGTTTCTTGCCAGTTCAATGAGGAAGGAGGAGGAAGGAAGGGTGCAATGACCTCTCAGGCTTCCTCCTGGCACCAGGGGTCACTTTGTCACTACAAGAAATCTAAATCCATCCCTTGCTGCTGAGGGATGCACAAATACTTTATAGCAGAAATCTTAATTCTTCTCACTGTAGTGTATGTAAGCACTTTCTTCCATAACAAGCAAAGATAGATACACACACACACACACACACACACACACACACACACACACACACAAAAGTAGCACAAAATCATGGCAATCTAAACTGGAGGATCTGCAAAGTAAGAGTCCAGAGGCTTGACGCTCACAGTGTGAACACTGGGGCATAAGAAACATAAATTTCACAACGGTTTGTCGAAGAGTGTATTAGGTTCCTAGGGCTGCCATAATGAAGTACTCCAATCCAATTGGCTGAAAACAACCAAAACTGTGTGGTCTCACAGCTGTGGCAGCTGAAATCAAGGGCATGCAGGGCGCGCCTCCTCTGAAAGCCACACCTGAAGAGCCCCCCACCTTGCCTTTTCCTAGCTCCGGTGGCTACCAACAACCCCGGGCTTGGGGACGCATCACGCCAGGCTCTGCCTCCGTCTTCATGTGGCAATCCCCTGTGTCTGTCCTCCCAACACACATGTGTCTGTGTCCAAATGTCTCTCT